ATTGTGTACTGGATAGGTCAAGATGGTCAGGCTGCCATACATCACCATTTATCTTTGTCATTATACATTAATGTATTTATCAGTTACTCTTGCTAATGTTTGCTTATTTTAAAATGAAGGTAGTTAGTGCATCATTACCATAGAATAAGAATATTCAGTCTATAAGAAGAAAGTAAAAGTGCATGAACACCACATATTAATCCCTCCCTTAGTATTTAATTTTATGCATTGACATAGGAGAAATAAATGCTAGTGCTTGGATTAGAGTAAGTATATTTATTATTAATTAAACATTAAGAAAAAAAGAATAACATGCATTAGTTAGGCAGATTATTTATCCAAGTTGGTTGTAGCTGTATCCCAGAACAAATCACTTCCTTCTCGTGTAATCCCAGGTGGAGTCTTTAATAAATTTCCATCAGGTCCATGTGGTGGGACAACAGCAGGAGGTGTTTCGCCTATAGGAGAGTGCGTAGAATATTCGATTGTCTGATTTCTAAAGTCATCCTCATCGTCGTTGTCGTCATCGTGATAAACGAGATGGCTTGCTGTATTTGTGATGGGAGCAATCATGTGCTGGCTGGAAGTACCTTGTACGATTGGCTGCATTGGCACTTCATCTTCTGCAAGTACCTTAGAATGGATAGAACGAGTGTCTACCGTAGTAGCAGTAACAGGCGCCTGTCTTGGCATGATAGGAATTGGTTTTTGAAGTGCCATACGATCCAAAATATCAATCCAAAGTCGAAGCGCATTGGGATCCTCTGATGACAATGCAAAGAATTTCTTGCTGCCAAATAGTCCACCTGTCGTTTTGCCTCGTAGTTCTAACAAATGACTGGTTGGATTCACAAGAATAGTACATTGTGGAATAAACATGGTCACTTGAGGCTTTAAAGGGGCTTGAAGATATTCATTTTTTGATTTGTACCGATGTAATAATCCAACTTTTGGTAAGAAACAGTAAAGAGGGATGAATACACATACATATAAATTAGTCTTTTATAACATACCTGAACTCAAGACATAATACTCTTCAATCCATTTTTTGCCATGACTTCTTTGTAAATTGCCCATCATAGCAGGTTGTACAAGGGGATGACCTACATTAGGAAAGTCCAAGGTAACTTCATCTTTGAAAGCGGCGGACCTTTTTACTAAATCGTTTTCATGGTGGTGTAAAAAGTCCAGCCATTCAGCATCTGTTTCAATCGCATTAAAGATAGAGGCTACTTTAAGCACACCTTCCAGATTTTCAAGCCCATGACGAACACGATAGTTTTCAAAGGTTTGAAATAAGTCAGTGTAAACATTGATAATCTTTTCCTGTTCGAATTGGCGGTATTTATCTTGGGTGTCTAAAAATTCCTTGTGTAAACGGTTCTCTTGCTTATATAGCTTTTGAATAGTGTTTATCACAACTATAAGTAAAAAAATAAATGAGAATTAGGTCTAAGTTTGTAAAACGAGATAAGAATGATTACCTTGTTTGGTGAGTAAAGGGTCTCTCTTGGGAGTGACATAGGGAGACTTTTGCTTCTCTTGGATGTTGACAGTGGCATAGATATCAGTATTTAGTCGAGTAATTACACTATCAGCCTGCTTTCTGCAATCCCAGAGAGAATTTGTGTACAATTGCTTGTTGTGTTTCATCCCCTGCATGTGTAGGTGTATATCCCTCAACATGATGTGTAGGATGGGAAGAATTTCATTTTCAATATAGTCAACAAAATCTTGATGAATCAAACTATTCTCTCGTGTGTATTGTCGAAATGCGTGCCATGCATCTTTTACACCATCTGATGACTTGAACTGGTTTTCAATTTTGCTGGGAATTGCGAATTTGGCGTCGATCTTTCTGTACCCTTTTCCCGTGCTGAATTCAACCTTTTTTATACTTTGAAACATGCTATTCTATATCGGGCGGGAATGAATGAGAGTGAGTAAATAATCCCCTATTTTTTTTATAAGCTTTTCTCTCTCTTACCAGATATTTAACAGATATTTGCCAACTCATAAGTCGATCACACAATACCTTGACTGGATCTAAACCATCCTTCATGGTATAAATATACTTTTGCATAGTTCTCCTTCGGGTCGGAAATCTAATAATAGATGTCGCTTTTGGATGAGCCAGAAATTTGGGTGGTGGCGACGTAATGGCTGTATTTTCTTCGGGTGATTGCTGAATAATTGGCGAGAAATGGTCTCCGTCAGCATCATGTGTTAGCCAAGGTAAGCCTGTTTGTCCTGCTGTAATCTTTAATGAGCTTTTGTTTGTCACTGGACGCGACGTAGTATCAATAGGAGACATGGGTGGAGTAATTAAGCCTGGATTTTGTTCTGTCTTGTCAGACATGGGGAATACAGGTGTTTGTTGTTGAAGTGTACTTGTCATGATAATGAAAGAAGAAGAGAAAGAGAGAAATAAAAGAATTGTTTTTAGCCGCTTTTTATTGTTTAAAATGGGGGGTGGGAGACTAAAATATGCATGATGATATGACGGTGTCCAATAATCTTGAATTGACGTACTTTATTAAAGCCTATTTTAGGAAATAATCATTTTTTTTTGGAGAGTGAATATAGAGTGCATGATGATGAAAGATTAGAATATAGGAAAATGACATGCTATTAATATAATAAGTGTTTTTTTTATAAGAGTGGGTTTTGGGGTTACAATCTAATCTTCTGATATAACAAGACGCTTTCTCTTGTTGGGTAAAAGCGTATCATCATCATCATCCAATTCATCTTCACCATCTTCATCAATTTCATCTTCTTCTTCATCTTCTTCAAGTGCAGAAAATGATCTTTTTAAATGACTACTACCCTCCTCTTCTTCTTCTTCTTCCTCTTCCTCCTCGTCTTCTTCTTCTTCTTCAATATCATCATCAGAGATGTCATCCAAATCCGCAAGAGGTGGCTCACTAGTAGGAAGATCCTCTTCGTCTTCTTCTTCAATATCTTCCTCCTCTAAATCTTCTTCTTCCAAATCCTCTTCCAAATCTTCCTCTTCCAAATCCTCCTCTAAATCCTCTTCATCATCATCGTCGTCATCATCGTCACTATTGCCTAAATCCTCTTCAATATCTGATTTGGTTTGAAATACGTCAAGAAAGTTGCGAATTTTGGTCTTGAAGACAGATTCGTTAAATGGAGGGTTGGTATCTATCTTGAGTGGGACCACTATATAGCGTACATCCGAGATATCTTCAAAAAGATCTGTGCATTGCTTTGTAACGTACTCATACCGTGCCTCATAGCTTGTCAAGTCTGTCTTGATATATCGGCATAATTCAATAATCTGTGCTTGTTTTTCTCCCAACTTGGTTTTACTCCACTTGTCTGAACATTTTTCTATTGATTGCATTTGACGGATAAGTGCTGCTGCATATGCGCTTTCTTTGGTTTTATATCTGATATTTGCCAAAAGAAAAAAAAAAAAATTTAACAAGTAAGTAAAATGGGAATAAATGCAGGTAAAAGTTGAATTGGTGGAATCTGTGCAGAGCAAAAAAGCAATTGTAATAGGGAATAAGACTTACGTTCCAATGGCGGTTCGAACTTTATTGTCATGAATTAATTGTTCAATCAATATAAATTCAGTGACGCTGTGTGAATCAACTAATTCTTCAGGCTGAGACATATTTAGAGTTTTATTTTTTTTTCGTGCCTGTGCGTATTTTCTATTCTCTGTGTGGGTGTAGGGTGTGCCTGCTTTAACTATTACAGAAACAAGAGAAGAAGAAAAAAATAGGTTGAAAAAAGTAGAGAGAGAGAGAGAGGAGTGGGTAAAATAAAACAGCCACGAAGAGGAATTTTTAATTCGCCCAAATAATATTTTGACTCTCAAACTCCATCAAGCTTTTTCATGGTCTTTTCTATTTCTCTTTTACCTTCTTTATTTCACTTTACGCTTACTTTGCTCTTCCCCCAGTGGCTAAATCCCTATTTTTTTTTTTTTTTTTTTTTTTTTCTTGTGTGTGCTTCAACTCTAGCCCAACAGTCTGTTTACTATCACACACAACAGAGTTATAATCAATAAAGAATCAAAAAGATTAAATGGAAAGAAGATTATTTAATGCAACCCATGGAAGGATAGTTTGAGAATGTGAGTAATGCATACACACCTTATCAGGAACATTCTTGCGAGATGTTCAATTGGGATTTACGGGGGGGAAAGCGCAAAAAGATTTTTTTTTTACAGCCGCCGTATATTTAAACTCCGACAAAACAGTGTTGACACCAGCAAAGTGGTTGCATACGTGTAATTATGAGAACACTTCACATCAATGGGGTTTTCATACAATAAAGCTAAGAAGACATCCAGAACAAAACTACGCTGCTCAAGACATGCTTTATTTTCAAACTATCCGAATATACTATAGATGGATTCTCTGGTTTTTTTAGCATAGTACTCATCAATCTTATCCGACTCTCTTCGAATCTCACTCTCCAAAACTTTACGACGTTCTTCTTTTGACTTTAAATAAGCCTCTCGTTCAGCCCGAAAAGGTTCCTCCTTGACTTGAACTGATTCCACTTGTTTCAAAGCACTGTTCAAGACATCATTGACCCGAACAGCCTCTTTCAATGTCGTTTCCAGTAGGTTACCAGCACTCGATTTTAATTTTCCTTCGCAGTTTGTAAGTTGCACATATGTCTTTGCCAGCGAATCCAACTCTAGCAACTCCTTCTTCGTCTATCTATTCCGTCAATCTATGTTCGTCCTTTGTAACAAAAACCCACCTCAAATGCTTCAACAAAGTCTTGTAATTCCTTCTGTAGGCTAGTCTGTCCCTTTTGAAATATGAGTTCGTCTAATTCAGAAGCATCTATGAACATTGTTTAGTTTTAGACAAACACGACAAAACAAGTCTATTCTTCACCTCAATGTACCTGAGAGCATTAACTGTGCAGAGAATCTAGTCATTTATGTACAAAAAAAAAAAAGTGAGGAAAAGAAGGGAAATAAAATTAGAAACAATGCATCCAATTACCTAAAATATCAAAACGTAGTGTATGTAACTGTAATTAAAGCGAAATAGCAAAAGCTGGTTTTATTTTCCTCTCTCTTTTTGTCACTGTATAATGTCTGTCGAAATAGAAGCAGAAGAGTAAGCTTTTTTTTTTTCAGTTTTGGACATTTGCTCCTTCTTTTGATTAGTTGACGTGACTTTTTGTTGTAGCGTCATTCGCCTTGTGCTTCAATTCCTTAAAGAAAACGATCTCCAAGAATCAGCTTTAGCCCTCGAATTAGAAACAACTGTAAAGATCAACACTCTCGAGAACAAGGAAGCATTCATCAAGACCATTAAAGAAGGTGAATGGGATGTAGTCTTACGCCACGTTGTCGATTTAAAAATACCTCCCCGCAAGCTCATGGATCTTTATGAACAGGTCGTGCTAGAATTAACAGAGTTACGTGAATTAGGAGCTGCCCGTACTTTGCTTCGCCAAACAGAGCCCATGTTCATTCTGAAGCAGAGACACCCCGAACGTTACTTGCGATTGGAACACACACTCTCCCGATCCATGTTTGATCCCAAGGATAACTACCCCAACGGCATGACTAAAGAGAAGAGACGCAATGTCATTGCACAAGGTAAGGACATTGACACGACAACTTTACTTTTCTTTTCTTACATGTGCTAAAAGCCTATGAAAGCTCTTGCTAGTGAGGTGGCTGTAGTGGAACCAGCTCGATTAATTACGTTACTGGAAGATTGTATCAAATGGCAGCAGCATCAAGGTTTGCTGCCTTTGGACACAAAATTCGATTTATTCCGTAGCTCAGATGGGATCCAAAGCACAGAAGAGGATGCATTTGCGGATAAGGAGTACAGTCTTATCAAGGTAAAATCTATAGACAGTGATATATTTTGTAGAAATCTATATTAACATTTGGTAACGAAAAAGTTCCCTGGTAAAAACACCTATGCCGAATGCACCACTTTTTCGCCCAACGGACAAAACCTCATTACAGGTTCAGTGGATGGGTTTATCGAAGTCTGGAATTATCTTACGGGTAAATTACGTAAGGATCTCAAGTACCAGGCTGAAGAGAATTTAATGTCAATGGATCAATCTGTTATTTCTTTGGACGTAAGCCAAGATAGTGAATTATTAGCTACAGGTTCAACAGATGGGAAAATCGCCGTATGGAAATTACAATCTGGTATCTGTACCAGACGTTTCTCCCCTGCTCATAGTCAAGGTGTCACATCCGTTTGTTTCAACAAGGAGGCAAATCATATACTTAGTGGCAGCTACGATCACTCTGTTAAGATCCATCATGTCAAATCAGGGAAACTCGTCAAGTCATTTGAAGGACACACATCCTTTGTAAACTCTGTCCTGTATAACTGGGATAATACACTAGTTCTCAGTGCAAGTAGCAATGGTGAAATTAAGGTAACATATAAACGATTGTATTTATAAACAAAAACCAGTACTTAAAATATATGTATAGATATGGGATGTTACATCGGGATCTTGTCTTTCTACTACAACTCCTCAGCGAGAAACCAGTGTTCAACTCTTATTAAGCATACCCAGTGACATGAATCACTTTATAGCTGTGACCAAAAGCAGCACACTATTCATCATGACCGAAAAGGGCAAAGTGATAAAAACGATTAGCCATCCAGACGCCAAAGATTTTATCTCAGCAACAGTATCTCACGGAGGTAAATTGGTTTATGCCGTTTCTGAAGAATCCATCATGTACTCCTTTCAAATAGCCACAGGAGACTTGGTCGGCCAAAAGCACCTATGTAAAGCCGAAGTCATTGGTATTTCTTGTCATCCATTTACAAACGTCATTGCTTCCAATGATGAGACTGGTCTTATCCATCTTTTAAAACACGAATAAAGCACTTTAAGCCACGAACTCCTTTGTAATCGTATGTAGTACCTAGACATACACATCTTTCGCCTTTCTCCATCATTTTATCTTGCTCAGCCTAATTGCCCAAAGCTTATAGGTATCATTTGACAGAGTGACGGAAGGCCATGAATAATGTCATTGGAAATATTTGTTTTAACCCTCTAAAATTAATTTTTTTTTTTTGCTACGTGTCAAACTTTAAATAAAAATTCTTCTTTATACGAACCACTTCTATTTGATCGTAAGTAAACACTATAAATATACTTCACTGATCTACAATAGGCCTAGACTCAGCTACAAGGAAATCGTATATCATAACAATGAAAAAGCTATCACTTTTCATAAGATTGAATTACTTCTTAAAATATTTAGGACACAAGAATGGAATAACTTGTAAAATATAACAATGAACCAGTTATTAACTCACTCGTTGTTACCTCCTGGGATTAATAATGTATTTTTACCTAAGCGAGAAAAATCATGTGGTTAGGAGGGACTGTCTAATAAGCCATTGATAAAACTAAACAAGCGAGCCTATATTCTTTTCTTTTTTTTTTCTACCCGGAAGTTTTATAATGTATTCACCACAACGACATAAAGTGCCGTTTCAGAAGACTGCATGGAACTCTCCCAAACGTAAATCACCCGAAAGAATGACTTTAGAAGAGTTCATTACTTCTAAAAGAGCAAAGACCTCACAAAGCCCGAAAGGTCCACACAATGACCTGACATCAGCAGGTCCTTCAACTCCACCACGGCCCGCTACAACAAGACGCATGCCACACACGAGTCTGAACTCACCCACAAACACTTCTCCCAACCGTCCTACACATCGCATGAGCTTGAACCCTCGTGTTTTACCTGCAAAAGTCAAACCAGCCTCAACTCGGCCACCAGCAACAAATCGCATGAGTATGACTCCCGTACGTGCTCAAAAAACTTTGGTATCACCTAACCGGCATAACCCTACACCCCGCATGAGCTTGAATCCAGTGCGTCTTCAAAAGCCTCTACTATCACCGAGTCGACCTACCGTAGCAGCACCTCGCATGAGTATGACTCCAGCGCGTTCTCAAAAAACGTTGTTACCACTCAACCATCACAACCCTACTCCCCGCATGAGCTTGAATCCAGTGCGTCTTCAAAAGCCTTTAGTACCTTCGAGTCGACCTGCCATGACCACACAAACAGCACGTACTCAAAAGACTATACCATCTCCTAACCGTCACCAGCCTACACATCGCATGAGCATGAATCCAGTGCGTACACATGTAAAAACTTCCCCTCATCGAACCATGCCCGCAACACGTATGAGTATGGCACCTACTCGTCATAATCGAACAAATACCGCCACAGGTTCACAAGCTGCTACACACAACGCAAGTCGACGTATGAGTATGGCTCCCAAGGCTTCTAACATTGGAAAGGTTGCACCACGTACAAAGTCTTCCTCGCAACAGCCCAAAATTAAAGTGTGTGTTCGTAAACGACCTTTAAATCGTGAAGAATTGGCTCGTCAAGAACAGGATGTAGCTCATTTATCAGATAGTAGGACAATTCAAATTCATGCATCTAGGTACACAAACTTTTTTTTTTCTTTTTTTTTTTTTTCTCTAACCATGCATTTTTAGAAAAAAGGTAGATTTGACCAGTTACGTGGACCAACATTCATTTACATTTGATGAGGTCTTTGATGTGAATACATGTAATAGAACAGTAAAGTTCATCTTTTTCATCATGATACGCCAGTCTTTTTATTAATACTTGTCTAATAGATCTATCAAAAAACAGCAAAACCGTTAGTCGATTACATGTTTCAAGGTGGAAAATCAACTTGTTTTGCCTAGTAAAGATTTCTAAAAAACTTTGCTTGAATACCATGTATATTAACCCCCCCTTTTTTTTTGCATTACCCCATGTAGTGGACAAACAGGATCAGGAAAGACATATACCATGCTAGACGCCAAACACGGGCTCTACGTACAAGCCACGGCTGACATCTTTCGACTCCTAGAAACCAGCGACTACGGTCATTTGCAAGCCTGGGTAGGCTACTATGAGATATATCAAGGTCAATTGTACGACCTTTTAAACGGCCGTCGACTTATTAAACCATTGGAAGATGGACGCGGTCATGTTAAAATCGCCGGTCTGAAAGAATACCGTATACAATCATCCGAAACCATGCTCCAAGTATTTCAGTATGGAAACCAATCTCGTACGACATCCAAGACTCAAAGCAACGAAACTTCCTCCAGATCTCATGCAGTGCTACAAGTCCTTTTAAAAGCAAGAAGCGAGATCCATGGTAAATTAAGCTTTATTGACTTGGCAGGAAGTGAAAGGGGTACAGACCGTGGTACCGATATGAAGTTAAGGATGGAAGGTGCCGAAATTAATAAGAGCTTATTGGCTTTGAAAGAATGTATCCGAGCGCTGGATAGAGATAAATCATATGCTCCCTTTCGTGGTTCCAAATTAACCATGGTCTTGAAAGATAGCTTTGTAGGAAATTCAAGGACGTGTATGATCGCCACTGTATCTCCCAACGGGTCAAATAGTGATCATACTTTAAATACGCTTAGATATGCTGACAGGTAAAACAGCATGTGCAAAACTTCGGGATTCAGATAGGCTAATCTCTTTCTCTCTCTTTTTTTTTATACTTAAAATGTAAGGGTGAAGGAGTTAAGGGGCGAATCAGACCCTAGGTTATCCAATAACCATGATATAAGTGATAATAATAATGATGCTGCTGCGTCTGGGGCTTCTGGTACTGATGATGCTGATGTTAATGCTTCAAACACTACGAATAAAGAAGAAGAAAAGACAGGATTGACGAAAGCGCATGTAACGGATTTTATACACTGGCACCAAGTACAACTTGGAGGTAACGAAATCCAACTGAGGGAAGACAACGAAATGATTGCGGAACTCGAGAACCTCTTGGACACCGAGATAAGTTCCGAAGAGATACAAAAAAGATTTGTGGAATACAAGCGTAATGTACAACACTTGCTTGACCGAAAATCGTGCTTGGTTGAGAATTTAAAGAATAGGATTGCTAAAGAATTGGTGGATGAGCATGAAATATAAATAAACAATTTTTTTTAGGGCTCTCCTCATTTATTATTATTATTTTCTTCTTCTTTATTCTTTTTAACACTCTCTTACACTATGGACACCTTTCCTTATGAAATATTAGAAAATATCGCAAGCCAGATTACTACAGATCATCAATATAATGCATTAACCGTATGTAAAGGGTGGTATTTACCCTTTTGTCGATCCCTTTACCGTCATATTCATTTTACCAGTCGACATCAATTTAAAAAATTCATGTCCACTAGCCTTGTACAGCACGGCTCATGGATTCGGACCCTTCACATTGGCATCCCTAAATCGTTTAAATGGGAAGATTGTGTCACAGGCGCTATACCATTGTTGCCCGTTCAAGTCGGTGTTACCTTACACGAATTATCCACACTCATTCTTTACTTACCTTTATTACAATCCCTGAATTTCGATCCTCGCTTATGGCACTTTATGAAGACGGATAAAATTGATTTCCCACACCATATCATCAGTTTACCGCCATTGGATCATCCCAGACAGTTTCGGTTCATGCATCAAAGCCTTCGTAAGCTTCATTTGCGTGGTGCAGATATATTCCGTTGTCATGGTGATAACGGACTATTGGAAGCCTTGAAGGGTATGACGTCTTTAGAAGATTTAACCGTGGATGGCGATGGCATGTGGGATAGCGAGCATGTGATGCAATTTTCCATGAATGATATGAACACGTTGCATACTTATTTACCTCGACTAAGGCGCTTAGACATGACAGACTCGATCCATTTCGTGAGGACAGCTGAAGAGGATCACACTAAATTCGAAAACATCGCGATACAGCACTCATTAAGCTCACTGGTATTATCTGCTTCGGTGGATTGTTTAGATACGTGGTGTGAGTATTTTGGTTGGAGCTACCCACGCCTTTCCAGTTTGAATATCAAATTATCGTGCCGTGACAATAAACAAACACTTGCATTAAGGCGGTGGATAAACAAATTATCACATTTGAAGCATTTGACTATCCATCCTAGCATGGCCAAAGAGTTCATGGACGAAAAGACCTTGGATTCTGCTAAACTTATTCAAACCTTGGAAACGGGACTTTGGGGTCATGATTTGCAGACAAGTACAGATGCATTTCATTGTCTCAGCCAATCTACTTTAGCTCAAAGAACCACACATCTCGTGATACCAATTTGGAGTGCCGTAATGGATTTGTCTGCTTGTACATCGCTGGCCAAGTTGGAATTATCTTGCTTACATCGAGACGGCCAGGAATTCGCCATGGACGTAATCTTGAGTAGCTGTCCCGTATTAAACCATTTAGAGTTGAGTTGGGGAAATTTATCCTCAGGCACATATTGGAGAAAACATGGTCATCTAAAGACGCTTCGTATGAACCATGTGGTGGTGCAAGGAGACCACCTATTTCATGATCTTTCTATACAATGTCCCAGTCTGGAAGGCTTGTTCCTGAGGCGATGCGGAGGAGTCCATCAACTGGACATGCCAGGCACACATTTCAAATATATGGTTGTTTCGGAACTTTTAATAGAAACAAGTATTATCATGACCTATTTAAAGCTTATTCAATTTCAAAAACTGCAACAACAACGACAAAGACAAGCCGCCAAACAATCCATAGCTCGTTTCTATAAATCCTATCAAAATCAAACCACCTTTCAGACCTGTATTCAACGTTTAAAAAATGAGAAAGAGCACATGCTTTCAATTGTGTGTGGTTCAGTTGAGCAGCTTGTATTTAACGGATGTAGAATATAAAAGGATAAAAAGAAAGGGTTTCCCTTTTATTGATTAAAACTGTACATAAAACTTTTTTTTTCTTTTTTTTTGTTTGTTTGTTTATTTGTTTGAGAGGGTCCAATCTATGCAGTGGTGGTGGCAGCGGTAGTAGTGTTTTCTGAAAGATTCATGGTGAACTTCTTTTTGTAAGGGTTTCTTAATTCTTTAACAAGATCTGCAGGGAAAGGAGGTTGAGAATGATCACGCTTATAAGTTACGCTCACAACATCTTCTACGGCAGTGGTGAAAGCTTCTTCTCCACTTTGATCATTGTATTTTCTGACAGGTTTAGGGATTTCAATATCAGTGCCCTTAACAAATCGAGACCAACGTGTAACAATACGGCCATCTTCTAAAGTGTTGGTGGCTTTACGACGGTCAATACGAACAGGCATTCTAAATCAAAATGTTATTATGCATACCCCAAGGCCCAAAAAGATAGGTTTTTACTTACTGTGTGTCGGGGTGAAGTAACATGATGTTGGAGTAATGAATAGGCAATTCCTTTCTCATAATACCTTCAGGTGCACCAGGTTGCATTGGCACATGCTTCTTGGCCTAAATAATATACTTATAAGCATCGACTTTTTTCTACAACCGATGACTATCCTTTACCAATTTCTTTCCTTCAACGATCACGGTGTTTGTTTGACGGTTTACTGACTTGATTTCTCCAATGGTATCTTTATCTTTTCCGGCAATAATGGCAACCTAAAACTCTAATGTGTCAAAAAAAAAAAAAAAAAAAAAAAAGCTGGAAATTCCAAGGGGTGTTTTATAAAGAAGCTAACCTTATCACCAGTGACAATGTTCCAATGGACAATCTTTTCCTTGGGGTTGATCCATTGAGGCTTAGGGAATACACGAGAGCTGACACCTTGAGCCTTAAAGCGATGCATTGTTAAATAATTAAAGAAGGAGGGGTTTAATCAGAGACAAGGGCAGGGCGGGGCTTGCTCTTTTTTTTTCTCTCTCTCACTGAAAGTGTGACTCTTTGTCCGGTGCTTCAAAAAAAAAAAAAAAGGGTAATCACTGTACGATCTGTTGCATAATAAGTAATCACTACTAGCTTTAGAGAAGGTTTTATTAAAGAATAAATGGATAAGGGAGAGTGAATGTAAAGGGGTATAAAGTCTACTTGTGTACACAAATAACTGATTTTGAGTGTTCTTTGGGTAAACACTGTGTCCAACACTGCGTTGAACAAAACCTCACTCTTCTAACTACAGCAGGATGCCCACCAAAGCTCTTGACCTGCACTGAAGTCACCCACTCATTTACAAACGGGCCTTGACAATAAGAACAACTTCGACATTTGTTGTTGCCCCCTGCTATATCTAGTGCTAAATGTGGCGGTAAAATATCCATCGGCACATACACCTCGTTCTTAAGAATGACCCGTGTTGCTATTTCCTTGAGGGAATGCACCAGCTTGGTCTCGGTGGGTAGAGGTAATTGGCGTGGGAAATCTACAAGTATAAATTGAGAAGAGGAGGATGTTGAATCTTGCACGATTTTACTGCGAAAGGTGCCAATTAATTGTGCATCAGCGTTGGGTAATGGTGGTGTATTTGGCCTTGATCCATCTATATTTAGCTGCTGTGCATGATATGATAACTCCTGATCAATAGTGGCATCATCATCATGCTGTGTAAAAGAAGAACTTGTGGCAATAGGGGGAGATACAGGCGGAGAAGGAAGTGGATGTAAACATCCCATGCCTCTAGGTCCACATTGATCACGGCTAGGCGCAGGTGATGATCTAGTTACGCCTCGCTGTGTCATCTGTTGAAGAATCTGGGTATACGCATCTTGCCGTTCATCACAATTGCCTGGTCTGCTTAAAGGATTTCCCGTGATTAACAAGGTTGCTGACTGCATTCTCTCCAAAATCTCGGCTGGCATAATGCAGAGTAAATTCTCGCTAATATCAAATAATTCCAATCGACGCAAGTTGACCAAGTCTGCCGGTAGACTGGTTAAATGGTTTTTGGATAGATTGAGTGTCTTTAATCGACTGCAGCTGGCAATAGATTTGGGTACAAAGTCTAATTGATTGTGCGACACATTTAAAGAGAGCAAAGTGGGTATACGGAGGTCGTTGGGCAAGGTGCGTAAACGATTATACGATACATCTAGTTCCTCCAACAAGGGCATATCAGCAATTGTATCAGGTAAATAGACTAATCGATTTCCTCCATATACAGAACCCAGCTGAAAATGGCGCATCTTTGTCCAAAGGTGTAAACATGACGGTAATGTATGGATGGAATTGGCTGCGACACGTAATGTAACCAAGTGAGGTAAGCAAAGTGGTAAATCCTCTGGAATGACTTGTATTTGATTTTGAGATAGTGAGAGTACTTGCAATTCTGTCAGGCTATATAATTCTTGGGGTATCTCTGTTAATTCATTGCTAGTAACATTGAGTACACGTAAATGAATCAATTGTCGAATTTGTGCAGGTAGACTCTTTAGCTTGTTTCGGGATATATCCAATTCCACAAGGTTAGTATAGGATGTCTTGATGTAAGGAGGCAAGAGTAGAATATCCAACTCGGATGCTAATTGGGCAGCTCCCATACCTCGACGACGTAACATGGCTGTACCGTTGACCAACATAGAAGAAGACGCTTCTTTGGTCTGGATACGAACTTGACCGTTTGACTCTTTTGCCTTCTTTTTTCTGGTGGCCTTTTTTTGTTGCACATGACAACCAAGGGGTGCTAATGACGGATCATCTATACATGCTTCAATGTCAAGTAATTCTGGCTGATTATGTAGTGGTAAAAAATATTCTAACGGTGGTTGTTTCTCTGGTGGTAGGACCCCTGTTAATGTCTTTCCTTCTAATAAATTGGGTATATATGTTGGCATGTCTAACAGAAAATTATCAGATAAAAAAAAGGGAAAAAAAAATGTAAATGTAAGAGCACAAAAAAAAAAGTCATCTTATCTGATTCATTACCCACATGACGCCTGGTGCAAGAGACTCCGCTTTGTTTTATTTTATTTTTTTGCTCTTAATTATCTGATCCTCTTAATTTTTTTTTATTGTTGGTTTTTTTCTATGTTTGCTTGTCTTTCTATTGTGTATTTAATCTTTTACATTTAATTTTTCAGGAAAAAAAAAAGCTAAAGATTATTTATCAGATGGTTTCATATCTAGTTGTACAAGGAAATATCAGATTTTAATGTTGACGATTAAAAATCAAGGTAAACAAATAAACAATTCATGGGTGCCATCCCACCATTTTTACTGGTTCTGTTTCTCCGACACTTTTTTTTTTTAGCCTGTGTGTATCACTTTTTAGCAACTCCCCCATTAAAAATAGATCTTATTATATACGGAAGGGAGGAGGTCATGTAATGCAGACCCCTCCTTCTCCATTATTTTACATCAAAACCTTAAAATATCATTCATTATTACTTACAACGTATAGGATCTATTTACCTTTCTTATTAAACATAATTGACAATGCAATGACATGATGATTTGTCAGGATTATATAAGTCTCCAAATGTCATCGTTGAAGCTATCAATGTTGAATGTGATACCGCTTCCACTAATAGCATCAGTAAAAGAAAATCAGGCAAACTTTTTTTTTTATAAGATTTATATATTCACGGCGTCTGCTTTCGAATAAAGCCTTTCTATAAATCACAGGCGTAGGGATCGACAAACGACATGAAACTCCCTTTTGTAGTGCATAGATTGATTTCCATGCACATTACATAATGTTTATTTTGGAACGCTGCATATCGTATGATCTGATAATGCAATTTTTACATGAAAATTATTCTCTCTCCCTTCCTCGTGAGTATGAGGCACAATCTGATAAATGATGGATTAAGTACATTCTGCCTATTTAAAAGGATCAAAAAGTGGTTAGGCTATGAATCACGTCAAAATTCATATAGAAGACTCCCGTACATTAATCAATATCATACATCGTGGTATTTAGAGCTCACGTAATGTCAGCAATGCGGATAATTTTTGTAATAAGATAATGTAACATTCTTTACAACAAATAAATCGTATGAGATACGCGATACAAATCCAGAAGTATTTCTTTGAAACGAAACCTTCCCTCTGAAAAATAGACACACCAGCATCAATTAAACCTTCTTCAGAAAACATTCTAACGGTGTTCGCACTACATAGGCAGACAGATTAAGAACAACCGGAAAGCAATTGCAGCTTCTTTATAAAGGCATACCTACACACCGGCAAATTGTAGATAAATCATGCAAGATATACTTCTTTAAACTCTCAGCTTTGCTTTAAAAAAAATTCATTACGTGACTTATGTCCTCGTATACAGCTTAAAAAGAGGCTATATTTTATTGCCCCTCTACTGCTGATAGATGCTATCACTTATATCAATACGTTTAAAGAGCAAGAGGGCGGGGAATGCTTAACATTTTGGTGAATAACTATGGAAAAAATATTAATAAAGAGGAGACCTCTACGATGAGTGAAAGATACAAAGTACCGGTTACAAATACTGCTCTTTTAATATAGCACGTTTACAAGAAAAAAGACATTCATCTTATGAGTGTAAAGTGTGGAAACTGATCTCTGTGTGACAGTGATTAGAAAATAGCGACCCCGCACGCACAACACACAAGTGTCATTTTTTCCGCAAGAAAGCAAGGGGTAACCTGTAATTTTTTTTTCTGACATTAATGTTGCTTCTCAAGCAAAAAGCTCAATGGGCCCAAGCTCTCAAGAACCACACACGTTTTTTGAACACACAGTCTAATGTCATTACTGACATGACACGCAGAGGCCTTGTGGCCAATGTCACTAGGTGAGTAAAAATATATGTACACAGAACAAGCAACTCAATGATAGTCGATATTAGTCCTGAACTGACGAAAAAGACCGAAACACCTACCGCCATTTACTGTGGTGTGGATCCCACCGCCAAGTCCCTTCATTTAGGCAACTTCGTCACCCTCATGGGCCTATTGCACTTTCATGTTCGTGGACACCAAACCATTGCTCTCGTAGGAGGAGCCACGGGATCCATCGGCGATCCCTCAGGACGTAAATCAGAACGTGTACCTTTATCACAAGAAATACTCGAGGTTAACGTAGCAGGTATACAAAGTCAAGTGCATCGATTATTTAAAAATGGTGCTGCTTATGCAGCCAAACATGGTTTCACCCAGACCTCGTATTTGAAACCCAAAGTCTTGAATAACTACAGCTGGTTTAATTCAATGACGGCCCTGGATTTTTTGGGCTCGGTAGGGAGATATGCACGTGTCAATACCATGTTGGCAAAAGAAAGCGTTAAATCTCGTATGGATACTACACAAGGTATTAGCTTCACCGAATTCTCATACCAGTTATTGCAAGCCTACGATTTCTGGTACCTTTATAAAAATCATGGCTGTCGTATTCAGGTAAAAAAAGAGAAATGCATCACCTATTTTGTAAAGGGAGTGCTAAGTCATTTACAAATTAGTTGGGTGGAAGTGATCAATGGGGTAATATTACTGCCGGTATAGATATGATATCTCGACGACGCTCCAGTGAGCAAGAGGATGATGAGCCTAAAAAAGATGACATTGAATCAAGAGCTTTTGGTATCACCATTCCTCTTCTGTTAACATCTACTGGGGAAAAATTCGGTAAATCTGCCGGTAATGCAGTTTGGTTAGACGAATCTATGACGAGTGTCTTTGATTTCTATCAAGTAATATCATCTCTCTTGTTTTAAAATAGCATAGTCTTATACTGATACACTTTCTTACCACTAGTTCTTGATGAAAACCGCAGACGCTGATGTTGAAAAATATTTAGGAATGTTCACCTTCTTAAAACAAGACCAGATTACAGAACTTATGAATCAACATCAAGTAATTATAGAAGAAAGAAAGATAGCAAAATATGATGTAATTTGATCCTGACTGGCATAAATTAGAAATCACCCGAACAAAGACTAGCACAGACCGCTCTCGCTAATGAAACTACAGAGCTTGTACACGGCGGTAAGACCTGAAGACGCATTTAGGATTAGCTAAGAAAAAATGCTGACTTTTTAATTTTTTTTTTTTTTTTTTTTTTTTTTTTAAATAGCTGATGGACTCCGTAAAGCCGTAACCGCTACTCGTGTTTTGTTCGGTGGAGACTTGAGCACATTATCAGGTGATCATATCATTGAAGCATTTAAGACGGATACGAATAGATTTGTTCAATTGGAGCGTTCTTCTGTGGTTGGATCTGGCTTGGATCTCTTGGCATCCATTACGAATGCTGCAAAGTCTAAATGTAAGCTCTGTTGTCTTTTATACATAATCTTCTGTTACACACATTGTTAATTACGCGGGATTTTTCTTTATATAGCGGACGCTCAAAAGAAAATCAAAGCAGGTGGATTGTATCTCAATAACACTCGTATTACTGATACCAGACATACCATTCAAGACTCTGATTTAATTGACGGAAAAGTGTGTATTTTACGTGTAGGAAAATCTTCTTATTATATGGTTCAGGTTGTATAGAAAATTTGTCAGATATAAAAAAAAAAGAAGTGGAGTGTTGCACACAATATATGGTCTGTTTAAATTAGAATCTGATTTTTTTTTAAAATATATGAAAGCGGTGAGAAAAACGAATGATAATTCGCGTATAGAACTTAATTTTAATATTTCTTGATTTGTATATTGTTGGTAAGTGTCACTATAAAGGATGGGATACAGGAGGCGATCAAAAAAGCCTCTCGTTGGTCCAAAGGTTAATTAATCAATTGCAACCAAAAGCAATAGCTTATAAACCTTAATTTTGTTGTGCGTTTTATGAAAAAGAATAGTGGGACATGTTTATTGTGCCCAAATTAGGACTTTACATGTAAATTATGATGATGGACTTGCGTTTTCTTTTTCTTTTTCATAATTATCATAATACAATGGATGAAAAACGTGGGTCGTCTCCCCTCGATCATATAAAATATTATCCCGTAACACCACAGAAAAAAAGACGCCCATATTATCATTATCTTTTTGTATTTTCATATGTTCGCAGTTGCTCGTTGCACGGCTCCACTTTTTCATTTTCATGTGAAACCCGCCAAAACCCACGCGAGAGTTAAGCTGATAACGCATATATAAAGGATTGGTCCATAAATTATTTATTTTTATTTTTTCCAATTTCTTCTTCTTTAAGCCCATTCTTTTTTTTTATTATTTAATATTTTTATATGTCGTTTTCAGATAGCCATTCTTTTCATGATTGCCCTTTAAGAACTTCTTCTTTATTGATTGTCAGTAAAGAAAAGCAAACTATAGTTACAGCCACCGATGAAGTATTTGACCTTCTTGGTTATGACCCAATAGAGCTCGTTGGTAGATCTATCAACCTGCTTGATCCACGCCAATACTATGATACCGAGAGAAAGGAACGTTTCACTCTTTGCCACGCAACCTCTGGCCATTTACCATTTGAAATATGCATCCATCATGATCCTCTTACAAACGCTACTGACCTGGATTATTGGCTTATTCGACCTGTCAACACACTGCGTAGAAAGACCTCCTCTCCATTCACCATATTACGTCTCAGCCCATTTGGCACTATCGAGCATGCATACCCATCTACCCAATTTCCACAACAGACACCACAGCTTAAAGGTCATCCTATCATGTCCTTTGTGCACGAGTCAGATGTTCGATCCATGTGTGAGAAACTATGTCATTTACGTCGTCGTCGAACTCATCACACGTTCCGAGTCCGGTGGCTGCGACAATTTCATCCTAAAGAAGCTCACACCGATCAAGACTTTGAATGGGTCTCGTTGACCGTCATGAACGCACCCAGAAGATCATCATGCGATGCTGCCAATGATCCTCAGTCTAGACCGATTTGTATCATTCGTCCTGATCAAGAGCAACAAGTAGAAACAAGCTGTTCCGGTTTCTCAACACCTTATTTATTAACTGGATTAGTTTCGGGCACACTTCGATTACTTTGGGAAGGTACCAGTGTTGGATTTAGCTCGTTTTTTGAGTTGGTGGAAGGGATGCATACGGCTTTAGATCAAGGCAAGATTTACATGATTGAGTATTTTGCACATCTTTTGACACACGCATTAAATGTGGCGAACGAGCTCTTATATTTCTCAGAAAGCAAAAAGGAAGAAGAGATGGTTTATATGAAGCATCAATATAAAATAGAAGAACATGCATCATTATTAGAAGAGAAAAAGAAGAAATCTCAATTTTATGGATTGTCTACAGTTAAAGTGGCAGTCGAAAACAATATTTGGTCTGTACCACTTTATACGAAAGCATCAAATTATTTGACAGATAAAAGTTCATTTAGAAACCGAACAAACAACAAACAAACAAACTAAATTTATGCCACCTATGTTATATCCCCTTTTTAAAATTTATGCCAATGTATACACTACTTTCTTTTTTTATATATATATGCTTCCTTTGTATTCTTTTATTATTTCTGTACAGTTAACCCTTTTTTTTTTTTTTTCATGTGAATAAAACTATTATGCCAATAACAACTTTTGGGTCAAACTCATATTTCAGCATTTTTTTTTTTAGTGTTGCAAAAATAGGCAAAAGAACAGATGTCCATCTTTCCTGATTTGGGATTCTCTATTCCCCACCATTCGTGTCATCGGCTCATCCCTCACACAAGTTCCTGAGAGAATTTCGATATTTTATTCAACGTGTGAGTTTTTAGTGTCTTTTCCTGGTGTGAGAGTTGTGTGTTATAGTCTATTAAGAATAAGTAACGGTAGGACCTTGTCCCTCAAGTACTTCTTTAATATAAATGGGTGACATGTGTGTACCGAATGATTTTATTACACAAAAATAGATTTGATAATACTACAATCCTTCAAGGGATAATTTTTCTTCCAATTTCTTGATACGAGTTTCAAGTTTCTCAACAAGTTCCTTGTTGGCGTTGCTCTGATCATCATTTGAACTGATATTGTTTAATTGGGTCAATTTTCTGTTAAACCAGGACTGATCGTCTTTAGAATACATGGAGCGTGTTGTAGCAATAGATCCGTAACTCGACTTGACCTTGAGCTGAACAAGCGCTTCAACAGAACTAACTCGGATAAATTGATAGGAATCACGAGTTAATTTAGCTAATGAAAAAAGTCAATTTATTCAATTCCCCTTGTATCTTAGTTTATTCAACTCCTCCCCTCCTCCCCTCCCCCCTTCCCCTTCCTCAAACTTACTTATTTCTTCAATTGCAGTGTTCTTTAAGCACTCAGTTTGCCATGGCGCGGATTTAGCAAGACCTTGGATTGCAAACGGTCTAGCACGAATATGCTCCTTATTTGTTGAAACTGCATTCAAAAGATGTTTGAAAGCTTCTTCACTACGATGCAATCCCAGAGCTATCCCAAAATAAGAAAAAAATCATCCGTTTAGTTGAAGAATGACTCTTTCTCACATGTTTCCCATTTATACCTTTTAAAGCTCCACCACGAATAAGTCCGTGCTGGCCGATCTTGGTGTCATCATTTGCAACTTGTAACAAGTATTTTAAATCATCATTGTTTCTTTGACTTCCAAGGGAGGCTAATGCGGCGGCATGGGCACGATAAGGAAGTCCATCTCTTTGAAGAAACCGGATTAAAGCATCACGCAATCTATCATCGACGATGGCACATGCACCAGCGATTGCTGCCATAGCCAAGGGATCCTTTTCGGCATCCAAAAGTTCGGATAAGATTTCGATACTGTACAAACTATTTAAATTTGCCAATTTTCTTGCCGCTGTAATTAAATCAATGAAATATTAGATAATGAAAGGGGCATCACATACTAGGCACTTACTGTAGATACGGACACCATAGTAAGGTTCTTGAAGAATAGCTTCACGGACAGCCTTTAAGCTAGGTCTTGAACCGTTTTTGATCAATTCAGAATAAGCCCAGATCCTGTTGACAACGTCTTTGGCACTTTTGGCAGTCTCGATCAAAATATCTCTATCTACCGAAGGCATTTCTAATGAGAACAAGACCTTATATTCAGGATCAATTCTCAATTGCGTAGGTTTCTCGCCTTCAGGTATTTGAATGCTGACAGAAACAGTCTCTAATGCATCAAACGTAACAAGACCCTGATATACACGGTCCGCATCAGTTGTCACTTCAATCTCCACAGAGAAGCCAAACAAAGGCACCTGCTCAGCTTCATCCACCTGTGTCTGTGATAATGTAATCTTCACAGCTTGATCATTGAATTCATATTGGCCCTTGAGCTTGGGATATCCTTTGGACAAAAGCCATTCATCAAAGAATCGAGATAAGTTCAGTCCGGAGGCCTCTTCCAGGCAGGATTGGAATTCGCTTGTCTGAACTGTCTTTTTGGCATATCTTTGAATGTATGTCTGAACACCAGACCAAAATGCTTCATTGCCCATTAAGCTACGGAGCATATGAAGACGCCATGCACCGCCAGGATAGGTGTGTCTATCAAACATGTCCCATGAAGAATCATATTTACGTGTGACAATAGGACGCTGTTTTTTTGTACTGATTAGTAAATCATACATGTAAAATTACAAACTAGTTACCATGTATCGTTCACATTCACTGGTATAACCAGATTGATTTTCAAGCATTTCAAACTTAAAGGCATCTTCCGAAACATTATCTTGTAAGTAACAAGTTTCAATGTAGGTAGCCCAACCTTCTTTTAACCAAGCATGTTCAAAATGACGAATAACTAATAGATCACCAAAATAGGTATGTGCCATTTCATGAATATTAACAAGATCCGTCAAATGTTTGAGCTCAAGAGCGTGCGTCTCATCCAAAATAAACATATCGTTCCAAGTAACCAAGGAAATGTTTTCCATGGCACCACGACATCCTTGAGTAGCGATTTGATAGTACTTGGACCAAGGGACTACACAGCGATACATTTAGTTTTTTAATAAATAAAAAAAAGAACCAAAATACCTACATGGCACACCGACTTTCTCCTGCAACCACTTGATCATGGATGGCGTCTTATCAAAGGCTCTGATAAGATCTTCCTTCTTGTATCTCTTATCGGCAAAATACTACATGTTGGATGCGTGTTTTTTTAGTGTTTATCGTGTATGTATGAGTTATGAATGTCTATACCTTAATGGGAATATTATCGACCTGACCATCATCCGCCTCAACAAATTCTCCCACGGCAAAACAGACTAAATAAGAAGGACTGCATAACTAATATCAGCGACCTGTTTAATGACATGCATATATTATTTACCATGGATAATCTAACTCCCACATTGTAGTTCTGTAGTCGCCATTTATTTCACCACCCATAAAAGTACCGTTGGCTAATGCAGTCAAATCTTTAGGCGCAGTGATAGCCCAACTAAGCGTTGTTCGCACGGTTGGATAGTCCACGGTAGGTAACCAATGTCTTGCCCTTATTTGTAACAAATAAGTAACATATATTTCTTTTTTCGTAAGATATTTACTTTTCAGGTTCATGATCTGTGATAGCCCACGTAGAACCTTCGCTCTCAGTATCTGGGTTTTGAAAATAAAGGCCGGCAATAGGTTGGTCTAACGTGTATTCAATAGTGACTTTGCGTTCGCTATTCTTTTCGAAAGGTTCCTTCCATGTTAAATGGATTAAATGTCCGTCATATCGATAGTCTACTTCGTCACCAGACACCTTGACGTTTTCAAAGTTCTCGGCGTTTAAGCTGATTTGCGTCAAGTCCTTCTTGTTGGACACAAGGGCCGTGCCATTATGTTTAAATGTATGCGTAACTTTACCAGTAACTATACGACTTGAAAGGTCTTTGAAACGTAAATTGATTTCTAAATATGGTATACAGGTTAGTAAATGATATAAAACTCAAATCTGATATGTATAATGATATGTACCAATGTGGATAGGCTCGATGACTTTGTTGGGAGCATATTGATTTGTAGCAGTAGGTGAATGGAATCCCACAGCACCAATACGCTTTGAAGAGCAACACGTGTGAGGCATACAGAAAGACCTTTTTGTGTGTGTGTGAAAAGTTAAAGAGAAGAGGAAAAGAAAAACGGGTTTATTTAATCAAAGCGGGGAGTACGTGGACGGCGTGGCAGTCACTAATTAAGAAATTCCGCTTCTGAGTGCTCAATCTTTCTTATCTCCCAGCCGAATCACTTTGTGGATGCAAATCGTCTATTGCAAATTAAAGGAAACTTTTACTTATTGATGTATTCTTTAGCTAACTCTATATTTAAAGCTGAGGGCGAGTCTCTAAGTTTGAAGACGCATAGAAAGAACAGGAATATGCAAAGGATTTGCGCAGTAATTGTACCCTGATTAATCCTTATAAAACACTTGTATAAGAGTAACTGTCCTACCAATGAAGGCTCAAATGGATGAAAGCAAAAAAAAACAGGTTTGTGACAGTTGGGTCATTTTTCCTTTGCAAGACATACATTTAAAATCTCAGAGTGTATGTTTCCCTTCTATTTTTTTCAATAGTGTCTACATTGTTTTACTTGATGCCCAACCCCAGTAGCTCTATCTATCTGTAATAAACATCAAAAGCGTCCTATTTTTTAAAGGAGTATTGTCATCTGTGTAAAAGTTATCAGCCCAAATTATAGTTCTAACATTCGATATTTGTATTTCTAACTAACGTTTGTTTTAATCATTTTCTTTCTGCAATGCTTAGACGATGAGAAAGAGCGTTTTATACAGACAATGCGCGTCTGCTTTTCTTCTGTAAACTTCGTATAATTTTACAGCTTCACCTTGTGTTTGAATTATTTAAGCTTAAGGCTTAAAGAGCAGAAATATTAAAACATATTGCCTGAGTATCCATATCATATTTGTAACAGGGTTTCACCACTTTAAGCTGACACTATGTCAGTTTATAATTTAAGCATTGTAATTTAGTAGAACAATTGGTATCGATTGAGATTTTAAATCATTATGTAATCGCTGTTATTGCCCCCTTGCACGTGTGTTATCGACTAAGCTATCGTCAAAATCAACGTTAAAATTACGTTGTAATTTTACATCTCTAAGAGTTGTGCACGGCTGTTGCAGAGAGAACATGATGTGTACATTGGATCGGCTCTAACATGGAAATAAAGTTCATAAAGAAATCATGTAACCCGAAGCTGCCAGTATGCCCTCTCTTTGTTTTTTTATGATTCGCTTTTACACAAAGACTGATCATTACCTGTTTTGTAAAAGGGACACTAGACACGGACACAAGTGTCCTGAAGTGAATGGTCTTTTTTTTCTTTATATGTAGTGTCTAAATTTCTCGTCGAGTAGAGTAGTTGGGATGACAAATGATACAGATATACACAATAGATGCGTATATGTTCCTCCGAAAAACCCAGATATTAATTTAATCGAACTATTTCTGGGCTCATGGAGACTAAGATGCCCACACAAAGAATATGTGAGGCATATAATGATGTATTAGTCAACAGTATAAACAATTATCGACATTGACTCTAAAAAAAGGTTTGAATTGGATTTACAGAGTTCCAATTTTAGCTCGAAGGGTGCTCCAAATTAAGTTCAGAAAATGTTCTATTTAAGAGCAAGGTGGTAGAGAGATCATAGAAAAATTCTCGATCGATGGTATGACGACAATTATTATACCCCTAGATCTGTGCTTTTGATCGGGTAGTTTTTAAATCAATTACGAGATATACGTACATACATAAAGCGGCGCACATACACTACCCGTGGCAGATGTCTATACAATTAAATTATACAGATGAAATCCTTTGTTTGTAGGTTCAATTCACATTGAAATTATCATGGCGGATTCTCCCATCGATTGCGTAATTTAATATGGTCCAAAATAAGGCACATTTCTATGGTTTTCAAAAATAAATAAATCAAATAATCGATGCGAAGTGGGATTTATTGACAAAGATAGTTGACAAGCTTAAAATGTCGCGGACAAAACGAAAATATTTGCTATTCAGGTTCTAACTCCCTTTCTTCTTATTCTTCTCCTTGTTTATTGTTCCATTAGCCCCCTTTTGACAGCTTGAGTTTTTTCTTATTTTGGGATGACTTAAAAAAGCGGGTTTCGCTGACCTAGGGGGGGGGGAGGGCTATAATGATATAAAAAGGACGATTATTTTGTACCAGTTATTTTATTTATTCATCTTTTTTTGCTTGCGAAAAAAACCCACTTTTTTTTTTTTTTTTACATTATGGATATTAAGAATTTACTTTGTAACACCAACCCTACATATCTCGAGTATTCAAAGCATGCATTTGAATACTGTCCTCCTTCCTCTCCATCTGGTTGGTCCAGTGCCTCTTCCATTACATCCGAATCCAACACAACCGCTGGATCACTCTCACCCATCATTTCACCCATCCGAACCACCAAACAACATCAGACACGTACACCTTGGACCTCTTCCGAAGATTATCTGTTAGAGAAGGGCTACTTACAAGGATTATCATGGGCCATGATCTCGTCAAAATACTTACCCCATCGTTCTCGTGGTTGCTGTTGGGGAAGATTTAAAACACTTTCAACAAAGTCAACTGAAAAGAAGAGTTGGTCTGAATCTGAAGATCGTGTCTTGGTTGGTGCCATCAGGAAGCATACAAGATTATTCAAGCAAGCTTGGAGATCTGTCGCTCTTGATTTAAATGATAGAGACTGGAGAGAATGCGAGTCAAGATCTGCACGTATCTCTGCTTTACTATCAACTCAGCAAAAGAGACACGCATTATCTTCTTGAATAACCTCTCTTTAACTCTCTCTTTTATGGTCCCTCTATCCTTCTTTTTTTTTTTATTATTTTTCATCTTTACTATTGCATCTCACATCATATACACTTTATGTAACTAAGAAATGACATTTCTTGAAATATCATTCTATAATCCATCTCATGACCCTATTCCCTTTTTTTTTTATCCAAATGCACATATACATCATTTTTTGTCTTGCTTGTTAAGACTCTAATTTTTTTCTTTTTTTTTTCTTATTATAAATAAAATGTTGGTCGTTTTTTTTGAACATATACTCGGTAATTTAGGCAACAGCCAAAATTGAAATCATACTACACGGATATTTTTATCATCATAACTTATCTCTCTCTTTCCCCCCTTCTCATCTGCTTTATTATGATTTGGATATATCTGCTGCTGATCACAGTTGCTTCATGCCAAAATGTAAATTTCACAATGTCACAATGTAATTCGGGGTTAGCTTTCAAAAAAACAAGACCGCGCATCGCATTTATTTCGCATGATTCAGCGATAGCCACTTTTTTTCATAACCCGGAACAAGGCTCTCGAGACGCTGCCAATATAGTTGATGTCGATATTGTCTGGAATCGCTATTTAACCACCACCGAGGCTAGTATGCCACACGATATTATCCAAGCAGTCAACAACAAGATGGATGGCATCATTTGTTCTATTCCCAATACACAGGTCTATAATGCAATACAATACGCGCTCTCTAAAAATGTGCCCGTCATTGTCTTCAATTCAGGCTTAGACTATGCAAAGTCTCTAGGTCTAACACGAGTCATGCAAGATGATTTTGAGGCGGGTTTGCTCTTGGGGCAACAAGTCGCAAAAGGAAATTTCACTAAAACCTTAGCAGTTCAGTTATCAAGCATGGAGGAGGAACAGAGCTCTCAAAGATTGAATGGTTTCCAACAAGCTATGTCGACAAAAGGAATGGATGTTTTCAAAATCACTGATAACGTAACGAATAGCACCTTTACACCGGCTCAATTGATTATGGATGCATTTAGAAATGGTACATATGATTCAATTATCTCTTTAGGCGGTTCCGTATGTGTATATATAAATATACAATCTTGCAGCGACGTCTGTCCGTAATAACTCGTTTTTCCTTTATGCATTTTAGACATGTGCAGACATGGTTGCAACAGCAATGCTGAATATGAAGCATACCTATCCAAATATGGCACTTGCTTCTGGATTCTTTGATCTAGGAGGGAATAATATGACTGCATTATTTCATTTAGAACAAAACACTTTTGCTGTTACTCAATTGCCCTACTACCAAACTGCATTGCCTGTGTTCTACATGTATCTTAGGGTAATAATGAAGTAATGTGGATTCATAACTTCGTCATCACTTATCCCTTTTACAGCTGCTAACAGGCCATGAGGTTTACTATAACAAGACAATCAAGACAGGACCAAACCTGATTACAAATACAACTCTGCCCAGGGTGCTACAGAACGAACAAAATTCTTTAATCAATATAAACGATAAGTCCGGATCTGTTGGTGCTCTTGTGCCGAATACGTACGGGGATACTTACAATGCTGCCATGATGGCGGGTGTAGTCAGTTTGGCACATAAATTAAACTGGACTGTATCCAATACATTGGAGGTAGAATACAATGACACCATATCATTACTCACTTTGACAATGTAAATTTAACTTTTGTCTCGAGTTGATTTATAGGATGGTCCATTAGGCGATCCAGATATGTTTCAACAGAACTTGGATTCATTTGCTGAAGAACATAATAATAAGGCGATTATCATCCAAACAAGTGACCGCACATTACTCGATTATGCCGCCAACAAAAGCAAAAACGCACCTGATACAGGCATGGCTTCCCTGGGATACTTTTATGAAAAGTTTAACCAGACATACCCGTAATATATATCTATAAGCGTTTACAAAAAAAAAAAAAAAATGGAACTGACATGACAGATATTTTAGTGATTTCTCAAATGTAGGTATGGATATCATAGAGCTCGCAAAATCAATTGCTTTTGCTGTGCTAGAGGATGGAAACACCAAGCCGATTTGTATATCAGACCGAACATCGACTGCAACTAGCCCATTTTGTCATTACTTTTACCAAGAATTTGCAGGAGGTAGAGACAAGCCTACATTGGATCAGGTTGTACATTCGGTCAATATATCTTTTTTCGGCGCTATGGAGAATGAATTTTTAGCCATCTTGACTAGATTGAATGATAATGGATACCAACCTGACAGCTTTATTACTTTTTCGGAACACGTTTTTAATATCATTAATAATGTAAGTGTTTAATGTACGAACAAGCATTGATTATAGATACAGTGTTTTGATTAAAATTGGATTGGATAGCGCATGCTCAAGGGATATCTATCCAATGATACTGCAGTGTATACTGCCGGAGAATTATTTGATCAAAATCAAGCATTTTTAGAGGGACGAGTAAAAGGACTATGGTAAAATAAGGAGATAGAGACGGTTATTCATAGTCACAGCAGTGTTAACACACTCATTCTTTTTTTTTTGTTCTATTAGGGCAACCAACATGTTCTCAATTGGCTTCATGTCATTACTTGACGTTGTATTAAACCGTGTGATGACCAGTTTTCCATCTTGGGAAAGTGCACTGATATCAGCACCTCGAGTAACCAGAATATGTGACCCGGGCACATATCATACCAATCTTACAACGAGTGCATATTGCCAAGACCTTGAAGGCAACACTCAAAGATCGATTCAATGTATAAAGTGCCCTGAAAATACGTATTCTTCTCAACCTAATCAAGATAGGTGTTTAGAGTGTGAATATGGAACATATGCTCCATTGGGTTCTTCTGAATGCATCTCATGCTACAACACATCACAGTTACTGAACCCTACAATATGTCTAAATTACATTGCAGCTCAAGATGAGTCTCGTAAAAAACTATACATGTCTATTTTTTTGCCAATTGGCATTGTTTTTGGTCTCGCATTGATAGGTGGTCTGGTGTGGTACTTTAAAAGAAGATTCTTAAAGCAGCGAGCACTAGGTAGCGACGGAACATGGCTACTATCATTGGATGAATTAGTGCAACCCTTATCAATCGAGAATATTTCTAGAGATGGCTCATTTAAAAAGGAAAAACAAAGGGATATCGTGATAGGCGCTAGTAGCAGGGTCTTATTAGGCGGATCTTCCACCTCCTCACGCCCTAGCTCAATTAAAAGATCCAGTACACCAATGACAGAAGAGAAGATATACAATACAAACCGATTGTCAATGGGCGCCGTCACTTCATCTTCTTCTATACCTGAAAATCACGGGTCAGATTTAAATTTAATTGGCACCACTTCTACTTCACAACAACAAGGGGGTGAAATTCATCATAAACGAGGAGGCTCAAAAGGTGATGGGTTAAAATTACAGTTTGATCAGCCTAGGCTTATCCACGCTCTTGGGTTTTAGTAAGTTTTATAGACACACGCGTGGGTCGAACTTTATTCGATATTTAAAAGAAGTTTTATTTAATTATTATGCATAGTCGAAATTTACCGGTCTACATTAAGCAAATTGGATTTAAAAAAATTAGAGTTGATGCAAAAGTACGCAAAGAAGTATCCTTGATGAAAAATGCAAGACACCCTAACCTAATTGAATTTGTTGGATTAATACTGGAACCTCAACGTGCATTTATTGTAGAAGGTAAAGTCAAACTTAAACATCCCTAAATTCTTTTCTAACTAAAAAAGAATCAAAATAGAATATTGCACAAAGGGGTCGTTATCCGATGTACTTGCAAATCCCGACATTAACCTAGCTTGGATATTCAGATTCTCCCTTATCAATGATTTAATTAGCGGTAATAATAAAAAATATAGAGAGACAGAAAAAAAAAGAGTCCGAGAGAAATGCAGAAATAGAGTGAAAGAGAGAGAGAGAGAGAGAGAGAGAGAGAGAATTAAAAAAAGATAAAACTTTATTTTTGCACTCCTAACTATATTTTGTGTTTTGATAGGGATGAGGTTTTTACATCGATCGAAATTTTTACATCACGGTTGTTTAACCTCGAATTCGTGTATGATTACAGGTCGCTGGGAGCTCAAAATTTCCAATTATGGACTGGATTACATTAAAAGTACACAAATAGAATCAGTAGATCCTCTTGTCAGAAAACTGCCCATTGAAGAAAATGATGCCCATATCTTGAAATCAACAAAAAATTTACTTTGGATGGCTCCTGAGTCTGTCTTCGAGACTAACTGTCATGCTTATGTCATTCATCCAACTAGAGAAGCAGACGTTTACAGTGCTGGTATTATCATTAACCAAATTCTTACCAGAGAAACACCTTACGCTTTACAAATACGTGAAAACAACACTCCAGAAATGATATTCAAGCAAGTATGCGAGAGAGATCTTAGACCCCGTATGCAGCCACCTGGTCAAGATGAATTTACAGATGGTATGAATATGATTGTTTCGGACTGTCTTCAAAGGAACATTGATGCAAGACCGTCATTTACTGCAATAGGGGTTGGTCTTTTTTTGGTCTGATTTAATTTTTTTATTAACATCATGCGTAGAATCGTGTCGAAGAAATTGACCCTTACTTCTGTGGCTCTGGCTCTGTAATAGATAATATGGCCATGTTGGTAATAAGAATAGCTCATATCATATGCCACCCTTTTTTTTCTAAATTTGTTTTAGCTGGAAAAGTATGCAAACGACATGGAAAATTTGGTTAAAAAACGTACTTTTCATCTCCAGCAAAGAACACTGGAATTAGAAGAAGAACGTGCAAGAACCGAAACTCTATTAAAAGGTTTGAAGTTTCTTTTTTAATATGAATTATTTCATTAAACATACATGATTAGATTTAAAATATGCAAAGGAAGTGGCAGAGGCTGCAGCTGCATCAAAACAAAACTTTTTGGCAAACATGTCTCATGAGATCAGGACTCCTATGAACGCTGTAATTGGTATGTCACGTACATTGATGGAAAGTGATCTTCCTCCAGATTTATATGAATGTGCAGAAACCATTGAATCCTCTGGTAAGGATTGATATTCGACTACATTCGGCTTTGCCTAATTTATCCACGCACAGGAAATCATTTGATGGCTTTAATTGATGATATTTTGGATTATTCCAAAATAGAGTCAGGGAAACTCTCTTTGGAAAGAAGTATGCTGGATCTTGTAAGTGGGATAGACGGAATCGGTCTTCTTATTTGTTTAAACTCACGTATTCATCACAGACCTATGTCATTGAGAGTGCCATGAAATTACTTTCATCGAATTATCTCAGCAAGGGCCTTGTACTATGGTATAACATTGCTCCTGATTTACCCATTCATGTAATTGGGGATCTTGTACGTCTTCGACAGATTCTGTTAAATTTGTAAGTAACCTAATCATTTTGACGTCAATTTTATTTTTCGAACTAAAAAATTAAAAGGTTGTCCAATGCTTTTAAATTTACAGCGTCAGGCCATGTATATGTATCTGTTGAGCCATACCATCCCAATTCAAACGCCCCCTCTTTCCAAGAGGATGACTCAAATATCGCATTGGTGGCACAAAGTCCGTCTATAGTTGAGGATAACATAAACCCTTTGGAAATGGTTCAGTACCTCTTTTCAGTAAAAGATACTGGTATTGGAATTCCAAAAACGAAGGCCAGTAAACTTTTCAAATCTTTCTCTCAGGTGGATGCATCCACAACCAGGAACTTTGGCGGAACAGGTACTTTTCACATAGTTATAAGGAATTCGTTTTATTGAAACCTCTTTTTTGTAAATTAGGGCTAGGCTTGGCTATCAGTAAAAAACTTTGTAAGATTATGGGTGGTGATATGGTAATGAGTTCATAACAGAGAAGAAAATAGTTTCTAAAAATAGCTGTCAATAGTGGGTCGAATCAGAAGAAGGGCAGGGATCTACATTTTTCTTTAATGTAAAACTTCAAGCACAGACCAACTCAAAAACATACAGCCAAGAATTTAATTTAAAAGATATCTCTCAAAAGTGTCCTCGTCCGCTGGTTATCGCCGATAGAGAAAGTGTTCGCATTGAATGGAACTCGTTATTAAGTAATATGGGCATTTCCTCCGTCACTTCCATGACAATTCTGGACGCGGAGAAATATTTGGAAAAGGTGTCAAAAGAACATATTTCCCTTTTGATTATTGACACGGACTTTGATCTAGTCAATAATGCTGATAGCGGAAAGATGTTGACAGCAACCAGCCAACTGACATTGAGTCGCTTTCAAAATAATTTTAGCTGGATTCAACTTATACCCACTTTGTGTATCACAGATAGCCGAATGATGCGTTCTAGAAAGCGAGTATCGGAAGAACTCGAGGCTAACTTTTCCTCCTCAGTAATCCAACACCCTCAAGGCTCAATTGAACCTCTTCCTACTCCCCACGAAGAGAAAGTTAACCCTTTGGAGGTCTCTGTGATACCTAATCCATCTACGACCGTAAAAGAGAATAATGTTTTACATCTTAGTATCAAAAAGCCTTTCAAAAACTCGGCATTAATCGATGTTTTGCATGAGCTTTTATCCAATGATGGAAGGCCCCCTACTCCAAGAAAACAACGACTGGGGTCTGTTGGGTCTATTGGAACACATGGACGCTTGTCAAGAAAGACTACTGGTATAAGCCAAAAATCGAACCGTACTTCTGAACAATCGATTGACGACCTGAGCTTGATCAAGACACTTGTTGTGGACGACAATCCAGTAAATCTCAAGGTACTTTCTCGTATGTTGACACAGATCGGTATTTCTTCCACGCAAGCAAATAATGGTCGTGAAGCATATGACACTGTACTAAAAGCATCCAAAACCGAACAACCCTTCCAGCTGATATTTATGGACATTTGGATGCCTGAATTAAACGGTTTAGAAGCCTCTGAAAAAATCCGTAAGGAAGCAGCGTCGTCATCAACATTGCCTTATATCATCGCATTGACAGCATGTGTTATGCCTGGTGACAGAGATAAATGTATAGAGGCTGGCATGAATGGATATGTGAGCAAACCCATACGAAAAGAAGAACTAGAGGCTTCCATACACACATTTACACAAACAGTGTCAAATCCTGAGCTTTAATTTTTAGCAGTGGTGTGTCCATAGGAGATATAATGCAAAATTTGGGTTGCGCGTCCCTCCCATTCTTTACTTTTCTTTTAAATAAATAAATAAAAAAAAAATGACATTTCCACCTTACAAGTTAGAATCGACTCTTACAGCTCATGAACAAGACGTAATAGATTGTGTTTACCATTAAGTTTAATAATTTTAACAAGACCCCGCCCCCTTTTTTTTGCTGCTTGTAGGTTAGAGCAGTAGCTGCCTTATCGAATGATGTCTTAATATCTGCTGCACGCGACAAGACCGTTCGTTCTTGGAATCGTACAAGCAGTAATACGTTTTCTCCTGATAAAGTTTATCTAGGCCATGGTCATTTTGTTAATGCTTTAACAACCATCAAACCCAACGAAACTTATCCCAATGGTAAATACGTCAACAATTAAGTGCTTCGTTCTTTGAATACTAAAAACATGCAGGTCTTATCATTTCTGGTGGTTCCGACAAGTTTATTAATGTATACGATCCCAATCATCCTGAAGAGCCTCGTTATACATTGATTGGTCACACTGAAAATGTATCTGCATTAGCAACTACTCCTTCAGGACACATTGTATCCGGCTCATGGGACAAGTAAGTAGAACTAGTTTTTACTTCGACTGCCTTGAGCTCCACTCATTCTTATATCGCTAAATTTTGTAGAAAAGTAATTGTATGGAAGGAATTTCAACAGGCTCAAGTTTTGGAAGGCCATACTGCTGCTGTATGGGCTGTTCTTGCTGTAGACGACGACCTGATTTTGACAGGTAAATTAAAAAAAAAAGTAAATTTTGCTATTATTGACTGATCCAAATTTCTTTCATTAGCATCTGCTGATAAAACAATCCGTCTATGGAAAAATGGTAAATTAACTCATGTTTATCAAGGCCATACAGAGGCGGTTAGAGGACTCGCTTTAGTTCCTGGTATCGGTTTTGTGTCCTGCTCTAATGACGGGTAAAACCTAAATTTATTTGTTTGACGTCTTGTTTTGTTTTAACAGCTCTTCTATAGTACACTCCGTGTATGGACTTTGGAGGGAGAATGCATCCAGCAATTAGATGGACATACATCATTTGTTTACTCAGTATCTGTTTTAAACTCTGGCGAATTCGTTTCTTCTGGTGAAGATCGTACAGTACGTATCTGGAAAGATGGTCAATGTATACAGACACTTCAGCAACCCTGTATTTCAGTATGGGCAGTGGCAGGATTACCAAACAACGATATCGTTGTTGGCGGAAGTGATGCGGCTGTTCGTGTATTTACGCGCGATGCTGAAAGAATGGCTGAACCCGAAGCCTTAAAACAATTTGATGATTTATTAGCCAGTCAAGCCATCCCTTCTAATCAATTGGGAGATATCAATAAGGAAAAATTAGCTGGACCAGAAGCTTTGCAGAAACCTGGTACAAAGGAAGGCCAGGTTATCATGATCAATATGGGAACAACAGTGGAAGCTCACCAATGGAGTGGGGATAATTGGCAAAAGATTGGCGAAGTAGTTGGCTCAAACAACACAAAAAAAACTTATGAAGGAAAGGAATATGACTATGTTTTTGATATCGATGTAGGAGGCGGCCCTGACGGAAACTTGAAGCTTCCTTATAACGTTACCCAAAATCCTTATGACGCTGCCCAAGCATTTTTGGTAAAAAATAATCTTCCTCAGTCTTATCAAGATCAGGTTTCTGAGTTTATCATCAAAAATGCTGAAGGTGTCAACTTGGGTGGTACTTATCAAGATCCATTTACCGGTGGCAACAGATATACTCCTGGTTCAAACGCTGGACCAACAATAGGCGCGACCCCTTACTCAGATCCTTTCACTGGTAGTGGCTCCTATAGACCTGGAAGTGCTCCATCAACTACCACTTCTACCTACTCAGATCCTTTTACTGGTGGTGGATCTTACAGACCTGGCAATTCTCCTGCTGCACCTGCATCACCTCAACAGCCCAAAGTGTTACCCATCCGTGGATACTTGACCTTAAAACAAGCTAACCCTGATGCCGTTTTAAACAAAATCCGATCACTTAATGAAGACATGACTGAATCTAAGCTTACGGGCGAAGAGCTTGAGTACCTATCCATGTCTATTGCATTTTTAAAAAATCCTACTAGTGGTACATCCTTGAACAACGATGCTGGCTTATTAGCAGTCATTAAGATGGTGACACAATGGCCCGTAGATAAACGATTCCCTGCTTTAGATTTGATACGTTTATTTGCACTTTATGCTCCAGAAGAGTTAGCCGGTGCTATTCCTCAAAGAGATGTTGCTAGTTTTTTGAAAGAGGCAGGTGGATTGACTCCTGAAGCACCCGTTAACGAAACGAATGCCATGTTGGCCTATCGTGGTTTAGCCAATCTTTTTAACCAAGAGTCCGGTCGTCAATTAATTTGGGATAGACGTAATGTTGTTTCTGATTTGTTACAAGTAGATGTGTCTGGAAAATTCAAAGGAAAGATGGCACGTTTGGCTCAAAGTACATTGGCAGTCAAGTAAGTAATTTGCGTAATCTTTTAAAGAAAGAAGCACCAAAAGCTTATTTTTTTTTTTTTTTTACTGTTTAGTTTTGCTATTTTACTCGCAAGTAAGCAGGAGGGAGAAGTAGAGCTTGGATTTACTGGTTCACTTGTAGAGCTGCTGAAGGACGAACAAGATGATGAGAATCTTTACAGATTTGTTATGGCATTTGGTACCTTGGTAAGTTGAATTTACCTCAGCTTTTTTAAAAAAAAGGTACTGATATAAAAATAAACAGATCTCACAATCAAGCTCGTGCCGTGAAGTTGGAAAAATCATGGATGCCAAGACAGAGATCAGACGTATACAATCCCAAAAGGCAGGGCAAGAACGTATGCAAAAAGCAACGTCTGAAATTCTCCAAATTTTAGCTTAAAAATGTTTATTGGATGACTTCCAAAATGCAAAATAGAATTAAATAGAATAGAATTAACTCCGGGAATTTGATTTTCCGAGTTAATTTTTTTTTGTTCCAAAACCATAAAATAGAATTAACTTTCAATAAATTTTATTAATTTTCATAATTCAAAATTTCTTGCTCTCTCGCCTTCCAATTAGCATAGTAAACAGTATTAATTTGGTTGACGCCAACCGTTCTTACACTGAAGTTGTGTAGTCTCCATACAAGGGTCAAGATTTCATAACGCTTAATTTTATCCGAAGGAAGCTTGGTATGAAGTCTTCCAAAAGACCCTTGTATGGCTCTCATACCCCATTCCACTGCCTGTCTATGCTTGGTAATGATAGCATGTTTCTTTTGTGTCTGCACGTTGGCTCTTTCAATGCCAATTGCGTTTTCTCTTGGTACACTTAGCACTTTGTTTTCAAACTCTCGCTTACAAGGGAAAGCAGAATCCGCAAGAAGCTTGAAAGGGCTTGGACATTTGTAAGCAAGAAACCTTTCGTAAAGTGGAATTGCTATTTCGGCATCATGCCAAGAACCAGGACAGTTATATCTATAAGAAAAAGAGTCAATTTAGTTTTGTTTGTTTAGAGAATCAAACAAGTATGTCAATCCTACCTCACATAGGCGATACAGCCATCCGGGGTATATACTAAAACTTGTGAGGCATAGCAATCACCTTTCCATCCGTTATAGTACGCATTTTGCTCGAATGGGTCTTCAGGATGTTGTATTCTAAGGTTAAGACCGTCAACAAAGCCAAACACTCCTTCTAACACCTGTTTCTCAAAGTCATTTGTGGTGTTCGTAAGCACCATATCGTTAAACGTTGTCATTTCATCTGTAGTGGGCCAACCAATTTTCCAACGAGGGTCTTTTTTGTTTTTTTCAAAAACGTTTAAGAGGGTTTGAATACCCATAGTTTTAAATCTACTGAGTGTTGCAGCAGGGACACCAAATATTATACAGAGTGTCTCCTGCTTCATGGTGTTATGCAACCACATCAGAACCAAAGCAAGTGTCATCACCGTGTCAAGTACTCTTTTACGTCCAGCCGTGCATTCGGTTGGATATTCTTTTTGGAATTCTTCGTGTAATTGATCGAATGCTCCAGTCGTCAAACCAAAATGACACATAAAGGCATCATCCTGACGACCATCAAGCAACCTTTTAGCAGCCGATTTAGTAGGTGAATGCAGACTTTTTGACGTTGTGTAGAATCGTTTAGAAATACGGCGTTGAGATTCAAGATAATTCATGTACTGATAGGCAGCAGCAGAAAGCAAAGTAATATGCGATAATAATGCTAATTTACGCTTTGTTATAGGGGGCATTTTGTATCAAAAATATAAAGGGGATAAAGAAAAAGGAAATGGATGATAAAAGAGAGATTAACTTGTATTTCGTTACCAATACAAAAGTGACAACAATTGGGTTCCACAACATCGAATCTCATAAGTCACGCCATATTATCCCAACAAGATGATTGATTCAAACAAGTCTGACATAATAGCGTGCTTTATTAAACAACGTGTTATAAAAACCATAATTTTCGCTTTTTAAAAAAGCCTTTTTTCTTTCTTTTCATATAACTTAATAAAAATAACAATGGGCAACGTAACAGGATCTGTCAGAATGACTAAAGATGAAAAAACCTATTTACTGAAAATAGTAAAGAAGGTTTTGCCAAGTGGAGCGGACGAATGGTCCCGTGTAAGCCAAATATATATGGCTGGACAAAAAAAAATTGTCGAACAAGAAAACGAGGCCATCAGGTTGGAAACAGGAACCAAGGGAACGAAGGTTGCCTATGAGCGTAGCGGCAACTCTTTGAAGGCGGCTTATCGTACATTGAGAACGGCAAAAGCACCAACAGGTAAATTATCATATAATTCGAGGTGTAATGAAAGAAATCTTGCTAACAATGATACAAACAAAAAAAATCTATTAGGCAACTCAACCCCAACTACTTTGATTACTGATGCAAAAACAATTGAGGACCAAATTGCAATCAAAGGCTGCTTATCACAGCTTCATGGTCACACGGATTCCGAGGATGAAGAGAAAGCAAGCCGCATGCATCATGGAGGTAGCGGCTTTCGCTCAATTGATGATCTGGTAGAGCAGAGTTTAACAGACAGTGACAAGAGTGAGGCATCTCCTCGTGCAGTTGGTAGAACGGTGCCAATGCCAAAGAAGTCCAAAAATACCCACCAGCATATGGAGGACTTCAACAACCATTTTGGTGTCCTGGCTGAGGCAATTGCGTTGTCTCTTCGGGGAGAAAATGAACCAAAACCATCGGTCCCAACCACACGTTCCGAAATGACCAACGTGACCGATGTCAATTTGGAAATGATTGAAAATCGTCTTGGAGCTGTTGACAATCAATTTGAGGAGGTCAACATTCGCCTGGATGGTGTGAAAAATGGCCTCAAAAGTGAACTCAATGATGTCAAAAAGGAGTTCAACGAGTTGAAGGAGACGGTAAATTTAATCAATATGTTGATTCGTATCATATATATAAACTCTATCTAACCGACTACATTATCAGATGTCAGCGATGTTTGAATATATCAAGACATCGGTAGCTAAGGTAGTTTAACTATTATAAATCATGTTTTTTTTATTCGTACTAAAAACCATAATCTTTATATGCACATTAGCAACCTATTCCTACTTCTGAAAAGGGCAAAGGCACCCGTTCCCAGAAGCGTAAAAGAGCCGAATAAATAAACGTTTTTGACAAATATTATCCATACATCTCATATCTATTATCTGCATATTATTAGCGTTTATCAGAAACAAAGTATTTAATAGAAATGTTTTTTTTTTTTTTTTTTGGAGTTAATTCTATTTTAATTCGGGGGGGTAGGGGGGTCGAATTAACTTCAAAAATTTAAGCAGTGAAATTTAAGGTTAATTCCACGTTACACAACCCAAAAAATTAAGTCTATTCTATTTAATTCTATTTTGCATTTTGGAAGTCATCCATTAATTAATTAAAAAAATAATTATGATTCAGTAAATTTTAAACCACCTAGAACTTCATCAAATCTACAAAGAAAAGAGAAAAATGTTATTACGGTTTAAGAGGTTATAATTGCCCTTTTTCTTTTACCTTGTAATCCTAGCTTTCGCTCGCTCGGATTCTTCCCGTAGAACGGCTGTCAGTTCATCCCAATCTATTTTAAGATGATTATATCTGGACTCCCAATCTTGCTTTAATGTTATTTCATTTTCCAAAGAGGAGCGGAGCTGACCCAAATTTTCTTCCAATGCCACACATTTGGAATGATTTTCCTCCTGCGACTTGGTTGAGTTTTCCTGGCTCTCCTGTAGCTGCTGCTTTAATTTTTCAATTTCAATTTGCTGATCCGATGCTTGCTGTTTAAGTCGCATGTTCTCGTTGTCTAATAAATCATTTTTCTCTTTTTCTACAGTGTATTGCTCTTCCTGTTGCTTATTTTTCTCTAGCACAGCCATGATCTCTTTTTGCAAACCAGCTAGCTGTGACTGTAGGTCGTTCTTATGTTCTGTCATCTGCTTCAACTGATCCAGAAGTTCATCGTTCCCTTCTTTGAAACGTTCCAATTCCCCAGAGATTCGATCATTTACTAATTTAGAAGTATCCACTTGTGTATGTAGTTCATCGATCTCTTGTGCCTGTAAACGTTTGCCTTGCTCATACTGCTCTGTTTTGTCTCTAAGCTCCAGCTCCAATTCTTCTACACGTTCTTCAGCCGTTGTGAACTTTGCCAGTAAATCTTCTTTACTTTCCTCTAATTCACGGATCATGGCTTGCTCTGTGATTATCAGGTTTTTGAAATCCAAGTGCTCGCCCTCTAACTCTTGGTTGCGCAACATCACATCGTTTAAAGCATCATGCTGGTCTTTCAACTGAGTTTCTAAAACCGTGATCTTTTGTTCTTTTTCTCTCATTTGGCTATCAACACGGTATGCAGCATTTAAAGGTTTTAATTTAGCGTAAATTTTCCACCAAGGCCATTCACGTAGCGACACATAGATGCGCGCATTCCGTTGCATCACACGAATAGCCTCTGTCTGTCTTGAAAATCTTGTTTGAAACTGACGCGCAATACCACCTCGACAATAAGCTTGAAATTTGGTGATACACACACTTAATTTGCTGTCACGTAACTCTTCCAGTTCAGCCAGCACAGTCGCTTTAAAGAATACTTTGGTAGTACCAATTTGATACTTATCACCATCCAGTTGCATCTGGGTGACCAACTTTTGACAGGCAGTACGCCCGTCAATAAAAGAATCTCGGTCTAACAAATAAGGACAGAGTACTTGATATCGTTTTCGGAATTCATCAAAAGATAAACGGTTGGGAAAGCCTTTGCGACAGATGCGGATACCTTCTAAAACACCATTACAACGCAATTGGTCAAGCACAAGTTTGGTTTGTATTTCTCCCGCATGTTTGCGATTATTAGGAAGAATACAACGGACAAAATGGGGATGTGTCATGTAAAGAGTATTCATTAAAGCCAGCAGCTGTTGTTTATGACGTTGTCCGACTGTTCGGAAAGAACCACTTCCCTTTCGTAGTTTCAGCATACTAGCAAAAGAAGAAGAGTATTCAGATTTCACCTGTGCCACAGAAGGTCCATCATCTGTAAGGTAATCCTCAAATAAGAGAGCGACATGTTTTTGACTAGATCGAGCAAGTAATCGAGTAATATCTTCGTTCAAAGGATCCTTATTTTTTTCAATCCAACCATCCACAGAATATTCAACATCACCAGCATAATGCTTCAAAACAAATCCGTCACCAAATCTGGTACTCTTATATTTTGCATCCGGGTTGTCCTTATCGCAGAATTTATTAAGCTTCTCCAAGAATCGTCCATCACTACCTTTGGGTGCAACGCATTCTTCTTCCAAACAGGAAAGAATACCAACCGGCTATACATATCGTTAAATGAATACAACAAATTAAAAGTTACTTGTTTGGAAAAAACTTACGTTCGTTTTTTCAATTAAATCAATGGTAGGTTGAAGATCTTTTCCAAAATCAATATAATTCCAATCAATCTTTTCTTTTTGATACTCTTCCTGTTCCAGTTCAAACATGTTTTGATTAAAAAATTGCTGAAGTTTTTCATTAGTGTAATTGATACACAATTGTTCAAAGCTATTTGCCTATATGTATATATATTTTTTACAAATAAGATAAATACAATGTCCTGGATATCTTTCCCTTTGATATTTTACCTCAAAAATTTCGAAGCCTGCGATATCTAAAACTCCAATGAACCCCAACTTGTCCTTATTCTTGTTTCCATCGATTGCCTTATTCACACGTTCTACTAAAAATGCAAAGTTTCGCTCATACAAGGTTTTTGCTAATGCATCCAGACTGGCCACAACCTGCGCAGGCGATTTCGCTTGTGTGACCCAGTCTCGGCCTGCCTTGATACGAGGAGCCAATAAACTCTTCTTAAAATCTTCTGCAGAGATACCTAATAAATGGCACACTCGCTCTACAGCAGAAAAGTCTCGAATATCAGCTCTGTCACGGTAATCTGTAACAGATATGTTACCCAAGTGAAGAATAGAAGCTACTATACGAAATAAGTCAATCTTTTCTTTTTCTGCGAGACCCATGATTTCCAAAGATTTCTATAATTGGCAGGATGTTAATTCTTTGCCATGTCTTTACAAAAAGATGAATCACTTACGCATAATTTCACATATTCCTCGGCGTCATCTACACCTTCAATGCGCTTATTTGATTGTTTAATAAAATTGTAATCTTGCGCTTGACCATCCAATAGTAGTAATTCTATCCAGGTTTTAAATGAGTCAAGGAGGAACCACTATACAGTTCGCATCACTTACTTTTAATATCTTCGTCAGCCTCCAAAAGCTGATAGAATATGTGATAGTTTCTCTCCTTTGAAGTTTGTTGATGAACTCGAGACTTTTCCAATAAATACCATTCAATGTTTGCACCACATATCTGTGCTCTATTATTGAATTCAATCCGGATAAATTTACCCTTTAAATAAAATAAAATAAATATTAAAATGAAAATTGAATATTACAATATTAAGCACTTACAAATCTAGAAGAGTTATTATTACGTATTGTCTGAGCATTACCAAAGGATTCAAGAATTGGATTGGCTTGCAAGATTTGAGTTTGTAAAATGTTGGTAGTTGGTTTATTTGTTGTGGTTGCAACTGCTGTCAGGTATTGAATGACAATTTTTGTATTTTCGGTCTTGCCAGCACCAGATTCACCGCTAAGTCATTTTTGTTAACAAACAATCATCGTCATTGTTTTTAATAAATACTTACGTAATTAAAATCGATTGGTTTTCTTTGTCTTGCACCATATCATGGTATGCTTGATCCGCTACAGCATAGATGTGAGGTGACATCTCGCCACGTCTTTTTCCTTTATATGATTGGATATACTCTTCAGAATATATAGGAAGCTTTCTATAGGGATTTACAGCCACCAAGAAAAGACCTGAATAAGTCTATATAGAAACAGGTTAGCACCATTACTGCTTGTTTTAACGTACACATACATAAACGTGATTGGATTTATATCGAACGGTCAAATTATGTATGACAGATGGTTCATTTAGGTGAGTCAATTCGGCCATATCGTCCACCATGTCAAACTTTGGCGGATTCATAGGTTGAATCATGGAAGCGCGTATCACGGCGGTCTAACGATAATACAATGAAAAACATTTGCATAATGAATATGTGTAAACTAATGATAGTGATAATAATAATAATAAACTTACACCTCCATGTTCATATTCTACTTCTACAGTGTCTTCATCCTCACGCAAAACATGTCCTCTTACATATCCTTCGTTTTCATCTTGAATCCAAACCCATTTCTTTTCATTAAATCTTGCTTGTGCTACCGCATCCAAGACATCGTCTGACTTGGGCCTTATAAATTTTTTTGAACCATAGCTATGTATAAATGAACCAACACCATTCGAAGGTGAAGGACAAGGTGATGATGTTGAAATCATGGGTATACGAAAATAAACAAAGTTTAAAAGAGAAAAAACAAAGAAAAAAAAATCCGAAATATTGCATTTATACCACTGTTTTGGCGAACGTCCCAAAAAAGGCAAATTCCAAATAAACGGAGAATGATCTGGTTAAACAAAATCCCCCTACTATTGAATCAACAATAATTTATTTCAGTTCTAAAAGTGCAATTTCTTCTTCAATGTCTGTTCTTAATTCAGTGATTGTAGATGGAGGACTATGCTGTCTTAGTTTGACACCCGCTTCTTTAAATACTTTGGCTGTCATCAAGTCCATACCATAAGATCGAGAATAGACAACTTCTTTGACGCCCTGTTGAATGATCTTTATAGCACAGCCTAAACAGGGGCATGTATTGCAGTAAAGGACAACTCCGTTGTCATAAACAACGCTTCCTCGGCCGGCCTCTAATAATGCATTTTCTTCAGCATGCATGCATAAGCATCTATCTAAGGCTGTACCACATGGGGCCCCTTCATTACAACGAGGACATCCTCCTTCGTTACAGTTACGTAAGCCTCTAGGCGTACCGTTATATCCTGTGGCAATTACACGGGAGTCCTTGGTCAAGATACAGCCAACTCGTCTCTTCATACAATTACTGCGTCTTGCAGCCAAATCTGATAATTGCATAAAATACGTGTCCCAGGTGGGACGAAGTCTCTCTTTGTTGGTTAAATCTCGACCATCTAATGCATTATATAAGCTACATTTGTCCTTGTAAATGTTTGTAATAACTAAATCTGATGATACCATAATGTTGTACAAAGGGGTAATCGTATGAATCTCTTCCGCATCCTCCGACGAGATATTATACACTGTTCGATCATCTTGTATCAAAAATTCTTCTAAGTCTAATGTTTGTGCGTTGACTGCTTTAAATCTAATTTAATCCCAAAATTGTTACATAAGTGTGTTACATAACCGTTTATATGCACTTACCTTGCTGCACAACGCTTATATCTAGTAGTAATGGGTGCCTCGACTGCCACAAGCAAAAAGAAGGGACGTTTTCTACGTAGAAACAGTAAATATACTTGTCATTTTTTCACTCAAATAAAATTTACTTTAAAATCCACAAATCTCGACAGTCGACATCACAAGTAACAAAATTGTCTTCCCATCTTTCAGTAACATATGTTTGCATGGCTTGAGGGTCTGTAAATCGCTTTGCATCATTGTATAAACCTTCACGTTCAAAAGTGTCCAAGCAGCTATCAAGTGTTAAGCATTGGAAGTTGTGCTTTTCAACAAGATACTGAGCAACCAGGTGTTTTCCACTACCGGAAGGTCCAGTAATGCCAATAAACATTAGGAAGTGAAAGAAAGGAACACAAAAAAAAAAAGGGGGCCATCATAGCGCCACCACCTCCAAAAAAAAAAAAAAAAAAAAAAAAAAAAAAAAAAAAAAAAAAAAAAAAGCACGTGACCAGCTTCAAAGATTATAAAAAGTCCACGCTTTACCCGTCCTACTTTTTTTTTCGTAAGTCAATTCGCCACCCAATGTCTAACAACAATCAACCGCCCACACACATGCAACAGTTACCCCAAATGATTGCTCAATACCAGCAAAATATTGAGTTTTTAAACAACAATATAGCTCAATTACGTCGAAATATTGAAAGAACAGATATTTCTCAAGAGGAAAGGGAAGTATTCAAAAAGCAAGAACAGGATCTCCAAGGAAAGTTGGCCTTGCATCAAACACTCGTCAATAATTTGACCCCTCAAATGGTCGCTCAAAACTTACAACAACGTGTTTTAAATCAGCAAATGTCACCTACTACTTCGGATAACATGAGCACACCCGGCTCTCCTGCTTTTAATCAGCAACAACAACAACAACAACAACTGGCTAATTTCTCTAACAATGCTGCGCAACAACAACAACTTCGTAAGAATAGAATAGTTTCATCTTTTTAATATATTGACTAAAGTTTATGGGAATAGGCTCTGCTCAACAGCAACAAGTCATGAATAAAATGGGTCAAGCAGTTGCAGCCGCACAGCAACAACAGCAACAACAACAACAACAACAACAACAACAACAACAACAACAACAGCAACAACAGCAGCAGCAGCAGCAGCAACAACAACAACAACAACAGCAACAACAGCAGCAGCAGATGCCTCAAGGATTTCCCTCACCCACACCTGTCAAACCCAATGCGGCCGCCCAGGCTGCTGTTGCAGCCGCTGCTCAGTCCGTAGTGAAAAATAATAACGGTATGTTTACATTTCCCACAAACACATCTTTGGCCGCTACACCTGCTACACCCACAACTTCTACACCAGCCACACCTACAGCAAACCCTCCTCTGATTTCAACTCCTGCACCCGCTCCCAAACCTTCATCAGCACCATCATTAGATAATGATGGTGTAAACCGTGTTTTAACAAAAAGAAAGATACAAGAATTGGTATCCCAGATCGATCCAACCGAAAGATTAGAGCCTGAAGTTGAGGAAGTAAAGTAGTTAATTGTATGACTGTATTAGAAATTTGTTTATTCATACAAAAAAAAAAAAAAAACACTAGATTCTTTTGGAGATAGCGGATGAATTTATAGAGTCAGTCACCACATTCGCGTGTCAGTTGGCCAAGCATAGAAAGTCGGACACACTTGAAGTCAAAGACGTACAACTACATCTGGGTAAGTTTAATGTAATGAAATATGAGACTAGCATAACCAACAAATGTTAATAGAACGTAACTGGAACATCCGCATTCCAGGTTTCGCCTCTGATGATATCAGGCCATTAAGAAAGCCCACTGTCCCTGCATCTCATCAATCAAAGTTACAGGCTGTAAATGCAGCAAAGAACCAAGGCCCAAGCAAGGATTAAAACATGAATAAAAAGTACATTTCATTTTTATTATTATTTATTGAAAAGATAATTAGTCTTTTTTCAGAGTAGGGGGATGTCTCTGAGAAGGAAGTTTGGGATTAGTTGATATACAATATTCTTATATCTTATAGACACTTACACTCCCATATTCATCAGAGCATTTACAATGCGCTGAACAGTGCTTACAGCAAGATTTGATCTTGCTTCTCTGACAGCCATCAACATTGCATCTTACTTTATCTTCAGTTAACATGACCGTGCTATTCTTTGTTTTGTTTTGTTGTTTTTAAAAAAATTATGTTTTGAAATGAGAAAAAGAGGAAGTCAGGAAGAAGAAGACTATGTAACATTTATAGTATGTGGCACTACTAATTATGGTAGGCAATAGTAACAATAACAATGGTTTTAATTGGAAATTTGTGTTGCTACTTCCTGGTAAGATCTCAGCATCTGCTTTGGAAGCCTATCTCGTGGTTGGTCATTCGAACAAGTTAGAGTACAAGAGCTTTGTACAGCCAGTAATTGACTAAAAATATCGAATGACTGTCATCGTTCACATGAATGCTATTTTGTACCGAAAGGACAAATACTATGAATATGAAAATTCCGTTTATACTTCGATCAAAATCCTCAAAGTGGAAATTTAAACCATCTATAATATTAGTGTCTTCGTAGATAAATCAGAAACACACTTAATTTTCGAACGAATCAACTTAAATAGAAGGCAGGCACAAGAAAACAAATCCAATCAACAAATTTATGTACAAATGTTGGGAGTATCGCAGAGGATGCTCTTTTAAACTTACTGACTATTACCATAGGTCTTGTGAGTCGTTGTAGTAGTTTATAAAAATGACTTTTATGGCCAGTACATAGAGTTTTACTCTATATTGAACAATCTTAAATATTTCGTTTACAGTATACACTTACATTTAACCTCATTCAAATGCATGAATAAAACACTAAGAAAAAAAAACAATAAAATATGTGCGCTTTGCAATAGCTATACCTGCCCTGGCACCTCCAAAATAAAATTCTGCATTTGTAAGTCTTAAGAAAAAGATATCCAGCTAGAGTCGCAATAATTTAACCGTTTATTTTGTACTGTAGATTAAACAGATGTGTCATATTTATCATACGATTCATACAAATATAAAATATATGGCTGACGATTTATGATTGACCATATAGGTATGTACAAAGGAGATGGGTTGGAAAGAAAATTTAAGGCCGAATCTAAACTATATTTTTTTTATTGATTAGTCTTCGTTTTCTTTGCTTAACAAACAAACAGTTGGTTTTAAAAACCTGGCGTAATTGCACAGTATTAAATCTTTAACTGTTCGACAGAGAGCAGCAAGACTTCCACCAGCTGGATAAAGGAATTTATCACTTCAACCGTATCTTAAACAAAATCACAGTCTCTGTTCTAACGTATAGTCTATGCATATTTATCTTAAATCAACTTTTGCTACAGCCATTATTTATTGTCAAATTATGAACAAACAGCTTATCGAAATGCAGGACAAAGACGAGCACCTATCCTGCAAATTTTGCTCAAATGACTTATTCTTAGATTGATGATCTATAGTAGAAAACTAAAATTTTACGAATATTAAAAAAGCCGTTTGGACGGTCTCGCCGTGAAGGCCTTAAGTGTTCAAAGTTTAACTTATCTGACAATCTCATACCTGATTTTCTCAATGTGACTTGTCAGACCCATATTTGTCACAAGAGCCAATAATTGAGTTTGAAATAATGCAAACAGTCTCACCGTCCGGACCGGAATAAATGGATGGTCAGGCTTTGATTATGTCATGTTTGTGAGAGGGGATCTATCGAGAGCTTATAATATGGAAGCAAAGGGCGGAAATCTTGAATCATTCTCTTCTCCTTGTAGTCTAAAATGGTAATAAACATGCACAAATTTTTTTCATGGATGATAGATTGTAAAAGTATGATGGAAGCAACGATGGATGGATTGAGTTAGATCATGATGAAAGAACCCGAATATCATCAAAACACCTCACGCCCTTTTTTTTTTTCTTCGGCCGTAAACTCAACACACAATTTATTAGCATTCGTTCACCAAAATAAAACAAAAAAAAAAATGAAACACTACACCAGGACACTACAACACCACAGGTTTATTTCTCGGCCCCAAACCATACGAAACGATGTAGACGAGATACATTTGTCACACATTTGTGAATTTCAACTTGCACTAAAGGGATCGATCTGTCTAGACGCTTTACATCACATTTTACAATCTATCATTATCAGAGGGCCCTTTTTTGGAAAGAAAAGGCCAAAGGAGTGTTTTTTTTTCAAGTATTAACATTTCAATTCGTGTTTTTTTAGGGTATCGACCTCAAGAACCATCACGTTAAGAACACTAACCGTACTTCTCCCAAGTCCGAGAACGTCTACTTGGCCTTGCTTGTCAAGGTAATTTAAGGAAATGCTGATAACGTAAGAAGAAAGGAGTTAACAGTTTTAATTTTCGTAGTTGTACCGTTTCCTTGCTCGTCGTACTGATGCCAACTTCAACAAGGTTGTCTTGAAGCGTCTCTTTATGTCTCGTGTCAACCGTCCCCCTGTCACTGTTTCTCGCATTGTCAAGAACGCCAAGGGTAACAACACTGTTGTTGTTGTCGGTACCGTCACTGACGATTCTCGTCTTTTGGACCTCCCCAAGCTTTCCGTTGCTGCCCTTCACTTCACCAAGACTGCCAGAGCTCGTATCTTGAAGGCTGGTGGTGAAGTTTTGACTTTGGATCAATTGGCTCTCCGTGCTCCCACTGGTGCCAACACCGTCCTCGTCCGTGGTGCCAAGAACTCTCGTGAGTCCGTTAAGCATTTCGGTATGGGTCCCCATAAGAACAAGAAGCCTTTCGTTCGTTCCAAGGGTAGAAAGTTCGAAAAGGCTCGTGGTAAGCGTGCTTCTCGTGGTTTCAAGGTCTAAATTTCTTTCTCATTTTTATTGCCGAGAAAAATTTATTCCTGTCGTTTTCGATTTATTTTTTATTTTATTAAATACGTGGAAAATGACAACAAGATCATTTATCAAATCCCAATTTACAAAAAAAAAAAAGAAAAGAAAAAAACTTGGTTTTGTTTATTTATGTGTGTGTGTTTGCTTTGATTTGACGTTTAGTGGCATATAATACCTGATTGATGGCTTTGTGTCTGCCTACTATTTATGGACAGTCTGGTTGTGTTGATCTATTTACTGTAGTTCACCTTAATATTGACTTTAATTGCTCTTTTAATTTATTGGATGACTGTAACCTCCCTTTTAAGCTTATGTCGAATCGATGGCACTAAGAGGTCCACTTATTGACATGACATGTCCCTGTCACTAAACTCTTTTTCATAATGGAAATCGATTTATCGATATTTAGTCTTTTCAAATACTTTAAAACTGCGTTACCTTTGGCAAAGTCATGTCGGACACGCCCTATTAATATATTTCAAGGTTTTATCTCCAACCAAGGATATTGGTGTTGTTACCGCTATCGTACCGGATGGAGATATATCAAAGCACAATGCTGCTGTCTACTGTCTAACGGCTGACGCCTAATAGCCTTAACGTGCCCAAATTGTATCTGATATTATTGCCTGTCCAATGGATTATCAAAAAGCGACAGTTCCCGCAACACTACCCTCTTACCTTTAATAGAGGTTCTACTCTGCTTTTAACAGCTATCCAGATGACGGGGTTATAGCGAAAACTTCCACTCTCCTCGTTGTTGGCCTGATTCTGTAAGAGATTTACTTATATTGCTAGCATGAAAGTAATTCGTGCTTAATTTAAATTTGTTGCAACGTACAGTAAAACATATAAATATCTAAATGCTGGCAGGAACATTTGTAAATGATAGGTTTTTAAAAGCTACAATCCGATGGTGACTTTCAATAATAAGCGTTAGTGCTCTATCTTCCTTTGCTATCGATTATTACTAATTCTAAAGCTCTAAAATACGACAGGCGTAAAGTTTAAAGAACTACTAGTTAAATTTAATGAAAATATTTAAAAGTTCGAGCCAAATAGATAAACCCTTCACTACTAGGCACCATTGTTATGATAGAGAAATTTCGCGTCGGTTTTGTTTTTTTCAAAAGGGTTGTAATATACAATGATGACAAAATATGGGATATGGTTAGATTGCTGTCTAATACTCTACGACAGTCCGCTAAGATGTTTGAAGAGACTTGGGTAAACTTGGCAGTGGATTAAAAAAGATGTGACGAGAACAGTTTCTCCTCGACTAATTCAGATTCTGCAGCAAGATCGATATGCCACCTGCAGGTAACCCCATTGTGTTTCAAATATTGAACAGGTTTTTTGTCTTGTATCACAAAAAAAAAACCATCGTTACGTCATTTGTTTATGAAAAGGGGGGAGAAAAGAAAAAATTAAAAAAGGACTTCCGTTATTCTCATTTGCCGATCAAATTGCAAAGATGGAAGCTAGTATATTTTCACCAAGTTTAATAAAAGGGTTGACCGACAAGATATACGATCGCAGAAAAGCAGCAGCCTTGGAAATAGAAAAGTAAACAACACTTTATTTCCTTATGAAAAACTTACTTACAACGTGTATTAGGCTTGTTCGTGACAATGAAAAATCAAAAGAACGAATCACACAGATTGTGGACGCTCTTGTTCAAGAGTTTGTTTATTCTAACAATCCTTACGCTCGGTACGGTGGACTTATAGGTTTAGCAGCAACCTCTATAGCCTTAGGACCTGTAAGTAGTTTATCGGGTCTCGCTAAATACAACTGACATCCGATTGTGGCATAGGGTGTTTCAAGATATCTAGATATTATTGTTCCACCTATTTTGTCGTGTTTTAATAATCAAGATCAGAAAGTAAGATACTATGCTTGTGAGAGCATGTACAATATTGCCAAGGTAGCAAAAGGAGAAGTGTTGAGATACTTTAATAGTATATTCGACGCTTTATGCAAAGTAAGTCATTACTTTTTGTTGTCATATAGGATTATTTTATTAAATCAAGTTCCTCTCAGTTGTCGGCTGATTCTGAAATCAGCGTGAAAAATGGAGCTGAATTGTTAGATCGTTTGATTAAGGACATTGTATCTGAACTTTCAACAACCTACGTATCTCGCTATGTAGAACCTTTCAATACAATTGAAGCCGGAGGAGCTGAATTGAAAACACCATCCTCTTTACCTAGAAATACTGCTTTTTCTTTACCGAGATTTATACCCTTATTGAGTCAACGTATATACGTGCGTAATTCGGCCGCAAGGCAATTTTTAGTTTCTTGGATGTGCGTTTTGGATTCGATCCCAGATCTGGAATTGATCTCGTTTTTACCCGAATTTTTGGATGGCTTGATCCGCTGCTTAAACGATGTTAGTAAAGATGTACGTGTAGCTACAAGCGGACTTTTGCAAGATTTCTTGGACGAAATTAAAGAAGCTGCCGCTGTTCAATTAATGCAGTCAGATGTAAAAAATGAAATAAACGTGGAGGAGCAAAAGGAACCAAACCAAGATGATAATACGCAGGATACCACTGAAGAAATTGTAGCAGATACTGAAGAGAAAGAAAAAGCAGAAGAAAAGAAGGAAGAAAAAGAGATTAAGGAAGTAAAGGACGTAAAGGAAGAAAATGAAGTTGAAAGAACCGATATCGAGGAAGAAGAGAAACTTGGAGCGGAAAATGATGGTCACGGTAAAGGAACCTATGTACCTGGTCAAGGTGTGATTGTGCAGTATGGTAAAATTGTGCAGATTTTAGTACCTCATCTGTCCTCTTCTGAACAAGAAATCCAAAAAACTGCCTTGTTGTGGATCAACGCATTCATTGAAATTGCAAAGGATGTCATCATCTCTTTTACGCCCGAAATTATCAAGGCTGTATTGCCTTCTTTGGCGCATCCTGTTTCTGATATTAGCATTATCGCACATGAAACAAATAGAAATCTTCAGAAATTAGTTTTGGAAACGCCTATTCATGTGCCTGAACCCACAGCAAGTAAAAGTGATCCTTCTGGTGGTGTTCAAAAGCCTTTACTACAATCAAAGCACGCCCATATTACGAATGGCCGAGATCCGTTTGACTACTTGACTACCGTAGCCAATTTAAGATTACAATTTTTAAATCAACATGAAGAAACTCGCGTAGCGAGCTTAGATTGGCTTTTAATGCTTCACAAAAAAGCACCCAATAAGGTGAATATTAATAGCCGACGAAGGAATACATATAGCAGGTACCAATATATTTTATACGTAGATTTTAGCGTCTGACGACGGCACATTCCCAGCACTTTTGAAAACTCTTTCTGATTCATCAGAAGAAGTTGTTCGTCGAGATTTACAACTTTTGGCACAGATATCATCTTACTCTGATCAGGATTACTTCCGTAGTTTTATCATGTCCTTGTTATCTTTATTCAGCACAGATAGGCGTCTATTAGAAACAAGAGGAAGTTTGATTATTCGCCAATTATGTATGAGCTTGGATCCAGAACGCATCTATTGTGCTATTGCTGACATATTAGAGCAGGACGAAGATTTGGAGTTCGCCAGTATCATGATCCAAAACCTTAATATTATCTTAATCACGTCTTCTGAATTAGCCAATTTACGTAAGCGACTTCGTAATTTAGACCATAAAGAAAACCAAAGACTCTTTAATACCTTGTACCGATCGTGGTGTCACAACGCCGTGTCTGCTTTTTCACTTTGTTTGCTGTCTCAGGTCTATGAGCATGCTGCAAACATGCTTCAAATATTGTAAGTACGAGTAAAAAAATATAAAAAAATAAGCATCCAATTTAATTTTTTTTTACCATAGTGCTGAACTAGAAATAACCGTCAACATGTTAATTCAAGTAGATAAGCTTGTCCAATTATTAGAATCGCCCGTATTTACATGTAGGACTATTTCCATTATATGCCTTATTTAAGCTGTCTTTTTAATTTCTATTGTTATAGACCTTCGTCTTCAGCTCCTTGAACCCGAAAAGTATCCCTATTTATTTAAATGTCTTTACGGCATTCTGATGCTACTGCCTCAATCATCGGCCTTTTCTACCCTCCGTAACAGATTAAACAGTGTATCTTCACTTGGTTTTCTACATGTCTTGCCAAAGAGGTAACATACTTTATTTATAAAACAAAACTTAGCTAACCTATTTATTCACTTAAGCTCTTCTAGTGCCTCTGGCGGGACCGTGAGTACAACCTCAACTGACAATAAAAAATCTAACATAACCTCTGCCTCAAAGAGTACGAAAGTTGAAGAAACCAATACCATTAAATACCAGGAACTTTTGCAACAATTTAAGTCAGTTCAATCGAGACATGAAAAACAAAGAAGGCAATGTAAGCAAAAGTTCCCTCTCCTCCCCATTATGAAAGTGGGGTTTCTAATTGATAATTTTTAACTCTTGTAGCAATGCAAAATGTTTCACGCTTTACTTTACCAAATACCGCACTCGCTAACAGAACAAGAAGGCCACGACTAGGTTATGGTAAAAATACTGTACTCATCTATACAAGCAGGCATCAATTAATTTATTTATTTATTTAGGTGAGGGCAGCTTATCGCCGAATCAAAGTCAACAGCAACTCTTCTCTTCAGGTCATGAAAATAACAAAGGGCTAGGCATTAGTAATAACGGTAATAGCAATCTCCCTTCTGCAACAGGTGGGATTCGTAGCGGCATGGCAAGTTTAGGATTGACTCCCTCAGGTGGGTCTTCCTCAAACAATGAAAATACTTCGTCATCCACCGATCGCTCTAATGGAGGGGCAAGCAACACTGCAAACAATAGCAGCGGAACGAATAACAGTACTTCACGCATGGTTGGCCGAAGAACTCGAAGAGTTTAATTCTCGAATATGTATTTATCCATTTATTATTAATTAATAAACGGCTAGAAAAATTGTATTAAGACAAGTCTTTATGCCAGATAACTTGTTTATACTATGTATTACATGTTAGAACTCCAAACAGGAATATTTTATTGGGTCATGCATGTTGTACTTACAGATTGATCTATATATCAATTATCTTGGAATCTAATCTTCAGCCTTCACAAGAGTAAGCGTCAAGGACACCAGATTTTACAGTCTTTTTTTTTTTTTTTTTTTTTTTTTTTTTTTTTTTTTTTTTTTGAATATTTTGCTGCGCCATACACATACACGAGAGTTTTATAACACCGAGGGCTTCAACAATTCTACCACCACAGACAGGTATACCAACACCGAGAGCTTCATCTCGGCAGCTTCGTATAAATTATGTAATTTTACTTTAAGTGCTTTGCGATCAGATTTTCATTTACGCTTTTTTTTTAGAAAAAAAGGTAGTAAGCTGTCAAAGCAAATCAGACGTCGTTATTAGCTGCTCACCGAAGATGTTGGTTAATTCATGAAATAGATTCTTTTCTACTATTATGTCTTGGTCAATATTTATTAAAAAGTTTCGTGTAAATTTTTTGAATATTATCGAGTCCAATTACATTCGGCATTGCTTGATCATACTCGTTTTTTCGCGTGATAAAAAGATCTAAATTGGTACCATTCAGAATCTGTACTAATGAATGATATATATAAAGACTACTTACAATATTCCATATGAATATTGGCGTTGATAAATAAATCGGAAGACCTTGCTTCCTGATGATATAGCGTTAGTACGGATTTAGATCTAAATAGGGACAATTATTATTATATAACAATTGTGATAGTGAGCACCAGACTTTTAGTAGTCAATTTACAATGGACAACAAACAGCAACGAAACTAAAAAGCAGAGTATTTATAAGAAAGATCCTATCCTGTGTAACAACAAGCCATATTATTATTGTCTGCAGCAGAGTTCTTTTAAATGAAAATATATGTTATATTTCATTACTTTACTGTATTATTTTATTAAATACCACAGGTCCATAACATAAACTATTGTAAGTACTCAAGACGTAGGCCAACCTAAGAGACTTTAGTGCCATGTAAATTGTTTTTTAATATCACCCGTTACTAACACCGGGTTTAATGCAAAACAATGCATGTCCTTGAATAAGATTATATTATAAGCAGCACATGTGTATACATCTGCGTCAAAATAACACCAGGCTATTTATTATGGTTATTTAGATGAGAGCATCAGAGCGTTTAATAAATTTGACCTTGTAAGGAATGGGTAAAATAGTGAGGCCAGCATTTTCGGCACCCACAATATCAGGCATGCCTGCATCAGTAGGCTCAACAAAACACCTGGAGAAAAGTTGTGTGAATGCTTGGAAAATTTCAATTTCGGCTAAGTAAATGGCAGGACAAATACGTCTACAACAGCAAAAAAAAAGTTTAATGAAACTTGTTAAAACAACGATATGTTTTCTTGTTGTTACCTTCCCCAACCAAAGTTGTAATGATCACGTTCTTCAAATCTACCATTTGCTGCTGCTTGCATTGTCTTGAGATTAGTCATAAATCTTTCTGGAATGAATTTTTCGGGCTCGGAATAGACATTGGATTTATGCATACTATCCATGTTGGAAATGATAGTGGCTCCCTTGGGAATGATATAACCATCGATCTCAACTGTTTTTAGAAAAAAAAATATTTGCTAAGCATCTAGAGAGTAAAACGATTGGAAAAGAAAATGAACTTACGGTCTTTATGTGTTGTATGGGGTACACCAAATGGTGTGGTAGGTCTATATCTCATACATTCCTTCATAACAGAAACACAGTAAGGCAACTCAGTTCTTTCATTGAAAAGAGGGAGTCGTCCATTTTTCCTGATAAAGCTATCAAGTTCAGCAGATGCGGCTATTTGAACTTCAGGGTGATTACACATAATAGCAATGTTCCATGCCAAAGTGACAGAAACGGTGTCCGTACCAGCGGCCATTAAATCAGCTTATTGGAATAAAAATCATGTTAGTTTCTTCAAGACTCTTTCACAAATTTACAACTTACATGTAAAGACAAGAGTGTCATCCTCAGATAGATTGAATCCATTTTCTTTAAGAGACTTAATAACATTTGGACTTGTACTAGCACGAGCTTCCTCGATTAATTTTCTGTAGACAGGATTTCGTCGGTTTTTGATGAAACTCTTTTGTTTGGCTTGAGTTCCAGCAAAGTAATCAATAACGGAAACGACCGGCAAGAAATTTGCCAAATCATTCTCTAAACCAGCAAACTTCATACTAGTCTCAATCATAGTCGATAAATTAATGAACTCTTTATCATGTACAGAATCAAATTTTCTTCCAAAGGTTGCTGAGAACACAACATTGAGAGAATTTAGTTCTAAATGCTTGAAAGGGTCTGTAGCGCCTTCCTTTTCGGTTGTTTCGATAAAGCGGGTGACTAAATTTTCGGATTCTTCGATGATAGAGTCCATGTATTTTTCAATGTGTTTGGGTCCCAAGACAGACAACACTAGTGTAATTTATGATTTATAAGCATATATCGAATAGTGATTGATACAATTGTTACTCGACTTACTTGCAGCTCTTGCTTCCTTCCATTCAGCATCAGGCTGAGAAAAGACAACACCTCTATATATAAAAAAAAAGTGTCAGATTCTATTTCTCTCTCTCTCTCTCTCTCTCTTTTTTTTTAGAAAAAAAAAGTTGGTAAAGCTACTTACTTTCCATTGAGACTATAATGGTCGTGTGAGTAAACGCTATGTGGTCTGAATGAAGATTCAGCGCCATTCGAGACAAAAATTTTGTGAGCTAAGGCGGGATCACCGATCATAATCCAAGTCTGAACACCCATACGAAGTTTAATGATAGGTCCCAATTCGTTGATCCATTCAGACACTTTTCTACCGGGCAATTCACCCATTGATAACATATGGCCAACATAGGGATATGCAGAGCCAGGTACAGGGATTTCTTTGGTACCCTTTTTTTTGTTAGATTTTATCAAACGATAAGATGCGAACAAGACAGACGTGGCTGCTGCGATGCTAACAATAGGCACGATCTCTTTTCTTTCAAATTTTGGCAATGAAAATGTCTCAATAAATTTGATAGCTTGATCCATGATTCGTAAAAAAATTAGTGTAAGGAAACTGATAATCAAAGAAAAGAGCAAACTTATTTCTCGGCTAATTTATATGAATTCTGGATGATAAAATTAACTCCTACATATAAATCTCGTTCTCGAAAAACCTTATAACGCGCAAAAAAAAAAAAAAAAATCATTACTAGTGTGAGCTTGTGCTTTGTCCTTCGGAATGTCATACAAGACTATACTGATTGACGCATGTGTTACCTCGTTAGATAGAATTTCTTATTTTCAAATTCATTTAAATCAGTTTTTTCATCTGTTTAAATTACAGACGAATATGACTTTGAATTTGCTTCGGGTAAGACAGAAAAAGAACGAAACAAAAAAAAAAATACATTATAAAGTTGTCATGGAATTATTCGAAGCATGTGAAAAATAATTATCGTGTATCATTTTATCATTAGTGCAAGTCTAGAACTGCAAAGTCAAGCTATATTTTCATGCACGATTTGCGTTTACTAATGTCGTGGTTTGGTGCCACCTAGTTTTTTTTACTGTAATGAATCGGAGACTACCAGGTTCACATATACAAGTACATCGCCCATTGAAATTAAAGAAAATGGCAGGAAATTGAAAATTATAGTAGCTGCTTACCTCACTCACTCACCCACCCACCCGCCTGATCACTCAAACACTCACAAACACAAGCACCGACATATACCGACTTTTAAATTTGGCCATGCAATACACTGATTTAGAATGACTTATTGTGCACATCAATATCTTGTCTGTTTCACAAACTAATTTGATTTGAACCTTCACTCAGTAAAGAATATGAGAGCTTTGTACGACACAATAAGGTATAAAATAGTTTAAACTCCCATAATGATGATACCTTATTAGCTTTTTCTCTAGATATTTTTGGGAGCCATTAGCTTTTTTTAGGATTAAAAAAATAAATATTCTAAAAGACAATTCGACCTCTTCACGCTATCTCCAACACCAACATCCTCAATAAGAGAACTTAGTCTTAGACTCTTACAAATTTTATCCCTACTCGACACTTTACGATCAAAGAATGTCGATTGCTGGCCTACACCATGACTACACACTTATTTTAATGAGAGACATCTCCCGTTTGCTTTGAAAAAGAGGGGAATAAAAAGGGATATATGATAAATCTTAGCTTATTAAAAATATTACTCACTCGACAGAATCTGTAGTATTAGGTTGGGCTGTTTTTTGTATAAGAGACAGCTAACTTTGACACTTGCTAGTTTCTGATATAAATCGATTGAATGAATACGACTCCTCATTAAAAGATCGAGTATTTCGCAACGACTTTTTTGGATCGGTTGAAAAGTTATTCCTTTATTGTTCTTATGGCTCACATATAAGTTAATGCCAACAGTCTTTATAATAGCTCGAGGTTGCTAAAAATAGTCAACATTATTGTCTACATATCCATCTCATTGATAGCTTTGGTGAATTAGTGTAACTGATATGCTTCTATTACCATTTTTTTTTGTTTTTGGGAGTAGCGCAGCACCCAATTTGACCGTCAAATTGTATGCTCATTTAAATTACTTTACATGTCAACTTCAGATATGTACATAATTTCCTCTCAAATCTTAGTAATCGAACTTCTGACAGATTGTCATAGTGCTTTAATTCCATTTTTATACCGATAGCAATGAGGAGATAAAATAGATACCGAAAGTATAAAGCTCATTTTTTTCATCCTCATTATAGCAGCTCTCATCTTGTAGGGGCATACTGCCCGTTATCGTCTGTTATCGTGCTTCTTGACAATGAAATAGCAACTAATTTTGGAGTACAGAAGCACTTTTAGTTGGAATCGAAGAAAGTATTAATGGGGCCTGGGTCTCTGTACGTACACATCCTCAGCAACATGATATTCTTCCTTAAGCATTTAAGCCCTGGAAACAACAAGACATAAACCATCAATGTCATTGATATTCTTGTCGATCTTAAGACCAACAAATTTGATAACAAGACGCTTATCGATAGAGCCAACAATCATGTCTTCCAGAGACACGATACACGGTTAAACCCAAGGTTGAGTAAGGGATAGACAATCAGACAGCTTAAAAGGTGCTTTACTATGAGTATTTTTATATCCAAATATGCCCATGGTACACAAACTGCATATGAGAGTGATGTCAGATACTTATGTTTTTTAATTTTTGTATCTTGAAAAACATAAAAGTTGTTATGAGCTAACCTTTTCATAATATTTACAACAAAAAATGAAAAAACGGAAGAGGGAAAGATAAAAGTGTATAAACTGATAATTAAGAGCTGGTTTATGTATCACACCCAAAATTTAAGTATGTTGCACAGGCAATGAGTGGGACTCGACAAAATACGCATTCAACATACCAAGCTTTTTAAATAAACTCGTGTCGTCACCTTTATTCACAAAAACCAAATATATCTGTCCCGTAAAATAATCTTGATGATAAATAGAAAAGGTTTGCTCCTGATCACAATATACACAGCAAAAGGACACCTTATTCTATACAAACACATGAATGGATTGTATCAGCAACGTTCTCGTGACTGTGATTGGCGGGAATTGTCGGCCAGTGAGGAGGTTGCATGATAGAACACAAGATTATTTTCCCCTTATTTTGTTTTCGTATCTATCTTTTTATTTTTTTGTCATAAACTTCTTTTGTAATGAACACCAATGACGACCGTTTGACATTTCTATTACCTCGCCCCGTCTGGGTAAACGATATGGATGTGTCCTACTGTTCCTCTTGCAATAATGCCTTCGGTCCTTTAAAAAGAAGGGTAAGCCTTTTTTAAAAGTCGAGATGGAGAGAAAAGCATGTAGTAATTATAATCTTCCTCTTAGCATCACTGTAGAAATTGGTAATATTGGGAATGAATAAAAGCGTACGGTTAGCTAACCTTTTTTCCTTTTTTTACGCAGTGGTAATATATTTTGTCACGATTGCTCATCCCGTAAGGTCCCGTTACCACAACTAGGGGACGGAACAAAGCCAGTTCGAGTATGCAACGGTTGCTTTGATGTAGCTTATTTAGTTACATATGCTATTGATGAAGATCATGGTATTTCCACACAGGTAGAAATGAAATAACCGTTGTTGTGTATCCCACCTCTTTCCTAATAATCGTGTGCGTCTTCTTTTAGATTCATGGTGTCCGAGGACTACTTGAATTAACCGAAAAGGATGACGGTAAGGTATATGTGGATTTGACGGGGGAAAAAATTCGCAAAATAAGCTCATGCTATTTAAATTTAGAAAAGGATTTACACAATATGGTTGCGTACGGTGGAGTGGATGCCCTTATATGGCTTTGCCGTTCCTCTAAAAGTATCAAGCTGCATCACTTGACAACGACAATTCTAGCCATGCTTGCAGAGAAAGGTAAATATCTCAAATAGTTACAGTAACCGTCACTTTATTAAAACGTTTGACTGCAAAAAAAAAAAAGAATCTATTCGACCTGTCATCATTACCAAATGGGCTTTACCTCCTTTACTCCACCTTATTCGCTATTATACTAATACCGAAATCCTGCTCAAAAAATCCCCGACCAGTTCTATACGTTCAAATAGCAGTAATCCGTTGGACGACATTGCAACTACCGAAACTAGACAGAGCATCATTCTGGAAATCATTATCAATTGTACCCATATATTATATCAACTTTCTAGAGCGGGCATCTTCAGTCAAAAAGAGGTTGTAACAGAAGGGGTATTCGATACTTTGTTTACACTGGCTTCTTTTGACCATACACAATCGGATGCGACCAACGAGGAACAACAACAGATTAATGAGCGGTTGGCTATCATTCAAAATCTGGCCGCAAAGTCTATTTCTGCCATCAGCTCCTTGGTCGCATTTCAAGCAAGTATTATCGAGCTTATTCAAGGAACTCCCAAACTTTCCAGTTTACTGAGATCTTCTAATGACGATGTGCGTAAATACATTGCCAAAACTATCGCCTATCTGTCTCTTCGAAATGGTAAGTGGACTTTTCTTACTTTTTTGCTCTCTTTTTAAATTGTGTGATAGATAAGTATAAACCCAATTTACTTTGCGGTGATGGATCTCGTGCTCTAGTATCTATCCTTGTTGTTTTACCTCAAAAAGAACCGAGCGACAAGAAAACCAGAATGAAAGATCTCGAGTATTATTTGTCACAAGATATTCAAGACGATCTGTACACAGAAATTACTTCGATAAAGGAAGATTATCACCTCAACTCTGCAGCGGTATCTCATACTTGCTGTGCATTAGCTAATTTTGCTACCAACAGTAAGTTCATTTTATGAGGTATTCCTATTGGATTCTTAAGCAGAAGCTTTTAAAATAGATGAATCACAGGTCAATTTGATGGCACAGCCTCGTTTTTTACAATACCTTTGTAATGTACCCGCTATCTTTTCAGAACATGCGGAAATACATCGTCATGTTGCAAGGTGTTTGGCTAATCTTGCGCTTTATGGTAAGCATTCTTGTGTCCTAGACGGAGGGATAGAAACTAATACAGTGTTAAATAGAGGAAAACAATAGATCGATGCTCACTAGTCAAAACGGCAAAGATGATAATAAGGACGCATACAATGTACTACCCACGTTGCTCTTTATGGGAAAATCAGACTCAGAGACCCATATTGTTCAAAGACATATTGTGCGTGCCATTGACAATCTCAATTCAAATTGTAAGTGTGTAAATACGGGTTGGCTATATTTTGTTAAGCCTAAACATTTTCTGCAAAAAAATAGTTCGTCCCAAAAATGGTCGCTGGAAAGGACTATTTAATGAAGCTTGCGTATACATTCGAAAAGTACTGGATAACTACGACGGCAATGAAAAGGATCTGGATACGATTAAGAGAGCCAAGAGTATTCTGGCCAGAGAAAAATTAGAAAACGAGCATCATCCAACTGTCAAAGCTGTAGTGTCAGCCATTGAAAATACTCCTCCTGTAACAACACCAGCACCGACACAGGTATCAACATCGGTCATAGAGCAAACGAAAAATAGGGTAGAACAGGAAGATGCTTCCTCATCACCACCGACCTCAGAAGATGAAGCTGCTGTTGTACAAGAGGACGCATACGATCTCCAAACACTGATTACCACACCAGTTTCTACCTCAAACGAAGAAGAAACAGATGAGCCGAAAGCATCTCCCCCACCTGCGACAAAAAATAAAAGAAAATCCAAGAAAAATAAAAAGTGGGAGTAAGCTGTCCACTGTTCACTATTTTTTTTTTTTTTTTTTTTTTTTTTTTTGGGGAACACAATAAAAAGCTTTAAACGAAATGTGTAGGACCAGCTATTCAGGTAACTTTTGGTTAATCAATGTTTGAATGAAACGCCCCCCTCCCCTATGTTGATCATGTTTGTCTGTAAAAAAAGCATTATGTAACTATTTGTTACCAAAACATAAAAAGAGCTTTTGCTTGGGAACGAAAATTTCTTATTTAGGGAAGTCCACGGAAAGAGGGGTTTAACTATACTTTTTACGCTGGGACCATCTGATGATTATCATTTTAACAAGCACGAAGACACAGTTTATAATGTGTGTAAAAGCTTTGTTGAATGGTATTTGAAATATAGATATGGCCTCTCTTCTTTTAATTCGCGTGTTATTAATAACACCCTTCATTCCACTTAGTAGTTGATTGTAAGCTGTCGAGCGTAGTTATGTATTGTTACATTAGTTACAGTTATATTATCTTTACTTTATGTGTACCCAACTTCGTAACAAGAAGCCATCCACCACCCTCGTTCCCATTACATGATTGTGTTTCTTATCCCAAAAATAAGCTCTCTCAAATAATATCGTCCTAATGAAGATGTCGGTCGTCTCTTAAAAATAACGAATTCCAAAGTGTATATTGCACTTCTGAAATAAGACACAGAGAGAAGAAACATTAATCAACACTCTTTGTCTGGATACCCTTTTTACTGCTGTTCATAATATTTTTATTTTTCTGAAACATTTGACAGAACCTTAAACTGCGAATCATCCAATAGAATACAAGTCTATTAATTGATATGACATAAACAAGTTTCAAGTCCATTAAAGTTCGTTGAGAGATAAAATATCATAGCCTTATAGTAACCAGCATAAAAAGGTGTTTCTCGGTTGTGATCCTGGGTTCGTACGTGGAGCCGAGTACAATAACGTAGAGAAAGAGCGAGCTGTTGCTAAAAGAAATAATTCGTGCCAAAACTCTAATTTTTCCGCTTTCGCCAAAATCAGCTTTTGAATGTTTTAAGGCAGTTCTTATTCTTATGAGGATCACCAAGGAGATTAGCCATGAAGGTCGCCTTTAGCCAAACGAGCACATAGCTTGTGAGTGAACTGCTTACGGCTCTGAAGAGAAAGTGTTTATTTCTGGAGGGAGCTTGCAAAAACAAAAAAACAACGACAAAGAAAGAAAAAATTTTAATTGGCCAAGACAATAAGTTAATTCTGTCACTTGCAGCATATAAAACAAAACAATGACCCGAATTGGCATATTCTCCCCCTTTTATTCCCACTAAATGTCTTTTTCGTCACCTTCCAGAAAACGATTTGATCGCTCTAAAGCTGTTATCCCCACTTTTGGAAGTACCACCACAAGATCAACACTTCGCAATAAACCTCTTGGTAAAGCAGGATTATCAGTGGAGCAAAGGTTGGAAAATCTCGAGAGAAATGCTGCTGCCGTTGCTGCTACTGTTGCCAATGTTGCTGCTACTTCTACTGCTTGCTCTAATAATAATAAACAAAGAACTATCATCGATCCTGCATTATCTGTAAGTATTTAACGCGTCGATTGATTTATTAAATTTAACTATTCTCTGAATAGGCTTTAATACGCGACAGCTACAAGGACTACATGAGCAAGAATAATAGTCGTGGGTGGTTATTTGGTTTTAGTTTGTTATCGATGGAAAACATTGCTTTACACGATCACCTCTTGGAAAAGGTTAGGCTTCATGACAACTATTCCGCCCACTTGCCTGAACATACGCCATTTATCGTTGCTAGAAAGAGATTTGTCAAAGAAAAAATCAGACATCATTATGAGCATCTGGCTGACAACGAAAAAAAAAAAACTTGGGATGAAGACAAGTTAAAGTTATTAGCCGAAAATAACCGAAGAAAATCTCGTATGCAAACGGTCAGTGATATTTAACATGCATGAAATATTATTAAATTACTTACATCTTACCACAGAAAATGAGAAGAAGAAAGGCTGCTTTTGCCAGGTACAAGGATGCGTTTGAACTTAAGTATGGTCCAGATTGTGAGGAATTCGTCGACCGAGCATATATGTCAGAAGAAGAAAACAATGAACTGGATGAGTACGGTAATGCCCTGAATTTCTTCAACCTTGTGCCTAAATGGAGAACACCAAAGGTTAGTGATATGAAATTAAAAGACACATGTAATTTATTGACGTAACCTTTCAAAAAGTTGCAAGAGTTTGTGAATGAACTGGATAAACCCATTCTGGCAATTAAACCATCCGCATGCAAACGCTGCACTCGCACACCCATACCAGAAGAAACGACCAGTGTCCCTCTGGATATCTTGGCCACATTGCCTAGTTGGGGAGTAGACCCAAATGTTTTTCTTTAAATCATGAAAAAAATCACATCAATAAAAAAAGGAAAGTGACAAAACATGCTTGGGCATGGAACCATACCGCAACCCCAATGTACGAAAATAATAATCATATGAATACTGTGTGATAGATTGGAATAAATTGTAAAAAAAGAAAAAAAAAAAAAAAGACATTGTAGTATAAATACGTTGAGACTACCCAAAGACTTTATTATGAGTAGAAATCAGTTAATTAAAAAGAATTTGAGGGCACTCTTTACATCATCAATTAACGTATTTGTACATGTCTAGAGAAATGGGACGGATTTGCTACGGCTGTAATAAAATGCCTGAAAAAATTATTTCGTGCCGTGATGTAATGGTATATCTCAAAAAGAGGATATGTGTATCGGATACTATTACTTATGTTTATTCTTTGTCCAGGCTTGGCTATACTTTATGTTGGCAACAGACTGGAAGGTATTTACAAGGTATAATACGTACATGTGGCAGAAATGATTGATGACTTGAGCGTTTCTCCCCCGTCCTTTACATCCAACTTGAGGTGAATGAAAGCTGTACACCCAACCTTAGCTGTCTTTCGGATTTGGTCTATTCATTACATCCCCATCCTCAATAACAATTTCTATACTGTGATTAAAAACTCTACAGTCGAGGCATGTCTACTTTCTACGTCTCTAATGCTACGGTAATCCCAAAGAGTGCTGCCGTACAAGTGTCATGTACACTTTGTCGCTTTGAGTGTTATAAAAATCCTGGATTTCGGCTTTTGCAGAGCTATTATCAACAAATATCTTCTTTGTTCAAAACTTTATCTCAAAAGCCCCCCTCATGCTAACAACAACTTCACTGCTACCAACAGTCCTTTTCGAATGAGACGGGAAATTCAGTCTCGTAGCTTCTTTCTTCCTCACTTATTTTTCTTCTTTAACAATGCTGGCTGAGCTCCAATCAAACTCGTCCTTAAAACTAGAAAGGGGCGTCTTCCTGTTTCTCCATGCTGACATTGTTGAATGTTTCTTCAAAGCCATCGTTAATGTTTTCCTCTTCCTTAAACTCAGTAAGAGCAGCTTGAGTACAGTATGTGGAGAGCCAGATGAGGAAGTGACAGCCATGTAAAAAACATGGATTACTCACCTTTAACAAATCTAATAATTCGGTCGGATGGAGCTAAATAAAATATGTAGAATAGGGGTATTCAATCATGAAAATAAAATAAAATAAATAAAAAAAAAAGGTTCAATAAGATTTTAATTTTAAGAGGATGCAAAAACGTTTTGCTAAAAATTCTATAAAAAAATAAAAATTCATGGACTTTCTATTGGCTTATTTTAATTTTATTTTTTTATTTTATTTTATTGGTATGATTGAATAACTTTAATATATATCAACGTGACATATTTCGTTTATTCAAAAGTCTTACATCTGGCCGTCAACAATAATAGATTAGGATGTCCTAACAGGATAGCATTTTAAAGAGCAAAATTACTACATAAACAATAATGTTGACCCAACAAAACTACGTCTATGATATGAGTTTTATGATTTTACAATCTTTATAATTATTTGCTGTAGCTTTAATTATAAAAAGATCCAGCCGCACTCAAGGCTAATCAGCCTTGCCGGGGGGCATTTTTTCTAATTTAATGAGAATCATTGTTCTTATCATGCAAAAAACAAATAAATATTTCATAAAGAAAGGATAACGTAATGCTGCATATAATGAATAGTTCCGACATGACAAGATTTATAAATTAACTTGTACATAGTGGTGACAGACTTTTCATGATATATATAGGTCTCCCTCGTGAACTGTGAAATTGGTAAATGCATTATCAATAAACTAGACATTGTTTGTCTTAGCGAATATGGCTAATTTCAACGAGTAATATAGAAGATATTTATCCAGCATTGTTTTGTCTGGGACCTCGATGTTGAAATTTATATTGAAGTCGCCAGTTAAATTACTTGATTCCTCACATTAATGCAAGATTCTGATACAGCTGGTACTATAACCCGCGGTGATTTTTAAACAACAACAAAAAATTGATAGTTCTGTATTGTGAAAAACGATTTATTCGCCTTCCTTATTCTTTGTCAACATCACTGTTAATCCAGGTATTTTTATTATTATTATTATTTATTAGATGAATCAAAAAGAAAAAAGAAGGGGATATTTATTTGTGTTGAGTTACTTTTTGATACATGAGATAGGAATTTCTGGTTGAGTCTCCGCAGACTAGACTCTTACACCATAGTGAAAGTGAAAAAATGATGTAATTATGGTACGCTTTTAATTTATTTATCGGATGGACAATTGTACTCGAGAAACATTTTGTACCACCGGTACACCTCATATACCCAAAATTATATCAAACTTGGTAAAAAGAACAAAACTTGCAGCACCTCACACTTTTACCTGGCCGTCATCAAGCACCAGCACCAACACCAGCGAGCATTTCGTAATCAACAAGCATATCCACCATACTTGTATTAGGACCATGTTTTTTTTTTACTCTTCATCAGTTAAGTTGCTTTTTATGGTATTCATAACTCTGGACATTGGTTGTAAATTTTGGATACCCCAAGCATTTGGATCTTTTTTTACACTATCCAGAGGTTTACGATGATCGATCGAAAGGGCCCAAAATGGAATTATGGCTGATTTTGGGTTGTGAAATTGAATTTCACTTCCCGTGATACAGCATTTATAATTATTCGCAGCACAAATTCCCAGAAGAGCTTGTTTGGTAGGGAACTTCGAATCACTACATTTGTTTTTGTTCGCTCTTCTTCTCATTTGGACAAGGCGTCCAGCGAAACGTTTCAAACTGTCCTTCTCAGACAACAAAGCTGGACAGTCAGCGGGGGGGATTTTTTTTGTACGTATCCAAAAAATAAATTTTTGGATATCGTCATTTGTGGGGAGCATTCCCCGGAGGCTAAAACTAATGATTAGTGAACGTTCTTCCTTTTTTTTTTTCTTTTTTTTTTTAATCCTTAAAAACTTGCCTATTGCAGCCGAAACAAACTCCGTTTCTGTTTTGGGACAATTGGTACTGCGTGCTAGTACCAATCATCCCAACATTGCAATAAAGACAACGCGTTGCCTCTTTCTAAAAATTATAGCGTCAGCTATATACACAAGATCACGAATAAGATATTTTTACCTCAGAATTCACTATTTGACAGTCAAATAGTGAATTCCATTTTTCTAAAAGAGAAAAATGGACACAACCAATCACGAGTCAACAGTTTTGCAGACCAGTAACGGTTTGACATACTATAGCAAATGTATAAGTTTTCGCGTGGTGTACAATTTACTTTTACTTGCCTCCTCGTTTGCCGATTCTTGAGGTCTAGCACTTGCCAGACTTTTTCTTCCTTTGCTTGACTTGGTGCTCGATTTATCCTCACTGGAAGTATCAATGACGTGAGGAGCAGTTTGAGTACCACTGCGTAAAGCATAATGGTCATCAAGTAGTTCCCTACAGTCATGACTTTCCTCAGATTGACTATTATGAGTCCCACCCAAGGCAACGCTTTCAGCTACTTGAATTAATTCATGAGTTTATGCCCCAACTACACCCTCGTCTCGAAGAATACTCACCAAATTTTTTATTTTAGTAAAAGACTTTCGTCAAATTTACTAAAATTAAAATTTGTATATCTGAAAGAAGGAGAAAAGAGTGATTACGCAGCGACGTAGGGAGGCGTCTTTTTTTATTCCCTCTTTTTTTTTTTTTTTTCTTTTTTGACAACAAACAAAAGAGAACGAATCGGAACTCGAGAAATTATTTGTTTATTCGTTTTATCACACGATGATGTCTTTTGAGAGATTATCAGCTATTTTATCACAGATTGTGTCTGCAAAAATAAGAAATCGAGCAGAAAACCAGCTACAGATTGTTTATTTTTAGTTTACGTTTAGACTTTAAGAGAGAGAAAGGAGGTCGTCCTGCTATCCTTTACATGTTTGTCTCTTTCTAATAAACAGTGGGTTAAACTGCCTATGTATGGGTCCCATCATAAAAATATATATCAAAGTGGTGAAGAATTTTATTTGCGGTTGTAATATATCATGCGTGCTAATAGTATCCTATTTTACACTTTTTGCTGAATTATTTATATACTAATGAGTCCCCCCCCCCAAAAAAAAAGAAAGGCCTGACCACCAGCAAGTAGAAGCACATACTGGTCAAAAAATACATTATGCTTCTATAAGATATCGTCATTACAGAGAGACTGATTATCCACATGCTATTTGGTCATAATGTAAAGGCACTATGGACCGATGCACGAATACGGAATTTTAAAAATTTAAAGAATAGTTTACCCAGGTCTTGGAAAGTCTTTTGTGCCAATTGATTGAGAATACATGAAAGATTGTACACAGAAAAATAGAGGTCAAAAGGATTTAAATTTTACAAGAACTGAAATCAAGACACATAGGTACAGCAAAAAAAAAAAAAAAAAAAAAAAAAAAAAAAGATATGAATGTATTTTGAAATATGTTGACAGAAAATATATTTGAAATCACCAACTACATGACTCCTCCTGAAGAACAGAGAGATTGAATATAGAAAAATATTCTCGCATTTTATTATTTCAGTTCTCAGTCTAGTGTCCGTCATATTCATACTCGAGGCATACATTGAACCAATTAATACGATGAAGCCACAACCGTCGTAAGCTTCTTGTTCTGGATGCGAAATTGACAATATAGAAGAGAGAATTTATTGTCGTTTGAGTAGTAGTGTAGGTTCACGTCCATTTGATAATTGGACTTCTAACTCCAACTGTAGAAGGGTGTGTTTATTTATTTGTGTGGACAGCTCGGCATGAACTGATATACAAGGCATAAATTATTTATTTCTCCCTTTTCACTTATGTAAGATCGTACAGTTAATGTACTTGATGACTTGTTGATACTGATGAATATCTAGTTCGAACACACTTGATGTCAGTCGAAATGTTAGAGGAACGTATTGAGTACATGAAAGGCATTGTTTCCCTCATTAAAAAAAAAACTAAACAAATTGATGAGGAATCCAGTAAAAAATATATATAACGGTAGACATCTACAGGTCGATAACCCTATTGGTACCCACATGATGACTCAATTCAGCATTACGGCAAGTAATCTTGAACTATTATATGGAGGAAACTAAGAGAAGCAATTTCTATTTATTCCAAAAAAAACTTTGATCTCTACATCACTTGTGTGACTTCATTATGCATGCCATTAGTTTATCTAAAAGTATGCCAAATCTAATTCTCGGGTAGTTTCTAATTTAATTGGCAAACACGGGTTTGTTGTATGTACGTCTCGCATATTTCATTAATACAACCATCGCTGCTGGCGTCATTCCCTCAATTCTTTTCGCGGCACCCTATTTACGTAGGTTAAGTATTTTTGTGCTTCCTTTTTTTTTTCTGAGTAGTTTTTTTTTTAACTCACTAATGTTTCCGGGCGCACTTCTGCCAGCTTTTGTCGAACTTCATTTGAAAGTTGGTCCATTCTAAACAAGTGAAAGTCATGGTGTGAATAATAAGCATTAACCTAAAATTTTTCGTTATACGTACTGCAAATAATCCAAATTGATATCCAACACCAAATGTTCATCTCTCTTCAAAGCCATAACTTCTAATTCTTGTCTTTTCAAAAATGGCTTGTAGCGGCCTTCATAAAAAAAAATGGAATTTAGTGAGACTGCCTTCAATCATAACCTGATTTTATAAGCAGACAAACCTTCAATCATGATACGGTCTAATAAGGAAGGCTCTAGGTGCTTCAATGCGGGTATTAATTCATGAAATTGTTCCAAGACAACATTTGGCCAAGTGAGTAAATCCATTCCACTTGATAATATACGTCAATAAACAGACTTCACTTTTTTTTTTTTTTTTTTTTTTTTTTTTTACCTTCTCATGGAACCATTGTCATTGACATTGTCATGGCTGACTTTGCCAGTAGGCGTAATATTGTAGTCTGCCCAACGCTTTGCTGGCATTTTAATATCTTGTAATGCTTGTATCGCACTTTCCAAAGCTACTGAAGTTGATTTATAATGATCCCATCGTTTTTCTCCAATCACACCAGCTTGATAACCTGCATTAAAAGAAAAATTAAGGTTAGACATCACCATAATAATAAGAAAGTATGTATTACCTCTTCTTGTCAGTCTCGTGTCTGCATTATCTGCACGTAAAAGTAATCTATATTCGGATCTTGCAGTGAACACACGATAAGGCTCATTGACACCCTTAGTGATCAAATCGTCAATTAAGACACCAATATATGCGTCTGATCTATCAAGGATAAACGGAGCCTTATTTTGGGCATGCAAACCCGCATTGATACCAGCCATAACACCTTGGGCAGCTGCTTCCTCATACCCTGTTGTACCATTAATTTGTCCTGCTAAAAATAATCCACTGATGCGTTTGGTTTCTAAGGTCGACCTTAATTCTCTTGGATCAATATGATCGTATTCCACACCATAAGCTATCGAGAGTTGATGGTCAATATCCCATCACAACAAAAAACCACATACTGTTTGTAAACGAAAAAAAAAAGGGGGATGGGGATGGGGGGGTTTACCTGGTTTGAGCATATCCACATTTTCTAAACCTTTAATCATTCTCAAAAAGTTCAATTGGATGTCTTCAGGCATGGTGTTTGAGATACCATTGGGGTATACAGTGTGGTCATCTAAACCTTCGGGTTCCAACCAAATGTTATGTGCTTCTTTGGTGCTGAATCTTTTGATCTTACTTTCAAGCGATGGGCAATATCTAGGACCCTTCACAGTTTCTCGAATATGAATACTTTGATCAAAATGTTGTGCAATATATTTATGCACTTTATCATTGGTGTATGTTTGATGACATAAAATTTGATTATCCTATCCTTCTTTGTCAATGACACCTTTCTTTTACAGACCAAGATATTCAAGAGAAAAAAAAACTTACGGCATGAGGTACGGTCTTGTTTAAATATGAAAATGGAGATGGTGGGTTATCACCTTCTTGAATGACAAGTCCATCATAATTAATTGTTCTACCATCCAATCTGGCAGGCGTTCCTGTCTTCAAGCGAGCCAATTTAAATCCCGCTGATTTCAATGAATTTGACAGCCCAATGGATGGGTTTTCTCCAATTCTACCTGCAGGCCATACTTTTAATCCAAGATGAATTTCTCCACCCAAGAAGGTTCCCGTGGTGATGACTACATTGGGTGCTCTAATAATCTGGCCGTTGTCTGTTCTTGCTCATCATTAGCTTGGGTCACAACCATTTTAATATAAAATTGCTTACCTAAGCGAACACCTTTCACAATCTGTGAAGCTCCCTTTAAAACCATCTTATTATGTTCCTCTTGTGTCACTTGGTCGTTCAGTACAAGATCGGCGACACTGCCTGATTGGATCGTCAAGTTCGGATAATCTTTTAAATATTCTTGTAAATGCTTCTTGTATAATTTACGATCAATTTGAGCTCTTGGACCCTAAATTAAAATATGAGTTATCTAGAAGAGAAGCAAAAAGTTTTTTTCTTTTTGGGGGGTAGGAAGGCTTACATAAACAGCGGGACCCTTTGATTTATTCAAGACTTTGAATTGGATACCAGCAAGATCGGATATGCGACCACATACACCATCCAAAGCATCAATTTCTCTAACAAGGACACCTTTACCCACACCACCAAAAGAAGGGTTACAAGACATTTCACCTGTGAATAAAGAAAAAGAAAATGAGACCGTGTATACTCATGGGAAGAAAAAATAGTTTACCAATCGTATCCTTGTTTTGCGTCAAGAGTAATGTTCTTGCTCCGGATCGAGCAGCGGCTGTACATGCTTCTGTACCAGCATGTCCACCTCCAATGACAATGACATCGAAATCGTTGACGAGAGGTTGTGTTACAACAGTGGCTTGTCGAAGAGAAGTGCACGAATGAAAGCTACTTGTTGTTTTGAACAAGCATTGGTGGATCAACTTGCTTGATCTTGACGATCTAACTTGGCGATGCATTTGGATAATGTTAATAAAAAGAAAAGATCACACAAGAAAAAAAAAAAAAGGACTAGGGGTACAATCTCAACTATTTCAAGTCCCGGGAAAATCATGTAGAAAAGATAGTGATTGATTACTGTCATACAGAATTTTAAGCTGTGCATATTTATATCTTACATGACTAAGATACATGTGTTATTATATGTTCATTAAGGGGATGCCCCAGAGATACAACCATTGTATACTCTTTGGGATGATGGATTGTTAGAAAAGCTACCAGCTCGAATACTATTGCCGTCTCATCCAATCAAATCATTCCGGAGGAAAAAAACCAAATCCGAAAAAGCCATGGTCTACACATAAGTCATCCGTTGACATGCCATATCGTCTAAACTTCATAGGATGATCGATTTCTGTTTTTCATAAAACCAGCAGATATACAACCACCAAGTTCCAACTTTCATAGGGGGGGTTTTTTTTGCATATATTTCTATTTTAAGTAAAGGCCCAGACATTATGAAAGATGAAATAAGTAATTAAATCATTCTGACATAAGCTCTTGTTTATCAGCCTATAAATAAAGTTGGCTCACACACTTTATTCCTCCCCTTTTCTTTTTCCTTAGCATACTCCTTCCATCGTATGAAAGTAGCCGATAAAGTAAAAAGGTCAATTAGTAATGACTCTTGTTTCTATCAAGACATTAAATCGAAAAAGATGTATTTCGATATTGCGGCTGCGGCTAGTCTTTGCTATAGGAGGGAGACCTTTTCGGGAGGATTCTGAGTGTTGGAACTCACAGACTGTGAATAACGGAGGTTGCACTGTAAATGGTTGGGCTATACTGGCCTGCTGGTCTTGACCGGACTTGCTGTAAGTGGTATGAAAAAAAAAATACGTTTGAAAAAATACGGAGGTCTGGACATTTCCCAATAATATGTATCGTTTAATCTTTAGGTTCTTTACAATGTAAACATTAATGAATACTAGCGATATCAAGCTGATAAAGAACAAAAAGAATTAAGCAGAGATAAAGCCTCTAACATAAGCATAATCCCAAGGACCATAACCGTTAGACAGCTGTTACAATCGTCAACGGGATTAGACCTTCAATCCCAAGGTGTTAACTTGTCGCTATTTAATTATCGCTGTACTAATGACTTTGGTTAATTAATCTCATGAACATGCTTCAAGAAAAACCACAGACTTAAGTCTCGGGAAGACTTAAATCGACCACCATCAACAGATACCCCATGACACAACAAACAGAACAATATGATTGTCAGGATCTGGAATATATTATCAATGAAGTAAGTAGGCTGAATTATATAAGGTAAAGCGTTATACTTAATTATTTTTTTTTTAGTTTAACAAGGTAGAAGATAATACTATCTTCTTAAATATGGTTATTAAAGAGATTGATGGAGTACGAATAAATGACAAAGTAGTTAAGAGAGTATATTTACAAATGTAAGTTGTGATAAAAATATGTGGATATGGTAGAGTAAAGTATAATAACTCCGAAATATTTCAGTGTAAACAACATTTGATGTGCATGAATCTTCTTCTCCTTCAATGGTTGATATTTCTTTAGAAAACTGAAATTCTGATGTCACTGGGGGGTTTTGACTCGAGATAATGCTACCTACAGCTGTTCATGCGAAAAAACAGGCGTTCGAAGATATTGACCAACAGAATCTAATGTCAACCAAAACGATTATATTGACTTGGAGACAGCCTTGGTCGAAGAAGAAACAGCTTCTGTTAGTTACAGTCTGCATAGTAATGAGCACGACAGAACATTTTGATTAAGTTTTAGAAACTATGACGATAATGCAGTCCAAAGTTTAAGACGATCACTTGTAACGCCATTGTCGGTCACCGGTCAAGAAGACCCTATGTACAAAGCGATGGAGCAAAATACTTGGAAACAACACTCAATCTACTCACCACGCGTCGACAATGAGCATTTATTGAGAACAAGAGTTTCTCTGTCACCTTCAACTTCTGTGGCTGATAGTCTTGCCCATTATAATAAACTTATCGATGGTAAAAAAAAAAATTACATCCCATTTAAATAACCCTTTTATTAAACCAAATCCTTTAATTGATCAGACAGTTCAGAGGTTGACTTGGTGAAGAGTGACCTTAGGGATTTTATGGGCCCATACGGCGTCAATGAAGTCATGTTACGACCCAATTATTCGACTCCTTCCCCACAAAGTAATCATCGTTACAAAAAAAGATGCTTTGGTAACAAGATAAAATAAGAATATTCTCACACTATTATGTAAATATCAACTCGTTTTATCTTTTTATAATTAGATTCTCTCCATTATTTAGTGTTAATAACACCAGAAGCTCTCCTGAGTATATCGCTCCAAGCCCAGTTGATGAGCTCAAAGAGGAATGTCCTCCGTATCGAGGCTCTTTATTGCTTGAATTGGCTTCCAAACCGTCTGGCCTTGGGGCTTGTTAATTTTCATTGCAAATGCTGGTCGAATTGGGAATTGACATTTCTTAAATTTAACACCAACTTGTTCAACAGTGGAGCACAAAGTGATGCGTGGAATAAGTAAAATGTTACCTTGGTATGTTCCAGTGGCTACTTCTGCTTGAATTACAAGCTGAAGAAAAGCTTTGCAGATAAGTCGAGTACCGTTACACATACCTTGTGCAGGTGCCAAGTTCCGACGCATCATTATTGAAGAGCCTGTTTTCAGTTTTAACACATGAGGTGGAAGACTACCACATTCTAAAGAGTTCATAAATTCTGGTGGCAATATCAAAGCATCGTTATCCGAAAGAGCTGTATCAGTACTACGAAAAATGGTATACTCTCCTGGAAATTTTTTCCAAAACATGATCATTAGCGTCCGATACAAACGCATTGGTTGGAGTCAGTATAGCTGTTGACATCAAAGATGTAGACGTAACATCACTGGAATTTTTTGGTCCTGTAATTGAAAGTATATCCCGTGGACGTGGCTGTGTGGCTGCTACGTCCCAGCTACTTGGGTAAAACGCATCATACCTACATGATGTAGATTGGTTTGGTATGTTTTCATTTTATAAAAAAAAAGCTCTTATTTTAAATATTTACTCTGATAGGGGTGATACGAAAATTTCAGCTTGTTTAAAAAAATTGTTTATAGTTGGCTTGATTCACTTGAAAGAAATAATCAAGAATGGAAGCCTCTCACTCGAAGAAGCTAAACAGTTACGAATACCGTTTATTTTGTGTGAAGGACCGGAGTCGGATATGTAAAACCAGTTGTCGACTCAAGAACCTACAAGGATTTCAAAGTATCAAAGAAAGACTCGAAAGCACACCAAGTTGATGCTGTTTCTAATGAATTAGAAATGGATAAGTGGTCCGATTTGGACATATTGATAAGCAAGGATACAACGTCGTATAAGGGTGCACAATCAATAAAAAAGTACAAGGATTCATTTAATAACATAGGAAAAAACTTGACAAGATATCCTAATGTCAAATCGTATGCTAACCAAGTCTTGTAGTACCTACAAAAGGCCACAGTTCACCAGCTACACCTTGAAAAGTTTGAAGAGCACATCAATAAAAAAAATAAACGACGTTCGAAGCGAAGGTTAAATAATCAAACGCTCATAAACTCTCAAACTGAAGTCCTTCTCTCCTAACTAAACAAGCATCGAAAAATGGAACAAGAGATAGCTTCACTTCAAAGTGTAGATACTACCTCCAAATCTGTTGGTGCTGATGATAAAGGTGAAACTAGTAACCAGACTTTGCTTTCCGAAGCTCCAGAAAGCACCACCATAAATATGCCTGTAACTTTATCCTCTGATGAAAAAGGGATCAATATTCATGATATCATCTACAATGCTTCTGGCAAGTTACACTGAATCACTTTGGCGGACATACCGGCAGCTGTGAATGATTTGTCTTCATCAAACTAAAACAGATGTTATTTTTTAAAACCAAAAAACAGCAGCTGTGAAATTCTTGGCTTCATTCAACTGTTAAAGGTGCCATTTTTGCCAGCCAAAAATATGGCAACTGTGCCACTTTTGTTATTATGGAATATCATATCTGCCATTTTTGCACGCCGAAAAAATGGCAATTTTGTGAAGTAAATGGCAAATAGTTGCCAATATTTCCGCCATAGTGCAAACTACAAGAACGGTATAATTCTGAGCTATACAGAGCTGAAGACCATGGTGTGTGGACTCTCGAGTATCTTGGACATCAATTCCGATGAAACCGATGGAAGTCAACAAACCCTTTTCGATGATGTCATTTGGTGGAAGATCGTCAAAAATAGATGAAAGCAAATCACGAGTCAACATTTTTGCACATTGTATTACCGTTTTTATAATCTAAACATATTTGAACGGTCTTGCTGGATGTTTTTTGCTATAACATACGATGATAAAAGTTTTGAATTACAGAAGTTTTCATTGAGAGATGTCATATTTTTTACTCCATACAGCGCTTGTTTTTTTCGGTTTAACGCAGATTACTCGGCATCAGTGGCATAGACAAGTCCAGCAGACCAATCAGAATGTTTGAAATACTCAAGCGCATGTTTTTCAATTAAAACCGGACAGTCGTACACGTATAAGCACTAGTTTGATCCACCAGCCATCCCAATGAATATGCAGCAGCAATGGAATTTGAATTCAAGCTTATGTAAAAGTAACAATGATGGTCGTAAAGCGCAGCAATTGATCTGTAAGTTAAAACTAGCATCCACCAGTATTAAAGAAGACCGAACACTTGATTTACCCAATGAAATATTGTTTCAAATCGAATCGAAGCAGTTCATGTTTCACGAAAAAAATTCAAGCAAGATCTCAGAACGTGATTTTACATTTCGATTGTGGGTTCCTATTTTAATATGATGTTGTTATATGAACAACATGGTTCGTATAAAGATTCGCAAAACAGTATTGGCAGGAACTTCATTCGCATCATTATTACATAACGAGGGCTATAACAATATTGTTGGATTTAAAGTGGATATTAGAATACTTATTGACTACAAGGATGAAGAGTTCGATTTGCTTTGTGGAGATGCTTGTGATTATGATGCTGACAAAACTAAACTTTTGACTGAAGCATCAAAGGTTATGAGGGAAGGGAAGGAAATCCAAAGGAATTTGGCACATAATTTTTATGACGAACAAGTTATTGGCAATGTTTGGATAATTCAAACTAAGGGAGCTAAATGCACCTTCCCCACCATCCATCCTACGCCACATCATTACTTTGTCCGTGTCCATCTATTCAATCTGCATTTTCCCCTGCGCTATGTTTTTACACAATTCGAGTGATTTCTTAAAAATTTTAAAGAATTTCAAGGTTTATATTCTCACTAGATGTATCTTATGTCTAGATTGACTAAACCTCTTTTAACATAGAGTATGTGGTCCCTGCTATTTATAGTCTGCGCACAGCCATTTACAGTGTGTGTTTCGATTAAAAATACAATACGGGACAACAAACAAACAAAAAGAAGCATGAGACTTATAAATAAGAAAAAAACCACTGTTACCAAGCCTCTTCAAAAAGTCGTTTGGGTTGACCCTTTTTGTAGCAAGGAAGAAGAAGACGAAGAAGAAGTTGATGATAATAACGATGGCAATAACCAATAGATTTCATTCTTTTTTTAAAAAAACAGTATTAATAAAAGTATCATTCGTAACCTCACAGTATAATATTCATCAATAATACGTGTAGTATAACTGGGAACTTCGACAGAAAATAAATCGAGATTCTTTTATCATCACCAAACTTATTCCAAGTCCTAGATGTCCCATCCTAATTGGAACTTCATACAACACAGAAACGGTGAGTAATTGTACTCAGTATTCTGGTAAACAACCACTAGATCTTGACAGATCACGAACTTTCCGATAGGATGGATCAATTAGAGAGAACTATCAATACTGGTATTATACCTAAAAAAAATCATGTCGATTATTCAGATAGTCAAAAAACTTTGTTTGTGTATTATTTGCAAATTAAGCTTTTGAGTGCAGCGGCAGCAACTAGAAAAGCTTGTGATTAATGTTCGTACCGGTCAGGATTGGGTGAAGAAGCTGAAGAAAAATTCTAATTGAGATATTTTCGAGAAACAGACCAACAAGCTTAAGGGCAAAAAGAGTCAGCTTCAAGAGGAACATAAGACCCATTTGATTAATTTTTTCCATGAAAAACCCCATGCTCGGAGATCAGATGCAGTTGAAGAGCTCACAAAAAAAATTCGAAGGATCTACCATGGAGGAAACTGTCGTTGGAAAATTCATTTTAACGGCATCCGATTGTAAGAGATCAACCCGCAATGATCAAAGAGAGACGTAAATGGGTAGAAACATGGTCAAAAAAAATATGAGTTACACTGATAATTGTATTTTTATAGATGAGAGCGCATTTGAAATTAACATGAAGCTGCCTGCAACAAGATCAGATTGAGATACTCTTGCCATAGTTACAAGTCCTTCTGCACGAGCAAACAGCCATCCAATTCTCGGAGCGATTTCAACAAAAGGTGTTATCAATAAGGAAATTCGGGTTCCACTCACGTCAGAAAGAATAAAAATTGTGGGAGGCCAGCAACTGCTGTCAAAGCAAAGACACCTGGAGGACCAAATGCAGGTCATTATACCAACTTCATAAAAAAAATTATGGATGAGATGGACAAGTATCCCCAGTTTAAACGGTTTTACATGATCATGGATAATTCTTCAATTCATGGAAAAAAAACGGCGAGCTCAGCCAGCTGAACGAAAGTAGAGGATACAAATGGGTTTACCTTCCTCCTTATTCTACTGAGCTTAATCATATTGAATAATTCTGGGCAAATGTAAAAGGAAAAGTAAGACGTAGCCAGTTCGGAATTACAAAAGATCTTACGACAAGAATTACTAAAACATGTGGAGATCCCCAGAAAACGTCTACGTAATTTTGTACAGCATTCAGTTAAAGTATTTGAAGACTGCCTGAGCGACATTCCTACATAAACTGCGCAATGTGGTTTTTAAGTTGATGCTAACTGACCAATTAAATTTGCGCAAATTGATATTTAGAAGTGCGCAAAATTATTTAAGTTCATGCAAATTGGTGCCGCAAGCACTGGTACGAAGTTTTCTTTTTTTTCCTTTTTGTATACTTTTCCTTTTTAAAATACCCATCACTGATGAATCACGGACATTCCTCCCAGTCAGATTTATTGAGTCATCCTATTAAAATTGAGCCAAACTTCAATCCTAGTTTATTTGACTCTGACGAAAAAATCGGGTTTTCTGGGGAAACCGAAAGAGCATTGATAGTGTGCCAAACTGAATGGAAGGTTAGACTTATATTTTTTTATATGTATATGTATATGTATATGTATATGTATATGTATATGTATATGTATATGTATATGTATATGTATATGTATATGTATATGTATATGTATATGTATATGTATATGTATATATATATATATATATATATGCACACATATACACACGATCAATACACTTTTTATGATTTCTTCCGAATCTAAAATCAACACTTTTTAAAAAGGCTTGGTGTGCTTTAGAAAAGTTTGATGATGGAGCTGTGGTCACGGATTTAAAGCTGTATCGGTTTTTAAAAGAATTCGTAATGAGCCCTCAGCGTCAGAAAAATAGGGATAATGGGACCTTTTTATCTTCCAATCAGCAAGAGTTGACCAAAAGTTATATAAAAGCATGCATGGATCTTGGTGCGAATCAAGTCTTGCAAGGGTTACTCAGACAAAATCCTGTGGTTGGACCCTTGGTTTCCGCCTTCTTGGAAACCTTACCATCTAAAAAGAGAAAAAGAGGAGAAGGTTCGTCCACAGATGAAGAGAATACACATCATTTCACAGCTCAACGACAGATTACTACCATCCCTGAGGTTGTGGACTTGATTAAGACAGAATTTCAAGATTTATATGCAAAGCTGGAGGAGATACGAGCAGAAATGAATGCTGGGTATGAATCTCAGTCAAAAGCCTTGAGGGACTTTAGGAATGATCTAGCCAGTGGCTTCATGTTCACTGCTCAACGGCTTGGAAGACATGTTGCAACTCCTGTTGCTCCTGTTGCTGTTGCTGCTGCTACGGCTACTACTTCTGCTGCTACTGCTCCTTCTGCTGCTACTGCTCCTTCTGCTGCTACTGCTCCTTTTGCTTCTACTGCTCCTTTTGCTGCTACTGCTCCTTTTGCTGCTACTGCTCCTTTTGCTGCTACTGCTCCTTTTGCTGCTACTGCTGCTATTGCTGCAACTCCTTGTCGTCGTCGTCGCCGATATAATAAACGACCCACCAATACAACAACGAGTGATGACAAAGAAGTTATTTATCGCATGAACAGAAATTTAATCACGGTACCAGAAATATGGCTTGAATATAGTGTAGGTATCAACGGTGGACCCTCTTTGCAATTACTGGAAGCGAAACATGGTACAGCGTGGCGAAAAGATGATCTAAAGGAAGAAAGATATTTCACACGACGTATGACGTTAATTCGGGAAATTAAAAGACTGGCCTCACAACATGAGTTTTCTTGTGAAGAAGCTGCTGTAGAGTTGGAAGAGCGTCGGATGCAATTGCACTTTTCGCTTGATAAACTTCGGAGGTATTTAACCTCACACGACTAGACAAAAAAAGCTTATATCACTTGTAAAATCTACATAATATCCCTTTTTTTCTTCCTTTAATGAATAAATATGATCCTGTATAATCAATTATGCTGCTTTTATGATAAAATCTACATGTGCTGCTGCAGAAAAAAAAAAAGTCAGTGATAGAAACCTATAAAAAAAATGCCACCAGTGATTATAAATAAGCAACTATCCTGTGCCTACTTGGTAAAGAAGAGTGCTATATTGAGCTAACTAGTCGTATAAACAGTTTACTCTTTCTCCAAAATAAAAACTGTTTTGGCGGCTAAAAAACATAAAAGAGGAATACACATCGAATGTTCTTGATCACCATTATCCGTTCCTAGCATAAGACGAACAATATTATACGACACCACGGATCAGATACAAGAAAAAAAAAAGTTGTGTCGCTTTTTTTTTTTTTTTTTTTTTTTTTTTTTTTTTTTTTTTTTTTTTTAATCCGAAACAAGTTGATAAATAAAACCTAGGTTAAAGTATATGAAGAGCGACATGGATAATGTATTCCACCCTTTTTGTTAATACCAAAATGATGAAGATAATTGGGGAAAAGATGTGTAATTAATAAAACTGTTGGTATGGAGTTATTTATATGTTTAGTAAACACGATCTGCGTGATGATCCCTTTTTTTGGGGAAGGGGGGGGGGACAGGAGGAGATGCTAGATGTTTTAAATTATCTGATTTGATGTTTGTTTGTTACTTGTGGAGATTTAATCCCACTTTGCATGAATAATGTGGGTTTGACACAAGAGAAAAAAAAAACCTTTGCACATTCTAAGGAATTAAATAACACAAAAGATACTAATTGACTGTATTCCAAAAGAATGACATTTCCTTTCGACATTTTCTCTGTAAACAAATATAATTTATGCAAAGAATACCATCTTATAATAAGTTTTTCTACATGAACCTTTTTTTTTTTTTTCAAATCTAGACAAATGAAACATTGAAAAAAAAAAAAAAAAGGTATCAGTGGCCGGAATCTGGATTAAAAAACAAAAAGATCAGATAAAGATCGATTACAAAAAAAAAAAATAAAAAAATAAAACTTTTTTTTTATTTCATTATAAAACAAATATTTTGCTAATCACACTAGAAAAATAATGGGATTTAAAGAAAAACTTTGGAGGTGGTTAAGTGCACCCGGTAGTCCCATTACTGTATCCTGTTCTGCACCCACTCAATATGTACACCAAAACAAGGAGCAAAATACATCTTACCAGGTCGTGACCGAAGAATCCAAGGAAGCTAGATTATTTAACCCAGAAGAACGTAAAAAATTAGGCGGTCGTATCTTTGACACTGTCACTCGTTTGGCTGGTTCTCGTGCTGCATTTATCTCCACTTTACTCGTCCTCATCGGTTGGGCCATTGCCGGTGGTATACTGGGCGCTCCTGATAACTGGCAAATTTTTATGCAAGATGGTAGTTCCATCCAATGTTATATCTCAGACACCCTCTTGATGCGTCAACAGCATAACCACTGTATCTCGCTACTTACCTTTATCGCTCAATTGCGGTCACGAAACACCACGCAACGACGTCTTTTCCATAGTCCCGATTTCAGAACCGATGTGGATGCCAACCAGGTTTTACAGATGGCGATCAAGGATGATGTAGGAGATGCTGTCAAACTTCCAACAGAGAACTGGTTTGATGTTTGCTGTAATTGGGTGTCTGAGGCCGTAGGCTCCTTAGCTGCCTGGACCGTCTATTGGGGTGGTATCTTTGCTTGGATCGGTGTAGGAGATATGCTGGGATGGAGTGATCTTTGGCAATTGTATATCAATACAGCGGTTGCAGTGGAACTCACCTTTACTTCCATGTTTCTTCAAAACACACGTCGTCGTCATATGCTTTATCTTAAAAAATGTCTCAAATCGATTATGGAAGCGGATTGTGAATTAGAGACGAAATTGCGTGAACATTTTAATGATAATGAACCCAATCCGGTGATTACAATCCCTCCACCCGAGAGATCGCGTGGTGTACGTGCCATTGATTATTATGCGGATGTGGTGGGTTCAGGTGTAGGTGTAGTGATATCCCTTGCTGTGTTTGCAGCTTGGCTCGGTGTAGGAAATCTCATGGAATGGAGTTCGAATTGGTGGCTCATTATTGGTACCTACACAGGTCTAATTGGATTTCTGGATGGGTTTGCGTTACGAAATGTTTATTTCCGTCAAGACATGTGGACAGATGAGCAATTTGCAATTTTGATTGAAGCAGATGAAATGACATATCAGTATTTAAATTTACCGATTCCTACGGGACCTTTACCGGAATCGCATGATCTTCGCACACGTGTGAGTAATTGGATGGGATATATCTGTGCCAAGGCGATGGCAGTGGGGGTAGCTATAATTATTATTATTGCGCTTATTTGTATTGCTAGTGGTATGCAATGGAGTGAAACGGGGCAGCTTATTTGTAACACGCCTACTATGATTATTGAAGGATTCTTGCTAGTGGTACTAATCCAAGGTCATAACAAGTCAAATATGAGACGTCGTGTAATTTTACATGATATCTTTATCCGTCGACTAAAATTACTTCAATACGTTCATGTCTCTCAGCAAAACGGTTTCTTGAATGAAAAACATGTTTGTAGTGAAAAGGGGTGTAAATGGTGCTCTAAAAAAGAAGATGATTAAACTTATTTTGTGTGTAAATTATACTGGCTCTCTGTACATACTATAATAAAAATATTGTAAAATAGATCTTTCATAGAATATATCAAATAACAAAAGTCCGCCCGAAATAGCACTCTCTCTTTTTTTTTTATGCGAATTCCATTCTGAACGACATTTTCGCATATATACAATAATAATAATAATAATAAAATTTCGGGGACATATTCACAACCCCCTTGGTCAAAAAAGAGAAATGTTCATTTCTTCTCTATTTCATTCACAAATAAATAAAAATACAAATGGGAGATCATGAACCACTTAATTTTCTATGTCGTTCGTATCAACCAGCATTAAGGTCCATTGCACCCAGTCCCATGATCACTCGTACACCTTCTCGTAAACCCGTATCACGATCACATACCAAGCAAGTACCCTTATTTCAGGGCAATTTCGTGTTGGATTGTCCCGTTCCACAACGTCTGATGGAAGCCAGTGCACGTAAAGAAAGTGAGTTCACATCCATGCGTTATTCAGCTGTCACTTGTGATCCCAATGATTTTCAACAACAGAATTATACCTTATTACCTCAGCTTATGCAACGTGAAACGGAGCTTTTTATCGTCATGACCATGTACAATGTATATAAAGAAAAAATAGAGTGTTTTTTTGTGTATGACTGTAAAAAAAAAAAAAAAATCTAATTTTTTCATCACACATACATAGGAAGATCATGTCTTGTTTTGTCGAACGATGCACGGTGTCATGAAAAATATTGCACATTTATGCTCTAGGAGTCGATCCAAGGTATGGAACACGGAAGGCTGGAAAAAAGTAGTGGTATGTATTGTAGCGGACGGAAGAAAGAAGTGTGATCCTCGCGTTCTGGATGTCTTAACAGCTATGGGCGTGTATCAAAAGGGAGTGGCTAAAAACATGGTGAACGATAAACCTGTACAAGCACATTTATATGAGGTGATGAAGCCCCCTCCAAATGTTTTCAAAGAAATGAATAAAGGCTTATTAACCAGGATTTTAAAAAGTTTAGTATACAACACAGGTGTCAGTGGATGCCGACATGAAGGTGCGAGGTGCTGAAAAGGGCATTGTGCCTGTACAAGTGCTGTTTTGTCTAAAAGAACAAAACGCAAAAAAGATTAATTCGCATCGTTGGTTCTTTAATGCGTTTGGTTCGATCTTGAAGCCCAACATTTGTGTCTTGCTCGATGTAGGAACAAGGCCTGGTAATTCATCCATCCATCATTTATGGAAATCGTTTGATATTAATGAAAACGTGGGTGGCGCATGTGGTGAGATTTGTGTGATGAAGGGTACGGCATGGGTTGATCTATTAAATCCGTTGGTGGCAGCACAAAACTTTGAATACAAAATGTCAAATATTTTGGATAAACCATTGGAATCTGTGTTTGGGTACATTTCAGTTTTACCAGGTGCTTTTTCCGCCTACAGATATGCGGCGTTACAAAACGATGTGAATGGATTGGGACCACTTCAAAAGTATTTTCTAGGGGAGAAACATGATGATGCCGAGAACGCAGATATTTTCACAGCCAATATGTATCTTGCCGAAGACCGTATTCTGTGCTTTGAATTAGTAGCTAAAAAGCATCAAAAGTGGGTATTGAAATATGTACAGACCGCCTTTGGAGAAACGGACTGTCCAGATCAGTTACCCGAGTTTATTTCTCAACGTCGACGTTGGTTAAATGGTAGTTTCTTTGCTGCTGTGTATTCACAATGGCATTTTTCAAGGATTTGGTGTACAGATCATTCGTTGGGCAGAAAGATGATGTTGTCTACCGAGTTCTTTTTTAATTTCATTAACTTGGTCTTTAGTTGGCTGGGTCTGGGGAATTTTTATTTGACGTTTTATTTCGTCACTAAATCATTGGCTTCACCAGAAATGGATCCCTTTGGTCATGGGTGGGGCGATCGTATCTTTCTTACCTCGAGGTACTTGTATGTCTTTTTGCTCATTACTCTCTTTATCTGCTCCATGGGTAACCGACCGCAAGGGTAATATGAGTGTATGTGATTTGTGTGTGTGTGTATTTTTGTTTCGCTTACTCTTTTTTTAAAACAAAAATTAGTTCAAAATGGATGTTTATTATCTCGGTGATTGCTTATGGATTCATTATGATGTACACTTCATTCGCGGGTGCATGGCTTGCCTACAAGAGTTTTGCTAAAGGCATGTCACAACCTGGTTGGGATCAATCCAACGCACTGGGTAATCTTGGTTTATTATTGGGTCAATCTGAATTTCAAGGCGTGGTGATTTCCTTGTTGGCGACGTATGGTTTATACGTGGTTGCTAGTGTATTATATATGGATCCATGGCATATGATTACTAGTTTCTCTCAGTATATATTTTTATTACCTACCTATGTCAACATTTTAAATGTGTATGCCTTTTGTAATATCCATGATGTCAGGTGAGAAAGAATAATGATTTGTTGTGTGTATCTAGGATACGTAACTGATACTTTCCTTGTTCGATAGTTGGGGTACAAAGGGAGATAACTCCACGACGATGGATCTTGGTGTAGCAAGTAAAGCTACCACTGGAGAAAAAGGGATCGAAACAGTTGAAATTGAGCTGGAAGATGGACTTGATTTCATTGAACAAAACTATGATGAAGCACTAGAGAGTCTTATGATGAAACCCGAAGCCGTGCGCGAGGTATGTGTGAACGATCTAGCGTATATATATATATATATATATATATATATTTTACTGATGATAACAAATAAAGAGTCGAGCACCTAAGACTAAGCAAGATGATTATTACCGTGGGTTTCGTACACGACTTGTGCTAAGTTGGATTGGCTGTAACGTATTTCTGGTAGCACTTGTTACGAGCGGTAGTTTACAGATTTTCTTTAGTAACAATGAACAAAAAAAGACAGCTGAAGAGTACCAAAATGCAATTGGAGCAGCATATACTGGCTTTATATTGTGGATGGTTGCTGGTATGGCTTTATTTCGATTTACAGGTAGTCTACTCTATCTTGTCTTGCGATGCTTTAGTCTATAAAAAAAAATAGGCACGGAGTCCTAATAAACCGGGGATTATTTCTCCCCCACCCCCCAATATCACAGTCATCACAATAAAAAAAAAAGATCTGAACTATAAAAAATCTTTTTTTTTTTTACTTCTTTTTTCCCATTCTTTCACCGTAATTACCCATCATGTCACAAGCTTCAGGTCCAGTCGCCAATAAATTCCTTCAAAGACTTGCCTCCAAGGAGACCAAGGACTACTTTATGAGGTAAAATGATAAGAATGATAGTTTTCTTATAGTGCATATCTTAAACCTTTTTATTTTCTCTATCTCTCTCTCTCTCGCTAGTACCGTAAGTTTTCGCCCGTACCCGTGCACCCGCCCAACAATACGGTTTCCGAAAAAAAATAAAAATTAACCCCTTTTTTTTTGTTATTGTAGCATTTTTGGGGACCTGTCGCCAATTGGGGTCTTCCTCTTGCAGCTATCTCTGATATCAAAAAGGATCCCAGTATGATTTCTGGCAACATGACACTTGGTAAGTCAATAGTGATAGTTTGCATATTTTTTTTTCTCGGGGTAAAAAGATCACTTAAATGTTTTCCGTATTTAGCCATGGTGTGTTATTCTGGTCTTTTCATGAGATTTGCATTGGCTGTGAAGCCCGTCAACTACTTGTTGTTTGGTTGTCATGCCACCAACAGTGTTGCTCAAATGGTTCAAGGGTACCGTTACATCCAATACCAATAGTAAGTATTCTTTTTTTTTTTTATTTTAAAAAAAAAAAAAAAAAAAAAAAAATCTGGCTTCTCTGAGTGTGTAACTGATTCTTTTTATTATTATTAGTTTGGGTGGTAAGGAAAAGACTGAAGCATCCAAGCCCATCACCTCTGCTTAAACAAATAATAAACATGTTTTAGATTTCTAATGTAGTTCTTGCGTTTAAACCAATGGTTTCAATGGACCGAGAAAATGCTTTACTTTGGATGGATTTTTGTGAATCAATGTTGTAAAATGGGTTGCACACATTGGATACGTAGGCTGTGTGAATCTTGCGAAATAACTAGATAATTTTGGTTATGCGTTTTTTTTTTTTTGGGTAAAAAGTGAATAATTAAATTACCGCCTTCATGTCTGCATCACGTATGATTCCATCTGTTACGGATACAACCACGACTAATTTCACTCGTGTGTTTGTAATATATCCATATCTACAGGTAAAGAAAATGATGTCAGACAGAGGGTACAGTGATACCAGAAAGTGTGAGTCCCATTTTTCTTTTTTTTTTACACTGCCAAATCTTCCATCGCATATAATAAGCCCAGGTACAAGTCCAAGTTCTTTGGGCCGTTGGAGACTGAAAGGGATAAACAGAGTTTAGAGTACAAAAGGGTTTTGTATGAAGATTGAAAGTATATTTTTTTACCTCGTTCTTCAATCACATCGATGGAAGTGTGAGCAATGTAGTGGTATTTTAAGTCTGGATGAGATGTGCTAAAGTTCTTGATAAACAAGGGATTGTTCTAATGAAATGTGGTTAATGAATAAAGGAAACCTTTCTCTTTACTACTCATAAAAAAGTCACCTGTTTGCCGATCAATGCAATGCAGTTAATTTCACTACTCATGTGTGGTCAATAATGTCGAGGTTGGGTTTAGAAAAAAGGATAAAAAAAAAAAAATAGTATATTTTTCAGTAACTCAATTTTTTACTCTCTCTCGACCAAAGCATAAACTAAAAAAAAAACGCAGCCCAAACTTTTTTTTATTATTATTCTTTCTTTTCTCCATTTTCTCATTTTTATATAAAAGTCATGGATGTGGACGCTTGTATCGAGTCTATTAAGGAATGCAAATACCTGGCAGAAAACGATATGCGCCAGTTGTGTAATAAAGTAAGTTATGAAGCTCATGGTTTTAGTAACATGAACTACAACTAATCTCTCTCTCTTTCATAAATAAAGCTAAAAGAAATTCTGGCCGAAGAGTCAACAGTGGTTCCTGTGCAGGCACCCGTAACACTCTGTGGTGATATTCATGGTCAGTTTTATGACCTTATCAAGATATTCGAAGTAGGAGGTGACTTGCCAGATACATCGTATATTTTCATGGTACGACTTTTTTTTTTTTTACCTTTGCTTTATACTCTTATATTCACCTTTATTTCTTCAAAATAGGGTGATTTTGTGGATCGTGGTAGATATTCACTTGAAACACTTACCTTGCTATTACTGTATAAAGTCAAGTAAGTGTTTTTTTTATTATCTCCCCCAAACAAAAGTATGCTAACAGCACCCAAACATAAAAGATATCCCGATCGTATTACACTAACCAGAGGAAACCATGAGAGTCGTAACGTCACTCGTGTTTATGGATTCTACGGTAAATACTAATAATATGAAAAGAAAGAGAGAGAGAGAGAGCAGTGATAGGGGATTTATGCTAACTAAACACTACAAGACGAATGTTTGGCAAAGTATCAAAATTCCAAAGTGTGGGAATGGTGTTGTACTGTATTTGATTATCTACCTCTAGCAGCTGTAAGTAAGATATATTGATGGATTTATTTTGATATGCAGAGAGAGAGAGAGAGAGGATTGACACTCTTTTTTAAAAAAACAAGGTCATTGATGGATCTGTATTCTGTGTTCATGGTGGACTATCACCTGAATTACCTTCTATTGATTCTATTCGGTAATCATTAACGACGCTTTTATTACCGCCTTCAAAACCGCTCTAACGCACTCTACATAGCACCTTATTTCGAATGCAGGAACTACCACAAAGTGGAGGTCATTGTGGTAAGTGTTGCTTAGTATAACAGACAAAGGGTGGGATACTGACACAACAATAAAAAAAAAAGATCTATTGTGGTCAGATCCAGAGACTCAAGTGGAAGCGTGGGCACTGAGTCCTCGAGGAGGTGGATATCTGTTTGGACCACTACCCACTACAGCGGTAAAGAAGAAAGAGAGAGAGAAAGAGAAAGAGAGAGTGAGAAAGAGACTAATAAGTATATACATACATATGTACACATACACATAGTTCTGTCAGAACAATGGGATAGATTTAATTGTGAGAAGTCATCAACTAGTGGACGAAGGCTATAATTACCCATTTGAAGAAGGGAATTTGGTGACACTGTGGTCTGCGCCTAATTACTGTTATCGCTGTGGAAATAAAGCAGCAATTTTAAAAATACCTGAACAAGATAGACCGATTGTATCAACAGATTATACAATCTTTATGGAGAATGAGAATCAAGGCGAATCTTTATCATCATCACAAGTAGCAAATGCACCTGGAGGCCAATATTTCTTGTAGCTTGTTGGTGAGACAAAAATAAAGTAATCATTTTTTTTTGGAAATTGAGTTTTTTTTTAATGAGATAAGGGTGAGAAAGGGAAGAGGAGAGAGGAAAGAGAGAGAAAGAGGGAGAAAGAGAGAGAAAGAGAGAGAAAGAGAGAAAGGCATACCTCTTCTTCTCTTTTAAAAAGAAACACAATGTAAAAAAATAAAAGAAAAAAAAAAGGGTATTACAAAATAAGGCACTTCTTGGACTTCTTCTTGACTGGAGGTTCTAATGCAGCAACGATGGCTTCATCAAATACATTTTTTAAGCCCTTCTGGGTTAATGCAGAACATTCAACATATTTGACAGCGCCAAGTTCTCTTGCTAATTTCTCACCTGCATCGAAATTAATAGGTCTTTGCTTTTGTCTTGCTAATTTTTCAATTACAGCAGGATCATCACGTAAATCAATTTGTGTTCCTACAATTAAACAAGGTACACCAGGACAATGATGATGAACTTCTGGGAACCACTTTTCTTTAACGTTTTCAAATGATGCCGGGGATGTTACCGAGAAACACACTAAAAAGACATCCGTTTGAGGGTAAGAAAGAGGACGAAGACGGTCATAATCTTCTTGACCAGCAGTATCAAATAGTCCTAAAGTATATGGCTCTTCTCCAATCATTACAGTTACAGCATAGTTATCAAAGACCTACAACAACAAAAATTATTATTCAGTAATCTCTCCGTAATCTCCCACTCCATTTCCTCCTTTTTCTCTCTTACAGTGGGCACATATTCGGAAGGGAATTTGTTGGTCGTATAAGAGATTAACAAACAAGTCTAACATTATAACATTAATCACTCTATTACATTCTTCTTTTTTTTATATTTTTCTATCTATTGTATCTTCACTTACTTTACCAACAGCACCATCTCCTACAACAACACACTTTATTGTTTGCATTGAAATAAATAAAAAGTAATTTATAAAAAAAAAAAAGAAAAAAAAAAGAGAGAGATGTAGAGAGAAGAAGAAAAAAAAAATTATGGAAATATAAACAATTAAAAGAGTCCCAAGATTTTAACCGAAATAGGTGATGTGTTGTGTGGTGATGTTGAGTAGGAGAATCAAAATACACAGGGACCTTTTTTTTATATATATGTATATATATATATATGTATTCATTCCAGTCAAATACATCTCTCTCTCTCTCTTTCTCTTTCTTTTATAACAAACACCCTTCTACCACCTCTAATCTCCCTTTTAAACGCAAATAAAAGGAGAGATTACACTTGATATGTCCCCAGTCAATATCATGACTCTCTCTCTATTCTCCATGCATATATTTACACTCTAACACATAACATCTCAATCACCGTATCTAACTGTGCAACACTTTTCTTCACCGCTTACAATCTCCTAATATGGAAGGTGACCATACCTTAATCTCCCCATTGATAAAATGCGCCGCGACTACACATACCGCACGTACGCACGCACGCACGCACCCACTCACACACTCACTCACTCATATTCACGCGCCAAAAAAAAAAAATCTTTTTGTACCTACGTCACACTTTTCATTTTTATTATTATTATTACTGTCTTTTGGCTCTCTTTGATTCACCCAAGAGGATACGGGATACGATGAGGGAGGACTCCTCTGATCAAGGAGAAGAACCTAGTATATATATATATATATATATAAAAGGAGGGAAACCGGCCTTTTCATCATTAGGTAATCCTCCTTTGCATTCTTTCTTAAAATCGATTATTCACTTTCTGTATCTACTTGCATTTTGAACAAAACCATGATATCATCTTTTATCAGAGGGATGACGACATGTGCGTCAGTAACATAACTACCGTGTGGCCGTCATAGATACACAGAAAAATCTATATGAGCGGTCATCAAAATTATATAGCTAGAATATTCTTATATGTGGGGCTAAATACACACAAACACACACACACAAACATTTCTTTTTCTTTTATTTATTTATTTTTAAAAGATGGATGCTGAACAAATTCGAGATGGCGTAAAGTTTATGCAACAGGGAGAAAAGGCGTAAGAAAAAGAATACCCATTGTCAGCTCTCTGTTTGAACTAATGCTGGTCCTTCATGTAGAGCATCTAAAGGATTATTCAGAAAACCAGATTGGGATATTGCTGCTGGTTACTACGAGCGTGCAGGTAAAAATTAAAGATCTTGTTTATACACCCTTTTTGGCTGATAAAAAATCATCATGTAGCTACGGCTTTTAAAATTGCAAAATCATACGATCAAGCGGTACAAGCCTATGCCAAAGCTTCAGAAGCTCTCTTTAAAGCCGATGCGTAAATGTGTATTCTCTCAGCAAAAACATTCTTTATACAAAAAAAGAAACGGGTTATTAAAAACATTTCTCTTTCTATATGTAGTATTCATTTAGCAGGAAAGGCCATGGAGAGCGCTGCATTTATTCTGGCTCAAAATTTAAATCAACCTCAGCGTGCGGCAGAAGCCTATCAACGTGCCAGTGATTATTTCATGACACAAGGAAGTATCGATCGTGCTGCTGAACAATTGGACAAAGCTGGAAAGTAAATACCCCTTTGCCAGTGCTGTAGATTTCTTTTCTTTATTAACTTTCACTTTTTAAAAGAGCATTGGAAAACGTGGATGTCAATGCATCGTATGAAATGTATAGTAAAGCATGTACATTGTACGAGCAAGAGGACCGAGGAAGATTTGCTGTGGATATTTTTAAAAGAGCCATTGCATTATTAATCCGAAACAAAAAGTGAGTTTCACCTATATACATGAAAATGAAAAAAAAAATAGACTCACACAACCTTTTATTATTGGAATAGATATGATAAGGCCATCGATATGCTGAGACGTCAATCAGTAATCCTTCAAAAGTTCACCAGTCGTTCTCATTTGTATAAAGCCAACCTTAGTATTTTGATCTTAATATTGGCGATTGGAGATGATGTAGAAGCTGGTAAACAATTCAGCTACATGTGCGGGTAAGCGAGTCTCCCAAAGGTAGACACAGTCAAACAAACAAAATAAGGCACGGTTTTTAAATGAAGGCTTTCCCTCTTTTAGTAACGACCCGGGATTCGCAGGCAGTGAGGAAGCAGAAATTGGAGAGGATCTGTTAAAGGCATACGATACCAGAGATCAAGAACTCTTGGAACAAACCGTTCGATTACAACATGTGACATTTTTGGATAATGAAGTAGCGAAATTGGCTCGATTATTAACTGTACCTGGTGAAGTCTTGTCTAACTCAACATCACGAAAGGACAATCACCATCACCGACAACAACAACAGCAACAACAACAACAACAACATGCGGGAGGAAGAATGCCTTCGAATACAAGTGATGTGCGTAACATGTCCCATGCTCAAGCAAGAGCTGAATTATACAATCGTCCTAATCAACCTGCTGATGACTTGAATAACGGCTTTTCAAAGATGAGAGTTCAACCTAACCAAGCTCAAGATGAGGACGATGATGAAGGTTTAAGATAATTTTTTTACTAGCAGCCAATAAAAAAATAAGGTTTTATTCAAATATAAATATATATAAAAAAGAAATCGTCGCCTCTTTTTTTTTTTTTTTTTTTTTTTATATATATATTTTTGCCCTCCAATTAATCAAAAAAACATGATGGAAGGCAAGCACGAATTATTCCAAGCACAACATGTTCAATTTCAGATCCATCCTTTACTCGCCAAACAGTGTCATAAAAGTGCCCCGGATGCAGTACCAGTTTTATTCCATTGTTCAAAGAGCAGTAAACTAGTAGTGGGGCGAGGTCATGACGCGACAGTCAAAATTGGTAAATCCAATAAACGTGTGTCGAGAGAACATGTAGCGATTGAACATAAAGCCCATGTTGGTTTTGAAATGACCATTCTATCCCCTAACGGTGCTCTCATTGACCACATTAGTTTTGACCAAGGAGAACATGTACCCATCACTGAGGGAACCCTTATTGAAATTGCTGGAAATAAACTCGTCTTTGCTGGATCTTCAAGTACAGAAGAAAAAGTCATGATTGCCTTACAACAGGATGAAACATCTCCCCCACTGATCCCATCACCACCGTCACGACTGTCATTGCCACCGATACCAGTGACATGCGCATCCCACATCGACCGTGCATCGAATATCACACCGGTGAAGGAGAAACCCGGCCAACCATCAACACTCCAAGATCAGATTATTCAAGTACTTGGTGAGTGAATTTTTTTTTTTTTTAGAAGCAAATGGTTGGTTGTGGTCAAAAACTAAAGAAAAAAAATGAATTTTTTTTTTCACAGTGTATACACGAAAATCCACCATGACATGCACGGATATCGGGAATCGATTAAGGGATTATACGATAAGCGAAGTATCTCGCGTTCTTAGTGGATCAAGAATGATTGGACGTATTCAACGCTTGGGCAAGACAGCAGATGGATCTCCCAAGGAAGACCTTTATTATTATAAACCCGATTTAGATCCAGATCAGGCACGAAAAAAACGGTATTCGGATGTAGGTAGAAGTGCAAGGAAATGCACCATGAAGGATACACAATACTTTTTCAGGGTAAATTTAAAACCCCCTTCCCTATCCCACTGACGCATCATGTATATAAAAAAAAGAGAGAGTGATGTGTGTGCGTGTGGGTGTATGTGTCAAACAAAATTGGTTAAACTCACTCACTTACTAAAAAATCAAAAAAAAAAAAAGATTCCACCGAAATTGACAGCATCCAATAAGACTCGAAAGAGGACATCGGCAACAATGGTAAAGGAACAAGAGGAAGATGAAGAGTTAAAATCAAGTCATAGTAGTGATGATGTGAGTGATATGGAAGTGTATGAATTATTCAAGGATGTGTGATAAATAAATTATTATTTGGTTTGGTTTGGAGGTCAACTGAGTGACACATCATTTTTTTAAAGGCATTTTTTTTTTAGTCGTAGCACATTCTTAATATATAACTTTTTTTTTGCATGGACATTGCGTCTCTCTCTTTATGCCCCATTCATCATCATGACAAGGTACACAATGAGCTAAGCTGGTAGTAATTAGAGGTTATTTTATCTAAAAAGACCTCACCACATGTAAATTTAGATCATTCGCAAATGATCAACGTAATTTATATTTGTCACAAGCTGCCACATGTATAAAGAACAAAAAAGGGCACAATTTAAAAAATAAGCGTTAAACAAGTGTCTATATCCGTCTTTTTTTATTATTGAATTTGACAGCAAAGCCCCCTTTTTTGTTATATCTATTTTTCTCTCGGCCTATAATCTTCAAATAGGGAATGTACGCTCTTTTTCTAAAAAAAAAAAACGGATGACAAAAACGATCAAAGATAGAGCTTAGATCAGCAAAAAGTAACAATAAGAGTATTATTTTTTTTTTTGGTACAACGGGGAACCATTATCAGGCGACGGATCTGATGAATTAAAAAAAAAGAGCGGAAGAGCTTACCCCAGTTGTCAAGCTTTACTCTCTTGTTTTTTAATGGTTGCTAATTGTCATGAAAGATATTCCTCGTCTCTATAGTCTGAGCGTGAATTTAAAAATGATGTTTTATTGTGTTTGTATGTGTGTGTGTGTGTGGGGGGGGGGATAAGGCGTAAATTAGTGTGGGATGAATGGGAGCCACTTCTTTCACACGCAATTAAAAAAGGCTGTAAATGGCATTATTATTATTAGCGGCATACATGGTTGTACGACATACGCCTTTTTTTTTTTACATAGCAACTGTTGCTATATGATACGTTTTCCAAGGGGATCATTGTTGTGTAGTCAAGGTTCCCACCCCCTGATTTTCGTTGCTGTTGGGATACGATGAGTAGGGTAGGCAATCGGCATAGTTAGATTAACTTTTTTTTTTAAAGAGTGATTTAGAAAAAGCACGAGTAGGGCGCGCGATAGGGACGGGGGATGCGTATCACCTTCAATATAAACTGTTTTCCCTTACTTTTTTTTTTTTTTTTTACCACACATGTATACACTGGATATATACAGTAAAACAAAAGTTCACGTTAGACCTACAAAAAAAAAATGGCAAGATTTTTTAATAATCCCAATCCGGGAGAGAATAATAATAATAAAAAAAAGCAAAATTCGTCGTCATCCGGCTTTGCATTTTCGTAATACTAGTCATGGCTAAAAGAGAATGACGATTGGCTGTAGAAAAAAAAAAAGATTATCATGACAGAAAAGGTAATTCCCAGATCTTTTTTTTTTTTTTATACAAACATTTGGTTTACTAGACCCCCAAATAAATGACACGGTAATCATGTCATGCCTTCCCTCTTTTTTTTCTAATTATTCTGTGAAATAAGAATACAAAGGTTTTTTTTTTTCTTAGTGTTGCATGAACATACCATTGCTTTTCTATATAAAGTGTGTGTTGTGTGCCTCGGACCTTTTTTTTTGTAAACATGCACAGACAGCAAAAAAAAAAAAATATAAATAACCTAATTTTTTTTTCTCACGTATTTCTCACGAAGCCTAAAATAGAAGGTAATTTGGCTTGAAGAATGGAGCGTGATCCAAGTTCGCTGCTGTTTATCATCCCTAAAAGGGGACACCCAGAGTCACACGCTCTCTTTTTTTTTTTTCCTATTTCCTGTCAAATAGGAGACAATCATTCATCTTTTTTTTTTTTTTTTACAAAAACGAATAAGATATCGCTGCCTTATCATTGCCTCTTTAGGGCTTTTTTTTTTTTTTTTTTACTTTCTTGTTTTTCTATTTTTCATTTTTCTGACTGTGCGTTGTGGTTAGAAAGGATGGTTTTGTGATTCTATGTGTCTGTGTTGAAATATGTAATGAAATGTAAACCCTGGGAACATTAGAGTGGGAAAAGAGTGTTTAAAACAAGATAAATAGCACGTGATAAGATCTTTTTTTTTTTAATAAAAAATCTTATCAATTTAAGGTTTCTACCTTTACTTAATTGGTAAACAATTTTTTTTTTTTTTTGTTATATCTCTCTCAAAAAAAAGAAACTCCTTCGTTTTCTAAAAAAACTTGTTTTTTCTTTTTTTTTTTACATTTTATTTTCTTCTTCTTCAAAATCTTCTAAAAATGGAACGTCAAAAATCTCGCATCATTAGTGAACAAGTGTTTGGAAGTAGTCGTAAAATTCAATTCATTGGACTTTGTGATGAGGATGTTAGACCGATGAGTTCCTTATTAGACGCTATTGATCAAGCACATCCTCCCATCCGTCCCGATTATAAAGAAACCAGCTCTACACAACAAACCATGTCGATTGAATCTTTACTTGACTCTGAATCCTCTACTTCATCACAGTATCAACATCATCGTCAATCTCAGTCTGCCAGTACACACGAAGTCAGTATCGCTTCTCTTTTAACTTCTGATAACACTCATAAAAGACGATGGGAAGAATCAAATTCGAATAAGCCTTCGAAACGATCTTTGTCAAATAATGGAAAATCAATGATCGACTCTAATCATACCAAGAAATCAACCCCAGTATCATTATCATCATCTGCTTCAGCTACTACTTCTTCAGCTGCTGCTCCCAACGGACAAGATAACAGTACAGAAAGACACAAGACAATCATCACCTGTCTTCATGCCTCTGTTGCACAAAAATCCTATGGTTCAGAAAAACGTTTTCTCTGTCCTCCTCCCATCGTACACATCAAATCACCCTTCAATTCTTCTATTACGCCTGAACAACGCGCTGAAAAGTTACAGCTCTCCATGTCAGTTATTTGTGAAAATGGCGATCGTATTTTGGAACAGCGTAGTATGTTGGATGAGAATCAATCAGGCAGCTTTAAATATCTTCATGTTACGGGTACTGCCAAAGCCAAACAGTTTAATCTCAAGGTCGATTTATTACCCAATATTCAACATCATACCACTTCTCCACCTTCTTCTCCTAATAATAATAATAATCAAGAAGAACCAGTGGAGGCTTTACCCTTGGCTACATTTATATCCAAGCCAATCTCCATCATTTCAAAACCTTCTAAAAAGACAGCAAAGACAAGAAATATTTCTACCTGTATTTTAGCTAACTCACCCGTCTCTTTATTCAATCGTATTAATTCGCAAACAGTCCGTACCAAATATATGACTTCCAGTAATAATATGTTGTGTGCTAAAAATACCACTTGGTCTCCATTTGATATCATCATTGTCAACCAACCCAAAGCACCTCAACCTCATAAAACACATCGTCAACAAATGACAACCACCATCAGCGGTCGATTCACATCACGTATCCAATTAGCTCATCCACCTCCACCACCCACTCAACCTTCCCCTAGTCCTCCCCATGCTGTCAGTTCAAAGACACCTGTCCATGTGACTTATGGCACCGAAATCATCTTGCGAGATTCTCAAACTGGTGTATCATCGCCCTCATTAATTATTCGTAAAGTGGATAAAGGTCGTATTGCGCAATGTGCGTATGGTCCTGTGAGTCAGATGCAAAAGATTGCTTTACAATTAGCTTCAACAATTGATTCGCAACCGATTTATCTCTCAGCAGCAGGCTCACTGACAGATAACGCAGTACATAGTAATAACGAAACAAGTTCCACAAGCAGTAATACATGGCTTGATTATTCTCCCTCCAGACTGGTTCAACCCGAGAAAATGACATTGGAACTAAGTTATGAAGAAGTAGATGATTATCTCTGTTGGACGATTGTGGGTATTGCTAAATTTGAATACGACTATTATGAAAATCAAAATTTAGAGGAGAATGGAGAGATTACAGAAGTAGCTGAATTCAAAGCGCCCTCTATTGTGGAAGATGTGACACCACCTCCTTCACCACCCAGACATATTACACCGTTTCCCATCTTGAGTCATATTGAATACAAGACAGAAGAACATAGACTGGATGTGATTGGACAGCATTTGATTCAGGCAGCACCTGTGCCTAGATTGTTGGACCTTTGGTTAGGTACGCATGGACCGTTAGTGACTCGTATATCGCAACCACCTCAACCACATACACCTCATCAGACGCATTGGTCAGTACAATTGCCTCCAACACAGGATCTGATTGTAGCCAATCATGATTTATTGGTGACACAAGCGGATGGTAGAAGAACGTTAGAATTAGCCTTGTTGTTAGTGAGACAAGATGGTTTGGTCTATCATACAGGGAAAGCACTTTCATGTGATGTGTTGTATGATGCTGGTCGTTGGGCTGTGGTGCCTGCCTCCTCTACATAAAAAATACATATATATATTCTATGTTGTTGTAAATAAAAGCCCTTAACTATTAGTATTATTAATTATTTTCCGTGGGAAAGTTGAATGGGAGTGGCTCAAATCCAAATGAATCATAACGAGTAAACAATTTTGATTGGCTTTGGAACAATGGGCTGGGAAAGAAAAAGGAAGGATCATTTTTGGGAAAGGGGAGTAACCCTCCAATGGATTGTTGGCTAACTTTCCCGCGCCTTTTTTTTTTTTTTTCATAAAGGGAACCCTTGTTTTTTCTTATTGATTCAACCCGTTGGATTCCGATTGTAAAACATAAAAATAAGTGGTGTTCCCAAATATTTATATGTAGCACTTTTCATAGCACACAAAAAGTGCTTATCAAATAAAAGATCACACCTCTGCTTACAATATCACAATTTTTTTTTTTTTTTTTTTTTTTTTGAATGTTGAAATTTGTGTATATAGAATGTTGGCAACCCTGGGAATTATCCTAGAAACAAAACTAATTTTTTTTTTTTTGCCCTGCCTAAATAGTCAACCGTTACCCTTTATTCGCCCTTTAACTTTTTTAAGAACGTGTGATACGATTCACCCTTTTTTTTTTTTTTATTTTCTGGAGATGAAAGTTGATGAACTCAATGTTTGTTTGCAAAGAAAAAATCGGATTTGTTGTGCTACACTTATCACTATTGTAGCTAGGAGGGAGGTGCACATAACAAAAAGTTTAACTAGCTGTTGTACACCTTCAGAAAAAAAAAAAAAAGACGATCAGCCCCCTTTTTTTTTTATGGCGGCACCAGACGGAGTATAAAACACAAAATAGGTAACCACACATGGAATAGATGTTGGACATCATCGTTTTTAAACGGGAACATTTAAAGTTACAGACGAGCGTACAAAGATGAATACAGAAAGTATCAAGGTGTATATTTCGAAGGCGATAATTACACGAAAATAGATGCATCAAGATATTGTTTTGTTTGCACATTGGAGAACTACAGCAACTGCAGCACTTGTTTCCATTGCAATAAACAACAATCTACCAAGTTCATGTGGGGAAAAAATGATTGGGATTCATTCAGAAATACAATCAAAGGGAACATGTCACATAATGTTCCAAGTTAACAAGATCCGATTATAAATCGCATTTTTTTAATCATCGCAGCATACATCTCGTTGGATATTATCTTAATGACAGCTGTTAGTGATAAGCTTGTTACTTTTCGCTTGAACCATCTGGTACGGTTGTATTACAAAAGAGAATTGCTGTTAAATCCTATTTACTCTCCATCACTTCATAATCCCCATTCATGTAAATATAACGGTCTCCTTCTTCCCTCGTTAGTTACGACATTGAAATCAGCTGGAGCCCCCGCCCCCCTTGCAAAAATAGATGGTTTTATTTTAGTTATGAAGTAAACCCAAACGATTTCCCTCGTCTGTGTGTGCCCAAACTATTCAAGGACTCATTATTTGTGGGTAAGAAAGGGTTTCCACCTGCGCCGCCTCTCCGACTATTATTACTTCCACTATGATTACTGTTATGCTCACCTAGTGAAATAGTGTCTAATTCAATGTTTTCATTCGTCGTAGTGACCACAGGGGTAACATTTTCATTCGTATTCGGAAAAGGCACGATATGTGAATCTCTTCTGGTCTTGGGTGGTGTCAGATCGTCCTTTGTATAGCTTATAAGCGATGATGGTCTTGAATCTTTATCCTTCTCTGCTAATAAAATCTTTCGCTTGTATCTTCTTCGGAAATACCATGTACCCCAGCCAATGATTAAGAGTATACCGATGCTACCAAAGAGATACACGGGTATGGCAATGGCCTTGTTTTTCGCAGTCCATGCCTTGATTGTGTTGAGTGCACCTGTCCCCTTACAACTTCCCTTCTCACAAAATCCTGCTAATCCACATTCAGTGCCGTCCAAAAACATACCGCTAAGCATCAAACAATTTCTCGCGTCCTTGGGATCCGTGCAGCTGATCAAACATGAATCTTGTTGAAACGAGCATTGTTCACTTATGTTTTGCCTTAAACCTCTGGCCATGCATTGCTGATCCCTCGAAGTGCATATACCTGAGGCACATTTCATGGTGCCATTCGCACATGAAGCGCCATCTTTATCATGAATATCGATAGGACACGAACTATTACTTCCTGTGCAAAATTCCGCTGAATCACATTCCGACACGGCAGGTCTACAGATCGTATCGGGTGGTGCTATTGCACAATTTAAACAGCATTGGTTGCTATAATCACTAATAGGTAAATGTAAATATATATTAGACTTTACTACAAATTACAAAAAAGATGGATGGATCGCCTATGGATGATCCGACTCACTCGCATACTGCATTCGGTTTTAATTTACAAGTTTTGGCAAAACAGCAAGGACTATCTGTCAATCCAGGATCGCACTCTTCTCCCGGCTCTAGAATCCCGTTTCCACAAAGTGAAAAAGTACCACCCGTTCTCAAATCAGGCGCTAATAAAAAGATGGTAATTTTTTTTTTTAACAATCCAGAAGAGTTTAAAAATGTAATGTCATCCAAACTTACTGTTTAGGCAGTAACCAATGTTTGGAAATGTATTACAAACATCTGATATTGAGCACGGACTAAAATCATTGGTTGTCACATTACTGGTAGGATTCATTAAATAAGTATCGCCTGCACTACATACAGTTTCACTAAGAGGACAACACCCACATTCTCCATTACATGGACACATGTGCGATGTACAATCATGGATAGCACCTTTTTTTTTTAATATGTATATATGGCTGTAAGAATATATTTTGTCACATTAAAAAAAAATATGTAAGCGTTACCAAATCCATGTCCAATTTCATGCGCTACTACTTTCCACTCGTCTCTTGTGATGGAGGATACACCTGTTCCTGAAACCCATTCATAGGAACCATCATCTACAATTAAACACTTTTTTAATCAATCTATATACATTAAAAGATGTAAATCGTACCTTCTATTTGTTGAGATACTTGGGTTTCACATAACTGACTTAACCAAGCAATCCCCACTTTAACACCTGTTGAACATTTGGTCATCAAGTGCCAGAGAGCAGCACCATCATCGCCCTTTTTTCCGCGCCAAAGGCTAAAATCACTGAGGCGATCATTGATTGTGTAATAATTGGAACATGCTTGATTCCAAACAAGAGAAGATTTGGGTTTGATGGGGCATTCAGGCACAGATATTTGTAAGTAAATGAGGCCCAAAGACACATTAAAGGTCTTTTCGTATACAGCAGAGGCAACGTTCCAATCATTGATCATTTGAAGTTTTGCATACCTCACACTTCCATAAGACAATACGTACGAGCAATCCGCTGCAGCACCCATATAAGCGACTGTCATTATAAAGTGTTAATTCATCATATCCTAAAAAAAATACAACGATGCTTACTTTTTCGTGCGGTAGGACAACCAGCGGTGGATGTAATGGGTGCAGGTGTGACATCAAGTACAGTTCGTTTTTCCCATAAATTGGAAAATGTAGAGTCAGTGACATTACTCAAGGGAGCCGCATGTGAACCGGTCATTCTCCTGTTATAAGCGAGTTCCTCCATGGCACATGTGATATCTATGGATGGATGTTTATCTCTTTTTTCTAAAACATCAACTTGTTGATCCGAATCTCTATAGATTACCATCTCGCCACCTGTATTGGGATCATCATGCCGCTTGGAGATATGGTAATTAGGCGTGGTTTTAATATGGTATATATCTGAATCCACAGTAAATGCTCCTTCAAAGACTGGATAGGAGCTAAAAGGGTAGAATAAAAAGGTCATTACTATTTAGACTTTTAATGTCGAGGGTTAAAACGTACTCTAGATCGTGCCTCATAATAATTCGTGCCCATTGATGTGTGACATTGTTCACATGGCCTTTATAGACAAGGTGATCATGCGGTCGTAAAAGCTGAGTATCGTTGGTCGAGCCGTTTGTGTTGAACACGGTGAGTTGTGCACTTGGGTGAAATAAGTCCACGTTGGGTATTAAAGCAAGTGATATCCACTTGTCAAAGGCTGAAAATTCTAGCAAAAAGCTGTCGTCATGAGTCAATAAGGAACGCTTCTTTCCTAAAATCGTAATCACGGGATTCTCTATTGTTTCTACTTTTTGTAATCGAGAAGGTTGTATCGAGCTTGCTAAAGGAACCCCCCACACACACAATAAAAAAAAATGAGTTGTTTGTAGCACTTTTTTTTTTGTTTCGAAATATACCAAATACTTGATCAAGAGGCAAGATTATAAACAAAGTTGTCCATAACAAAATTAGAAACATTCAAGCAGTTTGTAAGTGATTTTGTTAGAGATTTATAAAATATATTGGCATGGCCATAAATAATATTAAAAAGAGAAGAATTATCGATTCGTCTCAGAAAACTCATTTGTGGTGTGTGTTTAAAAAGGAGGGGGGTCTCACACCTCAAGAAAATTGTTACAAAAAAGGAAAGGATTTTTTAAAAAAAAATCATCAAATCTTCCACAGAGCCAACAATAATATAAAGTGCCAAGCTATATGGAGCTATCACAGTAACGGACTGAAACGTACTAGGTATATACGTGTCTGTTGGAAGCCGCAAAAGGTCATTTCTACCGAGCGTGGCTTTCTCTTTTTCTTTATAAAGCTGACATTTAAACCAGTTTAATTATCATTCAGACACTTTATCAGCAAGAACAATAATCGGCTCAATAATCTCATTGTCTTTAAGCAGAGCCAGACCTTCTGGTTAATCATTTTTTCTATTATTATCCTTATATGGTCCTTTCAAAGACTTGATCATAATTACCTCAAAGACGATGACGGGACAAAAGACTTTGCTTTGTCAAACACGTGGCTGCTGTACGGAGTATAGAAACAGCTGTCGGATTGTGACTAAATCGATCAAGCGTGGCATGAATAGAACCCAATATAAATGTTGTCACTGTTTACGCGCGTATATTAGTAATCAATCTGCATTTGATATGGTCGAATGTGTTGCAATCACTGTTCTTAACCTGTTTTTTATGACAGCAGTTGCCATATGACACGTGTTATGACGACACTCTTAGGTGTAAGAAGTATATTTATCTCGCAGCACATATTCAAAACAATCAAAGCATCTTCAAAGTCTGCGAACAAAAGTCATCCCCTCACCTATAAATCAGTCATTAGGAGCAGTCAGAAAGAAGAATAGGCTTTTGTGACTTTGGCGAGAGAAAAAAGTGATTGCGATCAGCTCCGCATAAATACGCTTTATAAAATAGCAAGGCCGACTAGTTTTTTTTTTTATTATTATTCCTTCCTCTTCACCAACCTCCAAGATTTTTTTTAGCAGTCAGAATGTCACAAGGAGACGAAAGAACGGCTTACTTCGCGTCTTTATGTGAAGAATTGTATAACCCCAAGTCACCAGAAGAACGTAATCAAGTACAGAAAATTCTTGAACATTCGTTTCCTACCTTTACAGAATCCAATGGTTTACCTCCACCCGGCATGGAGAATCAGCCGTCGTTTGCCATTAATTCCCCAACAGATACCGCCTCAGCTCTTCGTGTTTTGCTAGAGTCTTCACCAAGTCCCTACGTCCAAACATTTGCATTGTCCAGACTAAAGCAATTAGTACAAGCTCAATTTGCTCTGTTTAGCCAGGAATCTAAAATTGGATTGCGTAAGATTGTCATTTTCACCCAGTTTTATTGAATTGTGCCTTAACGCTGCTTATTCTAGGCTCCTTTCTTTTGGAGTACGCGTTTATGCATCCTGATTTGATGCCTTTTATTATTACACAATTGGCGGGCGTTTTAGCAGCAATTACTTTATTAGGCTGGGCCGACGTGGAGCAATATAAAGATGTCCATAAAGACATTTTACAATTTATCCAAGTAAAAAAAAAAAAAAAAAAAAAAAAAAAATTGCATAACTGTAGCACATCTAATTTAATTTATAGGCTTCCGTCGATCATCGTATTGTAGGTCTTCAAATACTGTCCATCATGGTGCAGGACATCAATCCACCTAGTTTTGCAAGAAGTGCATCAAAGTTTAGAAAAGCAGGTAAGAAGATGATTCTCAACTCGTTAAATGCAAGATGTTAATGTTTCTTGTTTTTTTTAGCTGGTGAATTCCGTGATAACCAGTTACTAGATGTATGCGAAACTGGATTCAACACGTTGGAAGAATTAGTGCAACACGGGATTGTTTTCACTAGTCGTACGTTACCATTCTTTCTTTTTATCTGACTGAACCACTAAATTTTACATCCCACCAATAGCAAACCAAGAACAGCGATTACAGGAAGCGACTTTGAACTTGTTGGTAAAGTGTTTATCTTATGACTTTAACGGAACGAGCGTCGATGAATCCGGAGAAGATATCGGAATTATTCAGGTAGAAATGGGATGAAGTCATTTTTTTTATATATATTCTCATGCTAATGTATCATCGAATGGACTAGATCCCCGGATCTTGGAGAGCTTTATTTGAAAAACCCGAATTTTTAAACGTATTCTTTAAAGCATATGCCGAATTTCCTCCACCTCATTCATCCAAAGTCATGGAGTGTATGGTTCTGATTGCATCTGTTCGTAAAACATTGTTTAATGATGGAGAAGAACGCTCCAAGTTTGTTGTCAAGGTGATGCACGGTATCCGAGAAATCATTTTGACGTCACAGGGGTTAAATGATACAGACAACTATAATGAATTCTGCAGACTCCTGTACCGTTTCCGTGCCACCGTTCCTTTGAATGAAATGGTCGAAAAGCCTGGATATTTGGATTGGATTGAATTGATTGCCGATTTCTCCCTCAAGGCATTCCAATCATGGAAATTTGCACCCAATACAAGTATGTATGTCTTGGGCTTTTGGGCACGTATTGTTCAAAGTATGACCTATTATCAGCAATTGGGTGAAGCCGCAGTTGAGAAATTGGGAAACATTACCATTGAGGTATAATATATTTGCATATATACGTCTCTGTATTGCATGAACTTACAATTTTTTTTTAGTTGACTCGTTCTTACATTTCCACGTCTATTGACTCAGTCCCTGTTCGTATTGATGAAGGATTAGATGATCCTTTAGAGAATGAAGAATCCATCATTGAGACCCTCAATATGCTTGGTCAGATTGCTCATTGTAAATACGAAGCCTCCAGTACCGCTCTGCTCAACTTATTTGATCCCATTACTATCGAATATCAGAATTTGATTACACAAGCTAGTACGCCGGAGAGTTTCAGAGAAGCTTTGGAAATCATTGAAACGAAATTTGCTTGGCTTGTTTATATTATGGCGTCATTTGTTGGCAACCGATCGGCCTTTTTAAATTCAGAGGATTTGGATAGAATTGATAGTGAAATTACCACCAAAGTACTTCAACTCATGGATGTTCAGCAGTCTTTGCAAAATCAGCACGGCACTACATTTATGAATGAAAAGCTTGATTTGGCATTCATTTATTTCTTCCAGCAATTTAAAAAGTCTTACATGAGCGAATCCAATGGTAGAGATGTAAGTGCACATTTTCGGGAAATATAAATGACATACGGGATGATAACAAGGATTTGTTAGATTTATTCCAAGTTATCAACCGTGTTTGGTATCAGCGATCAAGTTCTCATGTTGGATGTAATCATGCGTAAAATGTAAGGGATTCATGGCAGCTTTTTTGTTTTGTTTTGTTCAAACTTTAAATTGTCTAACTTGTTTCGTTAGTGTTTCCAACCTGCAATATTGGGCCAATAATGAACAACTCATTCGCCGCACTTTGGAGCTTTTCAATGAATTAGCCACCGGTTACGGTGCATCGAAGAATCTTCGCAAGATTGAAACGACTCGATTAATTCTTCAAAATCATATGGCAAGTCAATTTGCATTCTGTCAAAACGAAAAGCAAAGCGAAAACAGAATATTGTACTTTCAAGTTCTCTGTAAACTTTTGTTTGCAGACGATAATGTGGATGAAAGAACCTTTTACGAATTTATGAAACCCTTTGATATGCGTATTAGTAATTTAGGTCCGTTAGATAGCGTAGAGGCGTTTAGACAAGAAACTACTAGAGTAAGTTTCCCTTCTTTTTTTTTTAGCACGGTTATTTGATGAAACTAAATTTATCCAAAATAGCGGGCCTTGCGTGATGTTTTTGTAGACTTGTGTGGATTTATCTCTCCTATGCAAACACGTCGTCATTTTGTATTATTTTTTGATTGGTTTTATTCCGAATATTCATCCATCCTCTTGCGTGCTGTCGAAGCTTGGTCGCCCGATCCCATTGTCAACTCTTTACTCACGTTTTACTCGGAGTTTGTACATAATAAGAGTCAAAGACTTGGGTTTGAGGTTTCTTCTGCCAATGGTATCTTAATGTTTAGAGATGCCAGTCAAATCGTTTGCTCATTTGGTCATCAAATTCTCAAGCAGCAAATTGTAGACGACAACCAAAAGTACGAGTATAAGTACAAGGGAATTTCCCAATGCTTCAGTATCATGTCAAAATGTTTAGGTGGCCGATACATCAATTTTGGTGTTCTTTGGTTGTACCAAGATAAAGCCATCAATGAAGCACTTGATATGATTATTCAACTCATGCTTGATATCCCTATTGATGATCTCCTGGCAAGTATTATTTTTCTTTTCTTCGAAGCATACTCTTGTTCTAATGTTTTTTATAGAGCTTTCCCAAATTGTCATTATCATTTTTCCACTTGTTAGACGAATTATCTCGTGAACAGCTCATGGCTATGCCTAGTATTTCTCCTGATGCGTTCTTGTACCTTATGCAAGCTTGTGAGCAAGGTGTCGAATCTAGTGATAGCTTGATTCGTGCCCATGCATGTTCATCCATCTATAACATTTGTAGTTACGTAATCAAGGAGACAGAAAAGGCAGAAAGAGAAGCTAGTTCCAGCTCAAGTGATCAACTGTCCCGAAGAAGATCTTCTGTTGTTTCTCCTTCTAACCAAATTTCGGGTACTCATTGGATCATGAGCTATTTCCGCCAATATCAACAGACATTACCTACTCTGTTATCAACTGTGTTTGGTTTGGTTTTGTTTGATGATAATAGCGATCAATGGTCTTTATCTCGACCATTGTACGCATTGATGATACTTCAAAGAGAATATGCCATCAAATATACAAGTGCTGTCATTGATCAACAGCTCCCCGAAAGAAGACCATTTGTTACTACCGTAAGTTTTTTTTTCTTTAAGAAAAGGGTGGGCGGATGAGAATGCTTATATAAATTATTTTTAGTCGTTGAACAATTTATTGGATGGCGTCGGATGGACATTGTCACCAAAGGACAGAGAAAGGTTCACTCAGAATGTATCGTCATTTAGAAGATTGTTGAATTTAAACAGCGTGGCACTTGTACCTCTTGCCACCCCTCCTGCTTACTACTAAAACTATCAGCAGCAACACCAACCAAAAGCATACACAAAATAAAGTCATTAGAAAATAAGTAAACACAATTTTTTTTTAATTGTTTCGCAAGGATTGGTTTTATTTCCCTAACATAAACACAAAGTGAAGAGAAGCTTGTTATAGCGATGGTTAACATTATGGTATAATTTAAAGAACTTATTCATTTGTGTGGGTTATTGTTTGAGCTTATGAAGCAATGACAGTAATTGATCAAGTTATGTATGTAGATGTAAAAAAAAAAAAAAAAAAAAAAAAAAAAAGAATGCAGTGTATATCATTCGTACATCTATGTGCATTTATTGGTAAAGTGAAACAGACAAATAGGTGAAAACCCCGTTTTCTTTGACGAAAAAATATTTGTTTTTGAAAGAACAAAAGAAACTTACGAGTTTCTCGGAATATACAGCAGTCTAGTCAAAAGAAGTGTCTCTTACAAGTTTCATCAAAATGAAATCCCTCATAATCGACCTAAATAGTCATCCCCCTTCCCCTGCCCGCACAGACGCACACATACACTTCAAACATCACAAGATGATTGATCATTTTGGACCATGGCAGTGATAAAAAGCAATGGTCTTATGAGCGGTCATTATCTTACGAGTAGTGTAAGCCTGACAATGGGCATTTAGAGTATTATTTATTCTCTATAATTTATGCCTTTCAATTTTTAGATTTCACCAACTTTTTTTTTTATCGATATATGGGCTCAAGTTTTTCAAAGACCAAGTCATGGCGTAAAATCAACACTGCCAAATCAGCCAAGTATGATAGGGTTAATTATTGCACCAGTGCTGCCAAAGCAGTCCTTGAAGATGATGCGATCCTTACCACAATCCAAGCTGAAAGGAAAGTTAGAGTTGCTAACACATATAAAGAAACGCGCAGTGCCGATAGAATAACTAAAGCTAGTATCTCTCGCCGCAGCAGCGTCTCAGAAGATAGTATTGAAAGCAGTTCATCAAGTTATATCGTTGGACGTGAGTTTAATTAAAACAGGTGAATCGGCTTTTGGGTATTAATATTTTAGTAGATATTGCTGGTGTTCCTATTCGAATTCAGAAGTAAACATCGCAAACATTTAATATTATTCTTTTATCTCATGTCTTAACTTAGACTTATGTTCCAATTCACCCCTTTCCATTTATAAATATGCTTATTTCTTTAGATAAACCTCCTTAAAAAAAATAAAATCTTGTTGATATAATAAAAGTTGGGCCAATCTCTAGCACAGATCAGGACATAGTCGACAGTATATATGTATGTCTCGGGCCAGTCGTGTAAACAATATCAAAGCGTGTAGCCCAAAGTAACTAAGAAAAAAGTACAAAAGAACTCTTTTTTTATAAAAAAACACATTCTGTATAGATAACACATATTTTATAAAACAATGTACATAATAGCTTGGTGGTAACAAAATCCGTCACCTCATAAAAGCCCAGCGGTAACAGAACAAAAGCAAAAGAGGTAAAAGAGTCCGTTACGACAATGGGGACGACAGAAATAAGAACGATGGAAAACCAAATATTTTTTATTCATTTTTCGGCATGAAAGTAGGCTGCTTTTGCACTATCCATCTTGGTATACTTTTTAAATTGATCTTTTTCTTTTGCAAGTTCGAAGCATTTGTTCCAATCCATATCTTTATCTTTCTCTTCGCGGTAAAAGTCAACGAATTGTCATTCGAAAAATGTCAAAACAGCATTTTTTTGTTTTTTTTTTTGTTTTTTGGAATCAACCGAAAAATCAATCAGGATGATTCAATTGTTTATTTAATCAGAAGATCGTGTGAACGAGTTTTATTTGTAAACTGATAAACAAGAGCTGGCTTATGCTACGATGATTTAATTGTCTATTTAATCATCCATATGTTTGAGCCTTCACATACTTGAAAACAGGAGTATCCATAGACGCAAAAAAAAACAGGCGCATAAAAAAGTACGTAGAAAATAAAAGAGAAACAAATTACGCAAAACGTAAAAGTCCGTAGAAAAAATAAAGACGTATGTGTAGACATTCTCAGGTGTTCCAGCCTCAGAATACCTATATGAGCGATGCCCACTCCTTTTAAAACCAGCTTCATCCAAGGATACACATTCGTTCATAAAGTCAATGTTCTGGCTAACCCAATATGTTGCTGTATCTCGTTTTTTCGGTAACAGTTTCATTCGTGTAGGCTAGTCAACACTTCTTCGTTATGTGATTATCCACTGATCTGAGGGTGATCTGTATATCTCTATTCTTTTAACAGGTGGTCTATAACATCTTTAACTGCTAATGTTGGCTCATTATTCAGCAGCTCAAAGATGAATACAGTATATTCGTCTTTGAGTATTTTGGATCATCCCTTTCATCCTTTGATTGCGATAGAATCAAGGAGCCCCTTTTCAGCTATTTCGCTTGTCATTTGATTGCACTGCTTAACTTTACAAATAGCTGTTGACTTGGAGAGCCTAACCTTTCTACCGGCTTCACTGATAGACATATTCTCAAACTCTTGCAACAAATTGATCAAACTGACTACATTTGCTTTGTTCTTGGTAATGTATGCTTCCATTTACTTTTTCACTACATCAAGAATGGGTTCCTTGGAGTAAGGTTTAGTCTTCCTCTCAGCTTGTTTTTGTGCTGCATTTACTGCTGCAATTTCTTCCCAGTCCATATATGATTGTATCATCACAAGTACTGTCTCACTGTCAAAATTTTATTCTTCGTTTATGTTAAGCAATATGAGAAACTTCAAGCAGAGAAAAAGAAGAGAGAATTTAGCCCATCACCATTACATTTCTGTATTGGTGACCCATTTTCGATTACAAAAATGATTTCGCGAAAGAATATTGTTAAATTTTATCTTTTGTTGCTAACAGCACAGCGCTTATATTATTAAGCACCCACATAAAGAACTACGTCATAATTAGCCCTATTGACAATCCTCCAACAAGACATTGCCATTGTCTATAATATGGATGTGGTCAGACTAAATAATTAAACAACAAAACGCGATGGCTATAAAAGCAGTATAATATTTTTATTCAGACAGAAATATTATCTTATTACACCTTTACTTAAAAAGATATGAACACTAACGCGCACGGTCAGAAGCCTTCCAAATCTAGTATTTCAGAGGAGCAAGCAGCTAACAGAGCTGCCAGAGTTGAAGCTGCAGCCGAAGCTGCGAAAAAAGATGCGGCTTCTAGAAATCAAGAAGCCTCTAAGGGTGGATTTCCACGCCAGGGTAGATAAATGTAAGAAGTATAAATAACTGGGTTAGATGTATCATACTTATAGCCAAACCATCTTTTGATCAAAAAGTTGTTAGTTCCTAATAACGTTTCCAGTCGACGGCCCTTTCTCTTGGAATAATGGTGTTTTATTTTGGTATTAATTTCCAAATACTATAAATAAAATGTATATTCATTCAAAAAAAGATAAAAATATATTTAAAATTGTCAATTAGTTCAATGCGATTGATAATTGGTTTGCATTTGACTGGCTGTAGTTAAGACTGTATACCAGGTCTAAATCACAGAAGCTTTTGTTCTAATGACAGTGACGGTCATTTTAAGCCCATTGTATAAGTAGTGATTAATCCCTCACCCATTATACTCTTTGTATAGCTGTCTATATACACCTGCACAAATAACCCATAGTTAAACAATATCTGCACCCAAACTGTTTCGGCATAATCACTCGTTTGATCACTGCAAAACGAGCAAAAAGCTGTGCGCAATGAAATTCCCGGTTATGTTACACAATCATCTCCATCCAGTATGATGATAACCTATCTCAAAGCGATTTGTATGGTGACTCTCTATTTAGTTAAAATAAACTGAATAAGTATGTCATATCCAAATGATTGTCTAACAAATACTACTGCCATGAGTATGACAGACAAAAAACAAAAGGTCCGACGGTAGTTTACTAATTGTAAAGCTCAAAGTTTGAGGAGGTAACATAAATACAATGATGGCTCTTGTCATAAACAGACTTGCGAAAATTTACAAATGTTAAACCAGGTAAAACAAACGTGCATGACTGCTCAAATTAAAACTTGCATATTCATTACAAATCGTGTGAAACTTTTTTGGTAAATGCTCGGATTTGTTTGAAGTCCTCTAATTCATGCTTGCGTAATTTGCCTTTTTTAAGTTCTTCGTTTGAAAGGCAGCGTTATAAATTCAAATCGATCGTCCAAATAATCTGGTCGTATCATCTCTTTTCCTCTCTCCCAAACATGTCAGACATTCAAGATATTATTTTGGTATAATTTAAAAAAGAAAAAAAGTGTGTACATTGCGGTAATTAACTTTTCGAAAACGCCATTTCATAGCATTGGTATCCCCATTCCCCTTTTGCTCAAAAGGTCGCATGGGTATTGAATTACAAAAAGGTCGAATATAAGACCGTTTTGATCCCTATGCTCGAACCTCGTCAAAAGCGTAGACCTCTGGACGGTGGCTACAGAAAGACCCCTATTTTGCAAATCGGTAACCACGTTTACTGCGATTCCAAAGCGATTTTCCTTGCTCTTGAAAAACTGTAAGCAAGTCCGGCATGCTTTTTTTTTTAAAAAAAAAAATATATATTCTAACGTTCTATTTATAGTTTCCCTGAACCTAGTTTATACCCTAAAATCAAGAACAGTAACGAATCATCCGAGGGTGCTGCTAGAGCTTTGACCATGTGGATGGATAACACACTTTTCAATAACATCGTGTCTCAGTTACCCGTAAAGGATTTGGATGATGCATTTTTGGCAGATCGTGAAGCTCTTGCAGGCCGTAAGCTTGATCGTAAGACTCTTGCTGGCGGTGCCCCCTTTATGAAGGCTACTCTCCAAGGTGAATTTGCTCTTGCCGAACAAACTCTTGGTTCCAAAAACTGGTTATTAGATACCGAGACTCCCTCTCTTGCTGATATTAGTTTGGCCATGTCCACCTTTTTTACTCTTAACCTTGCTGGAGAAAAATTCGTTCAAACCAATTTCAAATCTCTTTTCAACCATATGCAAAAGCTGTTGGGTACCGTGAGCTGGGATAGAACAGAGACAATGTCTGTTATTTCTGAGGAAGAAGCTATTGAGGTCTTAAAGCGTCACCAAGATACCGAAATCGAAGCCAACTTCAAGGTTCATTCATCTGTTCTCCCTATTGAATTAGGTCAACAAGTGTTTGTTACTCCTTTGGATACCGGTAAAATTCCTGTCCCAGGAACTTTAATCAGAAGTACTATTGATGAAACTGTCGTAGCTTACAAGGACGCCACTTATAACACCACTACACTTATTCATTTCCCTACTATCGGTTTTGTCGTCATTCCCAATCTTGGTGCCAAATATTAAAATTTAAAATAAATCTGTACTCTGTTGTCGAATTATGATGAATTATTTATTATATTATTACAGTTGTATTATGATTAAAATGAATTAGAATGTATGAAAAGTGATTTGGTTTTGGGTGTTTTTTCTCTCTCTTTACATTATGAATTACGGAAGTTCTAACCAAAAGATAGTAATTTAATCGGTTGAGCTACGTGTCTCTTCGTACATATTATTAAGCCACCAAAATCTTGCGGTTGCAGGTAACAGATTTAGCAGAGCTGACGATTCAGCACTTGAATTGCCAGGATCCAATGATGAAACATTTACACCTTTGATCATGTTGGGTACCAGATCTTTTGTAAAGAAATTATTGTTGAGTGATGCAATGCCAGTTGGGTATGTTAACTTAGTTCTCTTCATGCGTGGTGGAGGAGGTAAAGATGATAATGACTGTAATTGGGCTGCTTGTTCCATTGGAGATACTTCTCCTTTAGGCGCTGGTATAATAGTTGCAAGTGCGGTTGATCCTTCTTCTTGAAGATCGAGATTGTTTTCATCAAAAGACGATCTCGGGTTCTCCTCAATCAAATTGTTATTTTGTCCCGCTGTGTTTTGATACACCCGTTGATCTATAAGACAATTGGTAGGCGTTCTATGTCGATTGGTTTCGTCTCTGTATTTTTTGACGGCTACATCCGTAATATGGTATGCATAGCTACGATAGATAGGAAAAGGGACACATTTGATAGATTCTGTGAGTGTTGAGTTAATCGCAAATCGAGTTCCAGGTGTGGTGATGTGAGATTTAAAGATGATAAGTTGACATGGTCCAGGTCTTAAGGAGAAAGCAGGAATATCAATGATATCGCCATAAAGTTTTGCAGACGCCGCCAACGGTTTTCCATAACTTGACATGCCGATAAGTGATACGGCTGCAGCTTCTAAGGCTTCCATAAATTGTTCTGTCTTTACATCCGTATTTTTAACAATCGAAGTGCTTGATTCAGCTCCATAACTATAAAAATCACTATCATCATTGTTATACTTGATATTGATCAATGTATTTCCTGAGCCAACACTTTGATTTGGGGAAGTATCAGTATATAATGTGGTGGAACTTCTTCGTTGACGGTTGCGCGAATTTGTTGCAGTAATGGAACTAATGCTGGATAATGATTGCCCACTAAGACTAAGAATAGCTGATTTCTCTGCTCTCGAAAGTTCAGTGGTGCCGTTTTGGAGATTCAGTTGAACCATAGGAAATCGGTAACGGGTCTCCTTGTTGACAATAAGGTAAGGCATATCGTCATCTTCAATAAGACTGAATATACCCACAAAGACACCACCTCGCAGATCATTTTCGTGCTTTTCTCTTTGTTGGGCGGGAGATGTATAATATTCATGGCCAAGTGGCTTGACAGGCTTATACAATACGGATGCAGTTTCTGTCATTTGAAGCATATCCTTGAAATAATTTAACATGTAATCTGACGGCACTTTAAGTCTTTCGCCCATTGTTTTAGAAATAAAAATAGGTTCGGCGAATCGAAATCCGATCGACAAAAGATTAACTAAATCTTTGTTAGACTCGATTTTCTTGACCAAAAATATATGTCTATCTTCCGAATCTGAATCACGAACAGACAAGTTGCGAGTAATTACTAAAGCATTCGATACAGGGTTGTTGAAAATATCAATAACAGTTGCATCGCCTACTTGTGACATAACTGACTCTGGTCTACTAACTGGCTGTTTATTCTTCTTTTTCGAGAAAATGTTTTTCTTCGAAGTTAAATTCGTCAATAAAACAGATGATGTACTGGAGTCTCTTCGTGTTTCGCGTTTCTTTGAATCATTTGAGAATATACTTCTCGTGCGAATGGTGTTCGCAGTCAAAACAGAATCGAATAAATGACCCAGATCCGCGAGCTTGGTAAATCGAAGCTCAGTTACTAGTTGATTAGCTGCCCTTAAAAAGAAGTATCTGCCACGTTGTAAATATCGTCAGAGGATTGATAATTAAGATTTGCATCATAGACTTCGTCACTGCTGTTTCTCGATTTAGCCCATTGAATCGTGGTTTCAAACAATCGAGTGAAAAGTGGATGGCTTGTAGAGAAGGTTTCGTGCGTTTCCTAAATTAGTCTGTAAATATCTTTTGTAATGTAACACAAGAAATCATAAACTTTACGTCTTCTGGGATTTCATTTAAAATTTCTTTCATTGGAACAATACCATCGACACCGACTAGAATTCTTCCGTTGGTATCGAAAAAAACTGTATCCAAAATCAGTCTCTTTTGAGATTTATTTGACTGAAATAACGACGTGCTGTTTTGAATAGATGCTCTGGCGCCAATGATGAACAAAACTATACAAGTTGTTATGACAATACCGGCAATCATACCAATTAGTGCTGAAGTTCCCATTAAGGGTTTAGGTGGACCTGAGTCTGTAATTCCGGGATAATACAGTGTACCTAAAAGCGCTGTGTAATGCATTCCTAATGCAGCCACATGTTACCGATTAGCCAATAATAATTTTAAATTGATAGAAATGCATCCGTACCACAGGCAGCACCACCCAGTAACATTGCACAAGCAAGTCGTTTATACCATTGGTTCTCCCATTGTTCGCGTAGTTTAAAAAACACGAATAAGGCTACGTTGACTGCAAATACGGCAATAACAATAGCAGCGATCATTATTGAAAAGATGTTCTTTAAAATGAAAAAATTGACTGCCACTTGACCTGTTCTACAAATATTAGTAATTGATCGAAAATGCACCAAATATTCTACTAACCGAGATAATGCATGGAGACAATACCAAACTATGGTACAGAAATTCGTTAATATTATGTCAATAAAGCAGTAATCATCATTTTTTTTTACCCCAGCAACAGTTCCACTAGGAATGATTCTTCTCACTTTTGCTTCCTCTGTAATGCCGACAAATGCAAAAGCTAAAAACATGGCACCGATAGCAACGAATAAGCTAGCAAATGTGAATCCGGGAGCATATGTTAAATAATATTCTTTCCCCGTTGCCATTCTAATCGTCAGACTATTGTTGCCAATAAAGTGCATGGACCATATGCCCACACCGCCCATCGCAACAGCCGAAGCAAAAAGTAAAAACCTTAAAAATGATGTTAGTTTCTGTTGTTTTTTTCATCGAAAAACTGGGTTTCCGCCTCACCAATTATAGTATCCGCGAATGTGAGTTCTTCTTTGAAGCAGTTCCAATGCAGTCATTGATCCGATTACTGAAACGATATAACTGAGAGTGACGAAGCCGGCATCGTAATGTTGTGTTGCTGGTATCGTATTTAAATCCATGATAAATATTCAGGCTCTAATCACTGAATTTTTACCACTATGTCGGTTATTATATTACAAACAAAGGAAGAGCGAAAAAAAGTGACTTTTTCATCTTGACATTTAAAAATAAAAAAAATAAAAAATTAAAAAAAAAAAATTGATTTATCCCGCTGAAAGTATTTTGTACATTGTTACATTTTTCACTTTGTAGGCTATTGGGAACAGTACAGAACTTTAGTCCTAATTGGCACGGTGGATTTTTTTTTTTGTTGCAATTAATTTTTTGCTTTTTTCTCGTATGATTTGTATATATTAGGCACTTTTTTTTCTGGTACGAAGTTGAGACGGATAACTCTTTTTTAGGACAGACTGATTTTTAATTTGGAGGAAAGGATATACCTATGTCTAGTTTTCTAATGATACGTCTATCCGAGAAGGCCTTAACGTGTGTAACTCAACCAGGGCAATACTGAGTAGTAAGTGATACACAAGCTACAGAAAGTCGAGATATTAAAGTATTTGGTTTGACAAGTGGATTTTTCATGATATATCTCTTCATTTTTAGACTAGCGTGCTTTAATAGCGGAGTAAAGGATCATGATACCCACACTTGTTGATAGGATCCAGAATTAATTATCCCTAATCATAAAAATCCTTTTCTACCATGCCTGTCAGCTGTGTCGATTACGTTTTCCATGAAGTTATTATTATAAGCCGTGATTCTCTCTTTTTTTTTTTCTTTTCAGGTTCATTTACTTTCTTGTTCTGTTGTTAGCAGAGTTCTCATACTCTTGTTACAGCTTTTTTGCATACGCCTTTATTTTTTTTTTAAAAAAAATGACAGCTCTAAAGTAGGTAGTCCATCCAATGCTACTGAAGACATCCTGTTTGTTAGCGTAAATACATTTAGAACAAGCCTGACCTCTTATCAAGGAGGTGATAGGTATAGATAGAAATATGTTTACATAGATATATCCCGTATTTGTAGCTGGTGATGAATCACTAGAGCCTGTCGGAGAACATAAAGACAGATGCAGATGTTGTGTATATACCTTGTTTTTACCAAAGACGCCAGTATAAGTAAGTTTCACGAATTGCTATAGGAAAAAAGACCAGTTGTTGAGTAAAGGGACAAATTTAATTTAGTTTATTTCAAATGAGAAGAACAAAGCAGCAATGGGGACACTTTAGACCTAGCCTAACGTCCTTTGAGGCCTTGATTTATCGTGACCAGCCGTAAACAGAGAAGGTAACCATTACGCTTTATAGTTTCGAAGAGGGTCGTTAAGCATTGAAGATTACCCAACAATGCTACTTTTCAAGTGCCATCACAGTGAAGGACTTTGAAGAGAACTTATACACACTTCTCCAGCCTTGTCAACCTCGTTGGGAAGAGATATTGGTTGTATGTCAAAGCTTTGGAGAAAAAGTCTTCAATGCATAAAGCTAGTCATACGGTGTTTCCCTACATCATATTCAACTACGGTGTTAATTCAAATAACGTGTACTTCTAAAAAGAACTCTCATTAGTAGAAAAGCGGAAAGAAGTTACCCTTTCTCTAATACCCTTATCAAGTAGATTTCGAAAGGGGAGTATATATATTTTTACGATTAGGAAGCAGAAATTCGCTAGTTTTAAAGTGCAATATAACTTGGTTCAGGTCAAACGTCTTTAAGATACCGGTAGTGAAAGTTGTAATTTGAGAAAACCAGGCTTAGTACGAAAAGAAAAAGACCTTTTTTTTTTGTAATCAGAGCATGCCATAAAGCGAAAGAAAATTGTCTTCAAGTCCATGTTCACTAAACCCACGAATAAACTGAGGTCTATGTGTTTGATTGTAAAAAGGAAAAATTAGCTGGTGTTGGTGAGGCCCATTTAATGTGATCTACAAGTTGGCTTCATGGGCAAACAAGCAAATAAAGCAATAGGTCATTCGGGTTGCTCATAAATAAATCAGAATAAATTTAAGCCAATAGAAAGACTAGGATTTTCATGAAGTAAGCATTTGTTTCATTTTCATTATAATTGAAAAAAGGGTGGCCACTCCCCCTCACCCCCAAAAGGTCCCCTACTACCGGCCCTCCAGGCTCAAGGTCTGGTAGACTATGCAAACAAGTCGAAACTGGCCTAGTCCCGGTTGCTCACACTGCCTTCATATCAAAATGCCGACAACGCTTCGCAGACGCATGATTAGAAACGCTAACAAACTTCCCTTCAGGCGTGCAATAGAGTACGAAGAAAAAGAAAAAAGGACGAAGTCGACCTTTTTTCACAGTGGAAATTCATCATTGCAAACTCGCTCTGAGTTTTAACACTAAAAAAAGTTACGGACTGTGTGCTTACGCGCTCCCCCACACATTAAAAGTAAATTTCGCGCTGCATTTTTTATTTTTTTTATTTTTTTGTTCAGTCAAATCATAAAACTCCTAGTCGTCTTTTCTTAGCTTTTTTCTTAAAGGACTAACTCTATTCAAATACTTTTGTATCATCAACTCTTTATTTGTTCTATACGTGCCACTAAAACTAAGGAATCGTACAAATCAACGTGAATTACTATCGTATAGCAAAAGAACACAGCTTTTTAAAATTTGGGAAGTTGTTAAGTGGAACTCATCGGATGATTAGACTGCATTTGGACGATCGGGAAACAAACTCTCTCTGACTTTATTTACAACGTAAGAAGCGTAACCTCTCAATACAACGAGATATCAAGGAGGAATATGTTATCTTGGGATCAAAATTAAGTCATGTTAAGGAGAAGCTTTACTGCTTTTACCCATCTGTATACAACTCTCTTAATCAACGATAAAAGTCAAATAACTGTTTAGACACGGACAACGCTATACACCTTTCATTACCTAAGAAGGCTTGGATTGTACGAACAAAATATGACCAATTCTTCAGATAAGGAAATTGCCAGCAAAAAGAGAGATCCACAGATAGACGCTGAAATTCAAATACACAAAGGTTTCACAACTTTGGACATTTGAAGACATGTATGATTTAAAAGATGTAGTGACGATAATTGGGATGAAGGGTGTGGATTCGAACGCATAATTAGAATCTGTTCAAGATCAATATGATGAGGATTGAGTTGGAAAAAAACAGGACATATGCTCATCCAAAATGTATTCAAGAGGATTATACGGACCACTGGATGACATGAAATCGGGAATAATCGATTAACAATCATGTAAACTTAAAGTCGATTGCCACTTGAGAAGACAATACTACCCACGCACCTTTTTAAAAGTGGGATGATGATATGCGCTGCGGGAGATGACAATATTGGATATACAACCTAAACTGAGCTTTTCACTATGAGTATGAATGCGTTTAAACTGGATATGGCGGCAGTAATAACATCTCATCTTGATGAATCCTTTACTCTCTGCAGGGGCAAACATGTCATAAACCTCAATTAGCATGGTTGTCATTATTATACATCTGTAAAAAAAACACCTATCTTAAGAATCCAATGGCAACGATGTTGCTGTCTCATCCTTGATACAACAAGGACGCTTTAAAAAGCGGTATAAATGAAATGGAGTTGAACTCAGACGATTAAATAGGATACATACTACGGCTGGCCCTGGTGTGACATTCAATATTGAGCTTTATCAAAGTTTACCTTTTCAAGTTGTCTTTTACTATTATAATAGGTTTTTTTTCAATTATACCTGTCAACCTCTTCCGATTCATTTTCCATACTATCTTTCCATCTTCAAATTTCCTTCGGTATTTGTACCTTGAAGGACACCGTAGTATGTTTACTGTTTTTCAAAATAAGTGAATTTAGATAATTGCATGGTTGTTAAAACTAAAGGATAATGAATAATGAATTCTACTTTGTATTATACTTAACATCTTTTCAGGTCATCAACAGAATGACTTAAAAGCCCTCTGGTTGGTATAAGAAAAAAAATTGTCATGAACAAAGACGCCTTATTAATATCTTTTCCTTTCAGTTTTTAATAACGGTAGCTAGCAAAATGCTTGTATTTATCCCAGTGAATTCTCTAGAAGCAACACGTTTCTATGACCCCAATTCCACAGTAAACTCATCGACAGCGTTGTCTTTGCATTAAATCACTGTTTTTTAAAAAATATATAAAAACATAAACAAGCATTTAATTATATTATTACTCACCTTTCTCCCTTCTCTATACAGACTGGAATCGCAGTTGTCAAAGAGGTATTGATATAATAATAACAAAGGACACAATAAAATAAGGTATAGTGATATGCAGGATGTCTATACCATTGAGCAGTGGATTCTTCTGTATTGGGGTCCTTCATTTTAAACATTCTCAAGACAAAAAATTGGCCAATCTACCATAAGCAAAAGAATATTACCTGATGATGAATCTCGGATTCGTATATCTGACTACCTTGATATCTAGCGACATCAGGTTCATCACGGATTTTAGAAAGAAGTGTATTCTCGATTCTGATGTGTCTGATATCCGCAACAAGGCAACACGCTACGATCCAGACTTTCCCGGGTCAATAAGCATTTACTTTAGTTAAATGGTACATCATGAGCTGAGCGTTTAGCTGGGAAGTGTTATAATAAAAAACCAAACCGCAAGACTTTAATTGCAGAAAGTAATTAAGTGCCATATCCCTTTCTAGTATGTTTAAAAATGAGAACACAATTTTTGCCTCATTGGATATATTGTGAAAGCCAAATCAAGAAGTCAACAGCGTTTTTTTTTTTATTGAACCAACGACCTTTTATTCTCACAACCGTATATATTTGTAAGTTTCTACCATTTATAAATAAATCGCTACACAGTCTGGGAGATATACTGAATCAGCACCACCACGGACCTACGTCAGACTCTCTATCCAATAAACATTTAGTTGATTGCAAACCATAGTAGCATGAGAATTGTTTTCTACAGCAGAAATTAAAGTTGGTTAAACGCTAAATACAATTTGTATCATGAAAAATTACCATTATTCACCCTGACAAACGTATTTAACATTCTAATCAACAAATCTTCTCTGACATTTCCAGTAAACTTTGTATCTGTCGAGAACGTTCTGAACGTATCATTTTTTATATTACCGGCAAGCGCAGTTGGGCCATCTTTGAGCAAACCAGCATAATCCTCCCAGGATGTTTGATAAACACCTAGAAGTGATTTTCATACGAGACTCTTAACTGTATTTTTTTGTGTTATAGTCTTTTTCCATTGGTTAAGAGCCCTTTTTTTGGATTCGGTTGCTTTGATTATCTCTGCTGTACATGGATTTGTCATTTAATACTGCCTCAAGTAAGCTATACTATCCTGGACAGAAATAGAATTCTGATGTTGTCGAATTAATATACGCGCACAGTTTTATCATACCAAATAGAAATATAATTCAGATTATCTACAGACATGTTAAAATAATAAAAGAAGAGGGGAAACGAACAGTAAAATAATGGGGAACGTCTTTTATATACGAGCACAATAAAATGCAACACCTTTACTTTTTTCTCTTGTCGAAACCAAAACGATGATGTAGCTGCCCGTTGACTGAATTTGCGGATATTATACATTGGTATCGTAAAAACTGAACTATTCTACGTTTACTTACTATAATTCAAGAGCTCGATACATACAATTATAGTGCCCGTTATCATACCCAATTACACCAATAATTTGCCTCAATATACATGAGGATGTCGTGGGACTTTTGTTATGTAACAGCCATATATATAAAAGTATTATTTAGAGGGTCAAAGATGATTTTATTATGATTGAGATAAAAGCTTGTCTTAAATATCAACAAACTTTGAGTGACCTATGTCACGACAAGGATGCCAAATTCTTAGTTCACTAAAAGAAAAATCTTTTAGATCCATCCTTTACAGGGCGAAGACCTGATTTGGCGGCGTAAAGGGCCTTGACCCCTCCTATACGTATAGTTGGACTACCTCAGGGGATAGCATGTTGTGAACTATGTTTTACCTCACAGAAAAAGGCGCGCGCCAAAGCACTCTAGCGATTTTATACCCTATGCCCAAATCAAACGTGATCAAACAAAGAACCAGCATATACAACATACACGTATTATTAACAGGATAAGGCGGGTTCAATGTCTACATCCCAACACTCAGCCCAATTGGACTATAATGAATGCAATCACCGCCACTTTCATCTCCCGTCCTGAGACTTTTACATCCCTGATCTGAGGACCCTGCAGCAAGAAAGTGACAAAGAACGGCTGGATCCAACTAAACAGTGACTCCCAACGAACGTTGGCCTGATAAGGAATTGTCGAAGGGGTATGAAGTAGCCAGTAATAGACCCCGCAACTAGTGAGTTTGCACGAACGTTGGCCTGATAAGGAATTGTCGAACAGTAACAAGAATTGTCAGAACAAAACAAAACCTTGTCCCTCACTAAGAACGGGATGGGGGCCCCGCATGCTCGAACGTTGGCCTGATAAGGAATTGCCGAGCAAAAACAAGAATTGGTCTGTCCCTCATTAAGAACGGGAAGAAGATCCCGTAATCATTGCGCTTACCACGATAGTTAGCCTGATATAGACTTATCGCCCAGCAACAATGGGTGAGCTTGCACGAACGTTAGCCTGATAAGGCATTGTCGAACAGAAACAATCAATGAGCTTGCACGAACGTTAGCCTGATAAGGAATTGTCGAACAGCAACAAGAATTGTAAGAACAAAACAAAACCTGCTCTCAATAAGAACGGGAAGGAAGACATTGAGATCATCAACAGCTTCCCGAGTTAGGGTTAGGGTTATGTTAGGGTAATGCACAGTCAAATGAGTGAAAAAATAATAGTATGAGAACCAAGGAGAAAAAAAAAAACCTGGACAGTAACGTGAGAGTGTATTTTTGAAAAAAGAAGTCACGGATTGTGTGCCTGCGTGCTCCCCCCGCACATTAAAAGTGAATTTCCGTGCATTTTTTATTTTTTTTATTTTTTTGTTCAGTCAAATCATAAAACTCCTAGTCGTCTTTTCTTAGCTTTTTTCTTAAAGGACTAACTCTATTCAAATACTTTTGTATCATCAACTCTTTATTTGTTCTATACGTGCCACTAAAACTAAGGAATCGTACAAATCAACGTGAATTACTATCGTATAGCAAAAGAACACAGCTTTTTAAAATTTGGGAAGTTGTTAAGTGGAACTCATCGGATGATTAGACTGCATTTGGACGATCGGGAAACAAACTCTCTCTGACTTTATTTACAACGTAAGAAGCGTAACCTCTCAATACAACGAGATATCAAGGAGGAATATGTTATCTTGGGATCAAAATTAAGTCATGTTAAGGAGAAGCTTTACTGCTTTTACCCATCTGTATACAACTCTCTTAATCAACGATAAAAGTCAAATAACTGTTTAGACACGGACAACGCTATACACCTTTCATTACCTAAGAAGGCTTGGCTTGTACGAACAAAATATGACCGATTGTTTACACAAGGAGATTAAAAATTGTCAGTAAAAAGAGAGATCCACAGATAGACGTTCAAAATTCAAACACACAAAGGGTTTCACAGATTTAGACATTTGAAGACATTCCTGATTTAGAATATGTAGTGAGGACAATTGGGACGGAGGATGTGGATTCGAACGCATATTTAGAGTCTGTTCAGGATCGATGAGGATCATGTTGAGGAAAATCAGGATATATGCCCATCAAAAACATATTTAAGAGTATGATACAGACCACTGTGATGGCATGAAATCGAGAATAATCGACCAACGACATGCAAAATGAAAGTCAGTTTGCCACTTGAAAAGACAATACTACCCATGTACCTTTATAAATAGGGATAATGATATGTGCTACGGGAGATGACAATATAGGATATACAAACTATATCGAGCTTTTCACTATGAGTATGAATGCAATTAAACTGGATATTGCGGCAGTAGTAACATCTCATCTTGATGAATCTTTTACTCTCCATGGGCAAACATGCCATAAACCTTAACTAGCTTAGAGATGGCTATACTACATCTAAAAAAGAAAAAAATAGCCTAAAAATCTAAAGGAAATAGTGTTACTATCTCATTCTTGATACGACAAGAACGCGGCGGTTCGAACATAACCACTGGAGTTGGTCGTGGACGTCCTAAAGACAGTATACATAAGCAAAATATGGTTTCTGATAGCTCTCAGCCTCGTTTAATTTTTTATCTCAAACAGTATTGGAGTACCGTAGTCTGCTGCTACTGAAGAGGACATGGAAAAGAAAATTTCTGTCGTCCGTCACAGATGAACTATATCAGCGCAATAGTAATGTTGCAGACAGATTAACAGTCCTTGAGGTATGTAAACCTTATATCATTATTTGCTTCGATGAGCCTTACTGACTTAAGCACTAGGATTTCTTATCAAATGAAAGAGCAATAGATGATTTTTTAGATACTGGTGATCTGGATAACCAGATTGAAGATAGCGTCAACCTATCTGATGATCCTGAGGAAGCTGAAGATGTTGACAAAGGCAGTTTTATTGACTGGTACTTGAATGAAATACAGACCGAACTGACACGAAAACAAGGCGAATGGTCTAAATGCTACAAGGAAGGAACTCTTTGGTATGAGTCTTAGTTACCATCATTTGCTTTGAGAAAACAGCTATCACCCGAAGAGCTGTATAAACCCAGATCACGCATTTGGCTTCCGCATTTTCTTGCACTTTCAAGCCTTAAATGCCCGAAGTGTAACGAGGATTTAAATGCTGATAGTTATACCAAAGTTCCCAAGGCCCGTAGAATTATTGACTTTGATGAGTAAGTATCTTATCATAGATATAAACTGGTTAGTTCACAAATGCTGACGTTCTTTTAATTATGTGTAGCTGTTTTTACTTGATGACTTGCAAATATCGGTGTAACAACAAAGTTGGTAAGCATTCATTCAATGGATATAACAAGGGAATCATAAATCAGCTTAATGTTTTCCTTCTGGTGTATTGCAAGACTGTCTCACCATAGTAACAACTACTCTAATGTAAATACGGAACAAACAAGAAACACCAGCATAACAAATGCGAGTCACCGACTTAACAAACATGAACATATGATATATATACAAGAGCAAATCAAGCATTCAATAAAGGAGGATATTATATTTGATTGAAAGTATTGTCTCTTAGACGTCGGATATTACACCTTCAACACGAGTTTCCTGCTGTCTTGACCCATAGATTAGGCTTATCGGTCAAGCTTTTCAACTTTATAAGACCCGCATTACCAAATTCGAGTAAACCTTCTCGTATCAGCAAACTTCTACGAGAAATGCATACATTACGACATGATGTATTGCAACGACAATATCTTAATGCCGTTCTTTATCGTAAAAAAAAAATCCAACAATTGATTTTTTTGCGTTAAATAAAAAGGTGGAAGACTTTTCAAGATTTGATGACAAGTCCAAATATGTGGGGCATTTCCCGTCTCCTGGTTATCTCGGCTACGTATATACTAGTAGTATGCGGCTCTACAAGCACTACATTTATAAACAAATGGCTGTGTTGCCAGCGGAAATATTGAAAGGCGATCATTCTTTCAAGCTTCCCAAGAAAATTGGAAAGACGAATTCTGTATCTGTATTCAACGCGGTGTATACTGTCTGTAATGAATACGAGGAAATCTGTATGATGTACCTAACAGCGACAAAGGCTTTATCCCACCTGGTACAACCTTTCGAGCAATTTTACAAGTCTCGTTCCTTATATGGAAATCCAAAGCCAAAGATATTCTTTAGAGACAATCCATTGGGTGATAAATCATTTTTGGAAAAGACAATTCCTTCTTTACTTTGTGGTACGTCTTCTGAAGTGACTTCTCCGATCCCTTGTTATCCTCCCTTGCCTGATATCGAGTTACCGGATTATATAGCTGTTCATGTTGTATCAACGTCCACTGATATAAACAGAATCAGCAGTACAATTCTCTCTGATGTTAGTATAGGTGAGGACGGCACTGGTGCGCCCATTTACATCGGTTTTGATACAGAATGGCCTGTCTTTTCGGTTGGTGCTTCAACAAGAAAGCCTGTAGCTGTTATACAAATAGCTTATGATGACTGTGTATACATCATGCAGCTTTTCAGGTATAAGAATAGTACCCTCCCGGCTCAGTTGATAACTCTTTTGGAAAGTGACCTTGTTATCAAACTTGGAAAAAAATGTTAAGACTGATTTAAAGTATTTGATGAAAGATTACGTCTGTGATAATTGATAAATAGAAAGGGAAATGTAAATTGGAAAATAAAGCAAGTAAAGAAATGAAACTCTATAATCCTTTATTATAAGTTGGAGAGTTTGTCATGATAAAAATAGAGGTCCTTTTTATATTCAATTATTACTTCAAGATTTTTACTAAGCAGTTTAGTTGGAATCCCAGAGCGGTATCATGCAAGGAAGCATGACTTTACTATCACGTCTTTTAAGTGGTTAATCACCATTGATTATGCATTTTTTAAAAAATGGAAACCTTATCAGTAAAGTGAAAAAAAAAAAGATGTGTACGCATAAATTGCAATGTGGCATTTAATGGTTTTGTGACTTCCAATATAAAAATTCCTCTCCCACTTCCATAAACAAAAGACTTGCCTTTTGGATTAGAAGTACCTTTTAAGAACACACTAATCTTCACGGGTATCGCCGGTGGCATTGTAGGTCTTGTCTATTCCAGTAATAAAAACGCCCAAAAAGCCAGAACCAGACTTGTGCAACGAGTTTCATTTTTCGACGACAGACCTTGCTAAGGAAGTAGCCACCAATGCGAAATCAACAGACCATGAGAAATTAGAAACCAAGCCAAATACAGGCTGTACGCCATTTGAATATAACTTGAACGACACGAAAAAAAAACTACATGTTTTCTGATTATGTTTTAGCAATCGCCACAATCTCTTATCCTGAAGCGCTTAATGGATTAGCCAATGGATGATAGTCTTGCTGTGGTTATAGAGCAGCCTCTTCTTGAAGTGAACGATGGAGAAAGGGAGGCGGATAAAACGAAGGATGACTCACCTACTGTTGAAGAGAGAACCTTGGAAAAGTTGGAATTCACACTCAACGAAGTTGACTGTTTCTCATTTGCACTTGAGTCTTCACTTGTCATGAATATTCCCGATATTAATAACAATCATATGGTCCAGTGCGTTACTGATAATAAATATATTTGGAAGCATAACGCCATCTTGCATGCTGCCTTAAGCCAGGTATGACCCTCTGAAGGATAACATGGGCATTTAGGGTAGAAAAAACAGAATTATTGGATTGGACATGAAAAGGTTGGAATATCGAGGGAAGACATTCGTTGATTCAATCAGACACAAGGATTTTTGGTAAATGAGTATACCTGTCAATGACAATTTACCTTCAATAAAGTAGAGCGTTTTTTTTTTCTTTTTTTTTTTTTTTTGAAGTTTCAAACCATTAAAGGACATCTCAATTCGTTATACGGTTTGTTGTTATCGTGATTATTATTCTTCTGTTGTACTAATAGGACTATCCTACACATACGAATTTTGTCCTAAAAGTTCTTCAGTCAGATATTTCGGGTAGTGTTATTCCGGAGAAGTATGCTCTATTGAACAAGGACACTCCTAGTGTAAAGTACTTTAAATATTGCTATGCTTCGATGTCCCTTTCTGTCAGAAAATGGGTGGTAGAATGTGAACAAATTAGCAATTGTTTATCCATTAAAATATCAAAAGGATGTTCAATTTGTACCAATGACTATATCAATGATTCTTATAGTCTCTCCCAAAATATCATTGAACCGTTGACACTCGCCTATATTTGACATATCACGGCCACAATAAATTGTATCGAATTCGCACTTGAGTTATAACGAGATGCTTTATCTGATAGCCCAATGCGAAACGGGTGATTCGCCCTATGCTGGATGAGATGTATCTAAACTCCAAATTGACAAGGTCCCAACCATATCCCTATTATTTATAATTTTTATTAAAAAAAAAAAAAAAAGGAAGGTCTGCAAGCATAAATACAGTGTATCTATTTTTTTTTTTAAAAAAAAAATTGATTATTTATTGCTCCGTGTGGAAAAACGGTTTGTTTGACACGGAAAAATAAAAGATAAAAAAACAGGAAGAATAAGATTAATATTGCTTGTAGGCTTTTTTATTCTTATTAAAAGTGAATCCCTCTTTCATCTCTGAAAGAAAGGGGGGTATTTATAGCTATTTAAAGCGTGGGTAAAATTATGGGCTAGTTTGTGTTCACTTGGTATTATTGGCTGTATTTACTAATGACTGATGAACCTTATCAGTGTAGCCAATCTATTATTCGAAATGGGATCTTCTATTGGAATATCTAGTAACCCTGAGTTGTAAATGTATAACTCAGGATATTTTTTATGCTATTATTTTTTATGAGTGTTATAATATTATGTACCTGTCGATCAAGGATCGATGGAATGATTTTATATGCGATTTTATGTGTTAAATAGTGCGATTTTAATACACCCGGAAATACGGTAACAAAACGTAAAAGGATTAGCAGCAAGTCGGCGCTGGGTTCAAGCTCTTGTCGAAGTGAAGAAGGTGACATTTATAAAATGAAGCCATATTGTTCATTTACTAATCATAAATGATTGATTTAATAGAACACGAAGCAGAACAGCGTATGATCAAAAACTGTATCTCAAAGGCCATTCAGTATTATCAGACGAACGACATAGCCCTCGGAAATCACAACAATTTGAATTCCTTAGGCATGAGAACTGTACTAAAATCGCACTATTTAACATATAAAAATCGCATATAAAATCATTCCATCGATCCTTGATCGACAGGTACATAATATCATAACACTCATAAAAAATAATAGCATAAAAATATCCTGAGTTATACATTTACAACTCAGGCTTACTAGATATTCCAATAGAAAATTCCATTTCGAATAATAGATTGGCTACACTGATAAGGTTCATCAGTCATTAGTAAATACAGCCAATAATACCAAGTGAACACAAACGAGCCCATAATTTTACCCACGCTTTAAATAACTATAAATACCCCCCTTTATTTCAGAGATGAAAGAGGGATTCACTTTTAATAAGAATAAAAAAGCCTACAAGCAATATTAATCTTATTCTTCCTGTTTTTTTATCTTTTATTTTTCCGTGTCAAACAAACCGTTTTTCCACAAGAACTATACCTGATCCAAAGGCATACAACGTTGAACATGTCAAAAAAGTAACTGAGGACTATTTCAAGACTCTCGTTTACGGAGCTGACGATGGAACCGTCGACGGAAATCTGACGTATAAAGCAATGGCTACTCAGGCCTATAGCAATACGGTTCATATAGCAAACATGTTTCTTGGGGTATACTGCAAGGACAAGTACCGGGTGAATGGATCTTGCTGGTCTGATTACAAGAAAAACGATGAGCATATTATTATGGTGTATATGTTGGAGAGAATTGTATACTATTGGAATAACAATAGCAGCAATCCTGGGGTGCCATCAGGGTCCGGTAGAATGTCTGACCTCGCCGCAGAAAATCCCTTTTTGCCGTTGCATTTGGCCATGAATAATTGGATTGCTCGTAATATGATCATTTCTTTGTTGGGTAACACCAAGAAACTGGTACGTAATATTAATGGTCATAAACGTGTGATGTTACTAACTGCAATCTTTCATCAGCGCACAAACCCCGTAGCAAGTGTCGAATCTTCTGGATCCATGTCAGGCCCCATGGCTGCGCTCAACATGAATACCATTCTCGTTCCCCCATGGCTGCGCTCAACACGAATATCACTATTTCTCGTTCCGCTGAATCGGATACATATCTGGAGCATGATTTCAGACCAGTATATTTGGAAGGGGGTCAAGATGAGCAAGACCAACCTGCCCCATCGCAGAATGAGAGTTTCTCTGTGCCTGGTACGGATTCTGTCCAATCTCCCCACCCATCTCCCTCTCCCTCTCCATCTCCCCGCCCCTCTCCCTCTCTCTCTCCATCTCCTCGCCTGTCTGCATCTGTCTGCTTGTCACCTGCTTCTTTACCTCCACCCCCTGAGCCATCTACTTCGTCTTCAAAGATTGACCAAAGAGCTGAAAAAAGGGCCGCAAAAAAGGCAACAACCAAACGGGCAAGGGATGAGTTGATAATAGAAGGACGCTCTCGTAGCAAAACTAAGCCTTAATCCGCATTGGGTTTTAATTTTTTTTTAAATAAACTCGTTTTTTTTTTTTTTTTCTTTTCTTTCTTTTTCTAAAAATTTTTTTTTTCAAAAATTATAGTAAGTACCTCAAAACATCACATCCTCATATAACTAACTGAAAAGCTATTAGATATATTGTTATATATCGTACTGGCTTTTATGGCTTAACTTACCACTGCATTCTTTCGCGTACATGGTTGCTGTCCACTCTAAATAGATGATTGTCACCTAAAGCGAGTAAGCCTTTTTTAAAATACTGAAAACCGTGTTTATATATTTTAACTCTATTTTATAGTTGTTTAAAGCTCAGCAAAAGGTACTTCATGTGATTGTCAACTACAATGTGAGTATTAAAAAAATTGAAAGCCTAGCTTATATTTTCTAACTGTATCTTTCTTAGTTCAATCTAGCTTTATCAAAGGTAAGTCATATATCTAGCTTGTTATCACTTCTGCATCTGGTAGTCTCCGAATGCAACCAGGACAACCAACACTATATTATGTATGGTATCTGTTTGTTGTCATCCTTACACTACACAGTATCCATTTAAACAGGCGTTTCGTAGTTTTTATACGTGTATAAACCATTCATAAATTATTTCGTTACAAAATAAAAAACAATATAAACATTATTTTTGCCCCTCATATTCTATTATTTCCAATGTTATTTTTTGTAAAACCCATTTAATATTGCAAGGGTCAATAGCCCTAGTTTAATATACATTTAAAGAATATCCTCCAATACCATCTTGTTAAATAATAAGGTTATGATGTTTTCATTCGTTAGAAACTGGAAGTAGCGGTCGGTTTTCATGCGTACATGGACCGCGACCGCTAGTTCAGGTACAAATTAATTACCGCGACCGCTGGTCGAGGTACAAAATAATTACCGCGACCGCTGGTTCAGGTACAAAATTATGTTCCTCGACCTCTGGTCTAATTTTTTCGCGGTCCAAATCATACTTCTACCGGAAAAAAAATTTGCGGTGTTCCATTTATTATAAATACTCTTTATTTTTCCTCTTCTTAAATCTTTAGTTAACATTAACATCAATAAACTCTGACAAGAATTCTAATGGATCCTATTGTTTTTTTCTACCTTTTTTTCTGCAAAACTATCCTCTTTAAGCCTACTTTTGCTACACATACAACCTTTTTAGTGCTCTGAAGAGTAAGAGTTTTTTTAAGTGTAACTGCTACAGTGCTCTTACTGTTCTGGTCTAACCTCCTTTGCGATTTCAGATGACCATCTATTAGAATTTATTGATACTACGGCATCCAAAAAACTACTTTTATATTGAATTTAAAGAGTCTGTTCACTACAACGCGATACCCATCTGAGCGATTATTAGATATCATACACCATAGCTCCTTTTTGAATACGACATCATTCCCTTCATTTTTTGATGGCTTAAACTATTTAACCGGCTTCTTTTTTTTTCATTAAAAAAAGAGGTACAAATTTTCCAAAAATCCTGCACCAGTTCCATACAAATAGACACTGTTTCTTGCACTGGAAGGGAGTAAGTTGAATCGAACCTGCGATAGTTGAGGATAGAGTTTAAATAGAAAAACAATAAAATACTTTCAGACTGCTTATAAGTTTTATTAAGAGTAAAAGTAGATTAAAAGATTCAGAGGATTCTATTCTAACTATCAGTTTGCATATTTATATATGTTAAGAGAAATCGGATTATGAATTTAATTTGATGGATAAGTTACACAGCACTAAAATAGAGCTTGTAGCTGGATATGATATCACCCCCAAGGATTTTTTTTTGATTTTCCGAAGCGATTTGGGGGTTGTCCGTTTCTCCTTCCTCTTTTAGACAACTGGGGGGACTGGGGGTACCGTTGATGGGGGGTCTGTGGATATTTGGGGGTTCTTCATTAAAAATTGGGTTTGAATGCAAAATGAATTTTTGGTAAAAATGGTTTGGCTTTTATTGGTTTAAAATATTATATATTGCTAGCAAAATTTGACACTAAAATAGCGCTTATAACGTACAGCATGGCCCCAGCAGTATATTAACGCTGCGCAATTTTGCACATGCTTGATACGTTTTTATTTACGCGTTGAAGCATAGTACTTCGGATACCAGAGAAAGTTACGATGGAGGGACTTACCTAGATAATTATGTCAGTTTCTGCTTTTATTCACGTAATAAATTTTACATACCTTTAGTTTCAAATGATATCGATAGTAGTAGTAGAGCTGCGAACTATATAGCAATGATTTAGTTACTGATGCCTTTTCAATTTGGTATTAATAAGTACTTACTTTTATATAGATCTTTTGCGCCTTGACTAGTAGAGAATGTGTTAGAAATAATCAATATGGAACATGTATTTGCTTTACCTCTATTCAAAACAACCATCAATGTATGATCACCTCAAGAATCTTGGGTAGTAAACGCTAAACGTTCCAGTCAGTATGGACATTAAAAAATATTCTTTTTACTTTACCTTTTTAATAAACGAAATAAAACTGAAAGAAAGAGAAAAAAAAGGATGATGTAAAATGACAGGCTAAAATAGTGCCAGAATTTAAGTCCGTCATGACATACTTCCAGGTATAAATACAGCCTACCATCTGGCGTTTTTTTAGCTCTTCTACCACTTCTCATTTTTAAAAGTAAAAACATGAACAGCAACCATTTACCTCAAACAGGTGTTATCAATCTAAGACCAAGCAATAACAGATCAGATATTACATGTCCTTGGTGTCCTGAAGATACAAGACAAATTTCTTCGACTGCTTTTGCGAAGCACGTTTCCAGAAAACACCCAAATGAATTAGGATCCGATACGTATTGCAAATTTCGCGACTGGAGACAAACCAGAAGGTACTATATACTTACTAATTTGCGTATCCCGTAACTAACCCCTAAATATTGAACAGAGCTAGTCGGTTTTCTACGGAAGATGCTGAATCTATTTCAATCAACTCTCCTTTGTCTTTTGGAAGTAATGACTTAATGGCGCACTACTACACTGTTAATCCCAACGCTAATGAGGATTCAGACGATGAAAATTTTGATGAAAGTCCTCCTGCAGAACGAGAAAATCTTGACATGTAAGTTAACAGATTTATGTATATATACATGTGACTTACAGAACCACATTTGTATTTGATTATTTCATGGAATTAGGCTAGACAATGATGTGTACAGTTCTGATGAAGAGGATGGGGACAATGATAACTCTTTGAACGATATCACCGAGAGTTACATGATGAACATGATTCTCCCCATTTCTCGTAATTTTGAGCAACAATCCGAAGGCTCGCCATCTGAAACGGCTCAAGAAGATCTGGATAGATTGAACTATGCGAGAAGTCATATGGAACAGAGGGATCATCTACCTGATATGCCTAATCCATTTATATCTACTGTAGAAGGTCTTCTTCATGCGTTTTTTTATGGTGATGAAGATCTTTGTTCTGAAAGGATGGTGAAGAAGATTCTTTATCTCTTAAAAAGTTTGTTGAAGTTGCAAGAAGCGTCGGCGACCACCTTGGTGCTTCCAAAGCCTGACAGGATCTACAACTTGCACAAAAGGCTCAAGACAAAGGTCCCAGTTTTCGAGCCAGTAGAGCATAGGGCAAAGAACAAGAAGGGTGAATTGAAATCCTTTTTCATGAACCCGCCCTCCGAGTTTCTGAAACACTTGGCAGCAACACCGAACATGATCAAGGAGATGTCAACTTTGCCTGACTTTACGGTAGACCGATGCATGGATCTAAATCATGGTGAAAAATGGAGAGAGCATCAAAACTTTCAAACACCAATGCTTACCAATGGCAATAAAGATTTTTGGGTTGGCGATCTTATCAAGGATACATGTGATGGCTACTGGCTGATCAAGAAATTTTTTTCTGCGGGAGAAACAATTACAGAAGAAGGCCATTCAGTAAAGCGTGTCTTTGCTGAGGCAGTTCCAGTAATCTGTAACGAATTTGGTAGAAGTGGTGATATGCCATTCTTGTCTGGTGCGAACACCAACTTTGCTATTGTCAATTCAACTGTTATGCTCCCTTTGAATGATATTGTTGCTACTGTTCCTAAGGCTCCCAACTTCCAAGGGTCAGGCTGCACTGTCAAATACAATCAAGGCCGTTTTGATCTGATTCGTTATGGTATTGATGATGAACTGTCTCGCCTCTGGTTCGGCACAAACTTCGCCAATCGTTATAAGCGTCTTGTCCCTGGCTCTCCACTCAACAGCCCAAAATTTCTGAAGTTCGTTGTTGCTCCTATCATTCTTTGGTCTGATGACACATCTGGTAACAAGTCGAAGCAATATAATGTTTTTGACAGTTATTTGATGTAACTTGGTGCCATGTCTCTGGAAAAGCGAAGCCGTAGAGAAAATACCATGTTCATTTGTACATCAGACAAGAACCTGCAAGCGGTTGATATGTTGGGCGCAATTGTGGATGATCTGTCCAAACTCGAACAAGGAATTGAAGTGTATTCTTATGATCACCAAGAATATGTCCTTCTCGTCGCTCCTTTGCTTTTGTTTATGGCGGATAACCCTCGACACTCACAATTAGCTATGCACAAAGGTACCAGCTCCAAGTTTCCCTGTCGCAAATGTCTCCGACCAAAAGCAACAAACCTGTCAGACATTCTTCGCTCTGATCCAGACACCTTAGAGCCTTACATCTTACACAGGTATGATGGAAGAACATTAGCACAATTGAAGGATGTAATTCGGTGTCAAGAAGAAGACAAGCCAAGATACAAAACCTACACTGATATTTTCAGTTTTTCTGTAAATGGTAGTGAAGAGTTTTTACGTCTCCACTCGTTCGACCCCACATTGGATTCTCCTGTCGAAGTACTTTATACTGTTCCTCTTGGGTGTATCAAATACCTTGTAGATTATTTGATTAAGCAGATACTATCCGTTGCAGAGCGAGAGCGTCTTGGTAATGCTATTTCGAATGGAAGAAACAACCAGGCATACTCCAGAACATTTAGAAACAATCTTCGCCATTGTGGTTCATTCGTTGGAAGAGATTACAAGCAATTGATTCAAGTACTGCCTATCATTATGCGCAAGGTATTTCCAAATCCAAACACGCTTCTGAAGCTTTTTACGCAAGCATTTGCAAGTCTTGGTCAGTTATGCTCTTTGATCTATATGCGAAACGTTGATTGTCGATTTGAAGAATACAAAAAAATGTTTAGTAATGCTACTATAGTCTTCACTAATGACCTGTACTGTCTAGATGATTACCTGGTCAAGAACAAAGATAATGCACCCATGTTTTCTTTGAGACCAAAGGTACATATGTTGCATCATTTACTGGACGACATCAAACGGTTTGGATGCCCTCTTCAATACGAGACTGAAAGTTCTGAACAGTTCAACAAGTTTATCCGTGAGCATCTTTTCATGACGAATAGGTTATATACGTCTCGCGATGTTGCATTTCGTTTTGGAAAACAATTTATCTGTCGTCAGGTATTTAGTGGGCTCTCGTTTCTTTACATCAAGCGATGGAAAGAGAGCGGCATTTCACGTCATGGTTTATTTCGTGGTGAAACTGGTTCCTCCATCAAAGCCCTGATAACCAATAATCCGGATTTCTAGAAGCATTTCTTTGGTGCTAGAGAGAACGTTTCTGACAGCTACTATATTTTGAAGTCGAAGGTGGTCGCCAACCTGTCAGGCCTGTTCGAGACCAACAGTGGCTTGATGTTAGGTCAAATTGAAACCGATGACGATGGCGATTTGATCCTACGTCGATACAAATTTGCACGCAACGTTGCTGGTTCTTCTTCCTCTTGGTTGCCAGGTACACTGTCGGATGCAGAGGCTAATGTCTTCATTAGACCTCATTCTACTGTTGCTGTCGATGATTCCTTTTCGTGTAAAGAAGTAATGGACATAAGCTTCGTCTTTAATGCAGCTGCTGACATTAGTGTCATTAATGTGTCTAAGTTCGGCTCTTTCTGGTCTGTCGTTTGCAATCATGCCTCCATATAAAAACCACATGTAATTTTTTTTGAAAAATAAAATGCTTTTGACGCGGGTTAAAAATGCCACGGACGTAATTGGCTACATCGCTTGATCTCCCCACGAAAAAAAAAAATGGACTAAAATTTTTTACGTTTACGGATGATATCTATTCCGAGGCTCTAGGCCAATAACACATATTAAAAAAAAATCTGTCCTTAATCCATTCCTTAAAGGGAAAAAAAAACAGTGCGAGTGATAATGGATAAGAAATTAGTTCGTGTTGTGATGTAATAACGTATGGGATGATGAAATGAGATTTAATTTAGTAATGTTTTATGGTGTGATTAGTACCAACAGTAGGTGGATCACCACAGAACCATTTGCAAGACGATTGGTTATCATTCTGGGCGAGTTACCCCATTGATTGTTAAACGGGGCGGGATTTTTCCAATGCAGGCAGTGTAGTTGTCATGAACTTACTCGCTCTGTTTATTGTCCGCATAACTTAACCATGATCTCAAACCCCTTGTGAAACCTTGTTCTAGAAATTAATATCAGTATCTCTTGTCCGCTACCAAACTCTCTGTAAAACCTTGCACCAAAAATCATATCAGTATATCTTGCCCGCCACCGAACTCCTTGTAAAACACATCATTAATCTGCTTCTGAATATTACTCCCGCTTCCTGTCTGACTCAACCTTAGTGAACCTTTTCCCGATCATCTTTTATCTTTATTCCTAATCCAGTTTTTCCGCCCGTGTCAAACCATAAATATTCCCCGAACCATCATATTATTCAATGTCAACTAAATCCAGCCTGTTACTACTCGTCAAATCTCAATTACTCATTCTTGTCAATAATCTACTCATGATATCTGTTCCGTAAAGTCCCTTGTTGATCTACAATTTAAACCCATCTTAGTTTATCCCATGTATAAGAAATAGTATAAATAGATGCTAGTTATTTATTAGAAAAACATTATTCTGGATCTTAGTCCTAACCCCTCCCACTCTTAATAAATAAACCTATTTTATTTTAACCAATCGCCCCCCTCATGTTGCAAGTAGTTTCTGTGTCTTGTTCCTGTTCCGTCCGTGACAGTAGTACTGGACTGTATGAGAAAAGGTCACTCACCAATAATTTGGATGCTTTTTTTTGGGAATCTTTGGTGGTTGAAAGATAACCTGGAGCGGTAATATCAAGGCAGTGGCGTGTTTGAGCGGTGTAGATTCGAAGTTCCTGGGAATACAATCGATGGTATCATATATGATATCCAATGTGTTAATTCTGGCTTTTGTAAGGCCAGTGGATTTCATGGTAGGCAGAAGAAGTGGAATATAATGGTGCTGGGTCAAGTGTCTATTCCGAATATGTATTTTAAGCATTTATGTTAGCTGATGATTGGGATTATTGTCCGTTAGCAAGAGAGTTTTCCATCGAACAAAAAGTGTATGGTATTGTGCTTTTGGGTCTAAAACACCCAGACCCCCCAGTTGTTTTAGTGCTGTCCATACCGACCAAGGTATGACGGGAAAGATATTCGATCGGCAGAATTGTATAGCGACGGATGTAATCTGAGACAAATCATGCTTGGTCAGTGGTGTGACCCTGAGTAGATACCAGCATTCTGAAAGGAGTAACGAATTTAAGATCGTAGCTTTACCAACTACAGATAATGACCTTGACAAGTGAAGATTTTCTGTTGCCTTAAGTTTACTGATTACAGACCCCATATAGTTTCGTCTCTGTTGGGTAGATTAAATCATGGGGAAACCAAGGTAAATGATTGGATCCGGGTCATCCGCACAAATTAGCTTGTCTATTTTCAGTAGTTCAAGAGGTTGTTGCCAGTAGTCCCACAATTTGTCACCCGAGAGAGAGAATGCCTCAATTTTATTAAAATTAAACTTGGCATTTGAGGCTTCACAGAAAGTGTCCATGTTGTGATATTTGATAAAATGCACGTATAAAAATAATGAGATAAAACGAATATTTTTATTAGGGTAAAAATAGACTAAAGAACTCTGCTGCTATGAAATAATCAATCCTTTTTATATTGCCAACATCTCCTGGATTTATGATGAGTCAACCTTTCTGGTTTTGGAATAATATTTTAGTCTTCCATCTTGCGTTATCTAAACTCTACTCGTTAGAATTGATTAAAGGTAACGTTGTTCCAGATGTGTGAAACGGGAACACGAGTATTCTGACAAATACTTGGTGCAGTGGCACACTTCTTTGTAAGATCGTGTAACGGATACTATTAAAAGATACATACTTGTTTGTGAAGTGTAATTGTCAATAGAACATAATAGTTGTAATTGATCATTTATGCTTTAATTTTCTAATGCATAAAATACGATCCCAAATATAGAATATCTTATCGATATTCGTATATTTGGTTGTAGAAGATAGGTATCCATTAATCCATACACTATTTCTTTATACTCTTTCTAGGCAGTATAATTATATCAACATATAAGTAAATGAACCATTTATACTAATAGCTGTTCTATTCTCTCTATGGGTAGCTAAGCCATTGAGAGAACTATTAATATTAAGTTTCTCTTTCTTATAATTCTTGATTTGATCTGAGAAGATTCTCTTCTCGATCGGTGATATCGTAACTCAGCGGTATAGCTTTCTGTATCCAACTGTCATTCGTATATCGTATTTAGGCCAATCATGTAATCTTTAATATAGAAATATGTACTCGAAGTAGGAGAAGTTGTGTAGCAGTATAAATGTGTATGCTTGTATGCAACATTGAAGGTTCTTTTTTATTTCATAATTTAATTATTTGGACGATTTGCTTATTTATTCTTAAGTGAATCGTACCCAAATACGACACATGTGTGGTGTTTTGGGATAATAAAAATTCAGACAGAAAGGAAATAAAACAAAAGTAGGAATACTTTGAGACTGTTCATATGTTTTATTTAGTTAAAAGAGAATTAGGGATTATGAAGGTCAAAGAATAAAGGATATATATAAGATGTCTGAATTTAAATTATAAAAGTATTGCATAATGGAGGTACACTATTTTAGTGCAGTGTCTTCTTGCACTATTTTAGTTAAAGACGTGTAGAGACTAAAGAAGTGTATTTTCTTTATCGAGTATGGATGCTGAGATATTTATATTTTAGTGTAGAATGTATGATGTAAGTGTATCTGATGTTATTTTTATGATGATGATTTTATTAGAAGTAAGCCAGATCATCACACCATGTGGTTGGATAGGCGTACGAGGTTTCCTTGTCTTTGACCAGGACTAATGCGTGTTCTATCAAACAAGATAGACAGTTTATAAGATAGAGAAAAAGGTAATTGTGAGACTGGGGAAATTGAATAGAGTGCATCTTCACTGTAATGTGCCAAAACGTAATCTGTGACATTTTTTAGCATTCATCTCCGACTAGTACAAGTAATATAAAAGGAAATTTATTCATAGCCAGATTTTGTTAATGTGGGGAGGTTTTTTTTTTTTTTATGAAAATAAATTTTTAGAAAGGTACAAAAATAAACCAAACTTCTAAATTCACATTTCTATTTGTCCTTTTTAAAGCTCCCGTGAAGTGATACGCTCAAAAACAGTAACCCTTTTGATGCGTTTGTAATTTTAAAGAACGTTCCATCTAATATTACTGAAGTAAACAAAGTTTTCATGTTGTAAACGTTCTTTCTTAATGTATATCTACGATTTCATACATCTTTTTTGTGTTCTACACTTCACCATATTTGATCTCAGTTTAGATTTAACAGGCTATGGCACTGAGTACTTTATCCAACAAATACGATCCTTCAAATACATAAATTATTTATACAACTAGTTGGATCTATTTCCAAAATACTCTAAATTATATCTTCTAAATATGAAGCGTTTCTACTTAGTACATAAAGTTTGGTTTATCATTTTTGTTGTCTCACAGGGTTGACGATAAATGTCCTAAGACTTTGATTTAATAGGCTGTAATACTACGCATGCGGGTACTCAAATTGAGATTACAGGCAGTAAACATTTCATGGTCCGAAAGCGGGAAATAATATAAGCGGGACAATACTATTGGTCAGAAAAGAAAAATTTAAAATTTTGAACCTGCTTGTGACAAATATTTCCCCCCACACCTAAAATCGAGTTGTAAAAATCCCGGACCCACTTTTTTTTTTAAAATAAAAAGTTCATATTCTCATTTTAATCATGATTAAAATGATATATGTCCAAAAATATTGGACCTTAATTATGAGAAAAGTGTGGTGGTCCAATTTTAACGTTTCTCTCTGCTTAATTTTTTTTTTTTGGCACATTGAAGTCCAGATGCACTCTATCGTTTTATTATTGAATTAGAGGATGTGTTGAGGATAAAATAATAACACACCTAGAGTAGAATTATCGGAGATGATCCAATAAGGACATGATTCCATATAATCACACTGGTGGGAATTAGTTGTTCCACAATTTACCTCTATCAATAAAACAATGCTGTGTAACGTGTATCGAGCGAAGAGTCTCATAGGACCTGAGCCATACGTATATGGAAATGAGTGCTATTGTTTGTATAATTGTTTATTTACTTCTTTATATTTATTTATTTCTTGACCTCGGTAAACTAAGTTTGGTAAATCATAAACCTGTTTACGTGGCTTTGGTCTTTCCTTCTTCCTTCTGCCTTCTTTTCCCATATTTAGTAGAACCGTCAATTAAGTGATGACTGTCAAGGTTTTGCTTGTTATGGAATCACCGGTGCTGGTCACTGTCAATACCCTCCTCTTGATACCTTTCAAATTATATATAAATACCCCTTGATAGTTTTGTAGAATGATCTCTATCTTCTTTTTAAATAAAATTAGAGACGACTTAGTCGTAACAGTAATTGCCCTTTCCCTTTTTCTATTTTACAACAGGATGGTTTATATAGGAATTGACAAAGTCCTTTCGGTACTTGTCAATTAATAGAGCAGGCGGAGAGAATGATTTATAATGTGAACATATTGCAGTAAGCATGTGTGGACCATGCGTGCATTGTAAGCTGTGGTATTATTTATAAGTTGTTTTTATCCTTTGTTAATGCAGATGTTGGGTGTAAACCGCGTGTACGTGAGGTGACACAAAATAGCTATTTCGAGTTTCTTCGCTAAAGTAACTCACAGAATAGTGCTTGTATACACTTCGGGATATTTGTGTATACAACAATGCGTCGTCTGCATAGCATAGTATCTTGGTGTTGATAGCCGAGTTAGGATTTACAAAACCAGAAGACCTGTCGTTCAAAGTATAGCCATGAAATAGTTCGTCCGTTAGAATAGATCTCAAAAAAGGTTCAAAGGCAAGATTGTAGAGGATTGGTGATAGAGGGTCCCCTTGCTTAAGACATAGTAGTCTCTGAATATCTTCAGTAAAATGGCTATGGATGTTGATACGAATGTAGTTATTTGCCATTAGCTTGTAAATACAGTCCAAAATAGTGGCTGGAAACCCAAATCGTAGCAAAACTGTCCTCAGGTAAATAAGGTTTACTCGATCGTATGCGTTTTCCTGGTCCAAAAGTAGCTCTATCGCTTTACCGTTTACTGGAAATTGATTCAGCTGTGAGGCCCTAGCCATATCGAGAGCTGCATCTTCCATGATAATTTGGTATTTGATACCATTTTCAGCAATATATTGTCCTTGTAAAAATCCAAGTTGGTGCTCGTTGATATGACCACTTGAAATTAATTTGATTTTGTTGTTCAAGAGTCGAATAAATATTTTATAATTCGTATTGTCGTATTTGACGCCTAATTCCACGAATATAATTACTCTTATCTTGTCACTCAATTATAATACATATAACCTATGTATTATAAGTACCATATTGCGAATACATTCCTATTGGTACGACACAGTACCAGCTACCTCATATGTCAAACTGAGATCAGATTTCATAATCATTCCTGGATTGGTCGAGTAGCTGCCGAATCTTCTAGTTTCTCATAAATTTATTTTAGTAATCCAATCAAGGACCCTGTCATTGAATGGATAAACTATAATGCTCTAGAAGTGCCGGATATGGGTCAACTAGCTCCTTGTATATAACAATAAGCTATGTTTCATATGTAACTGATTTCTAAATCTAATTCTACCATTTCCCAGTTTGCGGGTAAATAGTCAATTCGATCTGCGCAGGAAAAATCTTGAAGTAATAATTGAATATAAAAAGGACCTCTATTTTTATCATGACAAACTCTCCAACTTATAATAAAGGATTATAGAGTCTCATTTCTTTACTTGCTTTATTTTCCCAATTACTTTTCCCTTTTTATTTCTCAATTATCACATTTTTTTAAATGAATTCTCTTGACCTCAACAACTCTGCTGCTTCTGGTGCTTCCGGTTCTGATTCCGCTGGTAACTCTATCGATGCCAACCCTAACTCTGGTTCCCCCGTTGCTGCACCTCTCACTGGTACGTCTACCGACGCTACTACCTCTGTCAATCTTCCTCAGTCCTCTGTTGAATCGGAGCCTATGGAAATTGATAACCCCGATAAAGTCGAACATTCTAATTCCTCTTATTCGTTCACTCCCTCTTCATTCGCTGATCCAGTCGGTACTCATGTATCTTCTGTACCTATCCCAAACCCTGTTCGCAATACGTTCGATGAGGACGCCGATCAAGTTTTGGCTAGAATCAGTGATATCAACAAGTACATTCGTGAACTTTACGAGAAAGAAGCTACTATCATGCGTACTGATACCAGTACCATTCCCGAGTTTCAAATCCGTGAATACAAGATCAAGTCAATTGCTCATGACTTGGAGTACTACCGCAAGGCTCTTGTTTCCGCCAACAGTCTTTTCGCCTCTTTCAAGGATACATCTGTAAACTTGTTAGCCAATCAAACTCAAGTCTTGTCTCTCGAATCACAGGCCGACAAGGTGGTCAAGGATCATACGGACATTCCCGCTAAGGATATTCCTGTTTTTGATGTCTCATTCCCGGATCATATCTCTCATCCCGATATCCACGCCGTCGATGACCACTCTTTGCAAACTTTCATCAGAAAGTTTGAACGTGCCTACCTCAATTATGGTGTTAACATCGAACTTCACTGGCTTTTCCATCTAGAAGCTAGCTTCGAAAACAACAACTCATATAACTCTTGGTTTATACAAAACTTCAAGTCCACCTCAAGAAACAAGCCAAAGACTTGGAATGAAGCCAAGGCTACCTTAGAATGCCGCTTTGATCCTGTTGCTCGTCTGGGTCTCATTAAAGTTAATTTTATGTTACACAGTATGCGAATGTACACTACTGAGCAGCTGGCCCAGTACATGGATCGTTTTGGTGCTTGCGTCCACGCCGCTAAGGTCCAACCCAATGACAACTTTTTCTTCACCATTTGCTTCCTCTCTTCTCTTCACACTAAGGAATTCCAGGATAAGGTGCAAGAACGCATGGCCGATTATATGAAGGAGCAAAACTTTGGCTCTACCTCTACTATGGTCAGCAAATATGCAACGTACAGTGAAGTACAATTTTACGAGTACTATAGCAACTTCAATCGTGTTGCTGAAGCTATCAACAGCAACCTCGGTCCTTTGGAGAATATTCTTAAGGAAATCCAATCCAAGTATGCTGGTTCCAAAGCTTTCTCGTCCTCTTCGGTTGGTTCCCCATCTTCCTACTCCGCTTCCGACTCCACTTCCGGTTCTTCTTCTGGTTCCTCATCTAAAGACGCTCACAAGAAACGTAAGTTCGACGACAAAGGCAAGGGAAAGGACAAGGACCCCAACAACTTCAACTTCGAAAACCTCTACAACCCATCTTACAGACTTAACGATCAAGAACGTATGTATTTACGTAAGAAGAATCAATGCTTGTCTTGTCGGGTTACCAAGTTTTCTGTTCAACACATGAACGAGTGTGCTGAACGCAAGAAGTTCCTTGCAAATAAGATAATTACTAATAGTGGCACTCATGCTCCTATTTTATCGAATAACCTTAATGAATCTATTACTGACATTTCTTCTTCTAATTGTAGCAACACCAATAATCCCGAAGAAGATATGAGCGCCGAATTGTTTCCTCTTGAAGACGACAACGAGTTCCTTGCTGCGTACAATAGTTTAGATTCGTTTATCATTCATGATAACGATGAAATAGAATTAAATAATAACAACACTTTTTTCAATAAAAATATATTTTCCATAAAAATTAATTCTGATTCTTCTACTTGTCTTAATAATTTTTCTTTAAAAAGTAATACAGTCGGTGACACAAATAACCCCTTTGACTCAAACAACGTGGCTTATTCTCCGGTTACTCCAATTATTATTAATTCAGTGAAATCTTACTGTACCATCGATACAGGAGCCCAGATTTCTGTCATGAACAAGCAATTTGCCGTTGATAATAATATTGAATTTGAGCAAACAGAAGGAACTTTATTGTTCGCTAATGGTACCAAAATTCAACGTCAACGCACTACTCATTTTTATCACTTGACTACAATGGTGTTGAAAAACAAGTGCTGCACAAATTTGACATCGTCGACAATAAGTACTTATCATCATCCAACCAAATACTCATTGGTGTGGATCTGTTACATAAACTTAACATTCACCTTCTCAATGTTGCTCACAAGTTCAAAGACACTACTAAACAAGTCGATGACTCAATTGATGATCAAGCTTACGTCCCTAACGTAACTCCTTTCGGAACAGAAAAAGAACAGCATGCTTTAATTTAGCTCTTACGCCATACATTGAGGCTAATAAAGCGCTTAATAAAAACTCTTTTTGTAACATTCCCGAAAGTGTCCTTCATCTCCCCACTCCTCCTGACTATCATGTCCATGTTCGTCAATATCCAATCGCCTACAAATTACAACCAAAATAATGGAAGTACTAAGAGATTGGGTAGCGGATGGAATTATCACAAGAGCCCCTGTTTCTGCATGGAACCTTCCAATTACGGTAACTCTGAAGAAAAATCATGAATCTGGTGTAACATCTTCCAAAGATACTATTACCAAGGATGATATTCGAGTCGTACTGGATACAAGGTTATTGAACAAAGCTCTTCCCACAATTAATGAAACACAACCATTAATCAATGACATCTTCTTCACTTCAATGGAAGGTTGTGTTGTATTCTCTACCATCGATCTTAAATCTGCATTTTCCCAATTCCTTGTTAATCCAGATGATCCAATAAAAACAAGTTTCACTGGTCCTGACAATTTGAAATATATGCATGTAGGATCACCCTTCGGTGTATCAACCATTAGTCAATTGTTCAGTCGAGTAGTGTTATCTTTATTTAAGGATCTTTCATATGTGCGTTCATTCATCGATGATATTTGTATCATGTCCCGTTCTCTTGACGCTCATTTCCAACATGTTAAGCACGTCGTATCTATCTTGACTACAGCTAACTTACGTATCAATTTTAAGAAATCACACTTTGCTAAATCTGAAGTTTACCTTTTAGGCTTCTCGATATCTGCTAAAGGTCGAAGAATTGATACCCGTAAGCTCTCCAATTTAGAATCATTACCACGTTCCTGTTACGTCAAAACAGTGTCAATCCTTCTTAGGCTTTGTTAACTATTTTCGACAACACATTCCAAATGCAGCTATGCTAATGGCACCAATTGATTTCCTCCGCTCACACGATGAAAAGAATAAAGGAAAGAAATTTGAATGGTCTTCCATTCACGACATGCATTTTAATACTCTTAAGCAAATCCTCGTTTCTGATGTTGTACTAAGCCATCCAAATCTTGATCATCCCTTCTGTATTGCAACAGATGCATCTGATTTTGCGATCGGTTGTTCTTTATTCCAAGAATATAAGACTACAACAGCTGACGGCGATCCAAAGACTATTATCAAGCACATCGGGTTCTTCTCACGAAAATTATCTTCTAGTGAGGTTAGATATAGTTGTACCATGCGAGAAATGCTTGCCTGTGTTTTTGCGTTAAAACAATTTCACAAGTTCGTTTGGGGTACTCACTTTACTCTGTATAGTGACCATAAAGCACTTTCTTATCTTCATACTCAAAAACATTCCAATTCTATGATGATCAAATGGCTAGACATAATATTAGATTATGACTTCAAAGTCGTCTATATTAAGGTGTAGATAATATCTTACCTGATGCTTTATCCCGTTTGTATCCTCCAGCTGTAGACCCTATTACAGATCATAGTAGACCATTACATATTACTTCACCTGGTAATAATCGTGCAATCTCTAGTCGTATCAACTTAAAAAAGAAAGAGTTGAGTGTGCGAACAGTACAAATTCACGAGTCTTTTACTAGAAATATTCAGAATCGTCTGCCGTCATTCCGTCAGAATGAACTTTACAAACGCGATCGTCAAGATTCTACTGTAAGTGCAGATGTCGCTCATGTCAATGCTGTTTCTGTATGCGACAATAAGTCCCTAGATTCTTCTCATAATCTATTCTACATTCAAAGTGGGCAAAGCATACACGCTGATTATTTAGTTGCTCCAGAATCTGAGAGAAAATCACTTCTTGAAGATGCTCATAATAAAGTCGGTCATTATGGCGCTGAACAAATGGTTAAACGTCTTCATCAAGAAGGTATTCACTGGCCTAAGCTGATTAATGATTGTATTGAGTTCATACGTAAATGCACTGAGTGTCAGAAACACAACATTCAGAAGAGAGGTTACCACCCCCTTCGTCCTATTTATAGTTATCTCCCGGGTGACCACTATGCTGTCGACCTGGGCGGACCTATAAATACTACATCGGTACGCGGAAATAATTATTTTCTTGTTATTGTTTGCGTTGCCACACGATTTTGCGTTTTACGACCACTTCAAGACAAACGTAGCGACACTGTCCTTACTGCCCTTGTCGAAGTGTTCTCTATTCTTGGCTTTCCTTGTGGAGGTGTGCTTCAAAGTGATAATGGGTGCGATTTCCGCCACTCTTTAGCTGCTGACCTTGCCACAGCCATGGGATTCGACCATCGGTTCATTACTCCGATGCATGCAAGTGCCAACGGTATTAGCGAAAGATTTGTACAGTCTGTAAAGCGATTACTTGCCAAAGCCACCCAAGGTGTAGGTAATGATTGGGACTTACATCTCAACGCTGTTCAATTAGCTCTTAATAACCGCATCTCTAAGAAGTTGAATTCAACTCCTTTTTCATTGATGTTCGCCCGTAAAATGGCTGAGCCTTTTGGATTCCGTAAAATTGATAGCTCTGTACCACCTGAGCAGCGCAAGCCAATTTCTCACGAAGAATTGATGAAGCGTATTGATTATATGGCCGACATTGTTTTCCCAGCTATTCATGCAAAAACAATGGCACAACTTGATCTCGAAAAAGCCAAGTTTGACAATAAACATCTTCTTGTTGATTATCCTGCGGGTAGTCACGTCATGGTTCGCTTACAAACAAAAGCGGGTCAATTAGCTCCTTCGTATGTTGGTCCATATTCTGTCGTTAGAAAGAATCGTGGTAACTCTTATATTTTAAGAGATCATACAGGTGCACTCATGCCTCGTAACTACACTTCTGTTGAACTTAAACTTATCTCCCAAGATGAGGTCATCGAACTTGACGATGAAGGTAATGAACTGAAAAGCTATGAGGTCGAAGCAATTTTAAATCATCGAGGAACTCCTACTAAACGAGAATACCTTGTACGATGGAAAAATTACAGTAGTGAGTGGGACGAATGGATCAGTCAGGATCAATTTAATGCCACTGATACATTGCGTGACTATTGGAAGAAAATAGGTATTCCTTATAAGCCTAAGAAATCAAATGTCGTTACCAATTCTCCTACTTCTCTCTCTTCCTTGAAAAAGAATCCTCCAGGTTCAGTTTCTACACTGATTAATTCTTTTACTGACGATGGGTCTCCTGTTGTTCCAAGTAGCTCAACTCATAATGCTAATACAACCAGAGTATCCCCACGCCAACAAGTTTCCACTTTAGTCCCATCTGATGATGTGCCTTCTACAGTGAAGAATTCTAACAAACGTAAGAATTTAAATCCTGTTCCCTCTCAACGTCGTTCTAAACGTCACATGGGAGCCAAACACCCTAAATCAAATTAATTGTAATTTCTTTTTCGCTGTGGGCTTCCAATCTTTTTTTTTATACCTACTCATTCGTTTGCATCAAACCTATGGTGTAAATTTTTTTTTCTGCTTTATTGAACAATCATCTCTTTGATCGATTATCTGCTGAAATGGTTCAGGGGTAATTCTATTCTGGTTGGGGGCAATGTCGTATTTGACGCCTAATTCCACGAATATAATTACTCTTATCTTGTCACTCAATTATAATACATATAACCTATGTATTATAAGTACCATATTGCGAATACATTCCTATTGGTACGACACAGTACCAGCGACCTCATATGTCAAACTGAGATCAGATTTCATAATCGTTCCTGGATTGGTCGAGTAGCTGCCGAATCTTCTAGTTTCTCATAAATTTATTTTAGTAATCCAATCAAGGACCCTGTCATTGAATGGATAAACTATAATGCTCTAGAAGTGCCGGATATGGGTCAACTAGCTCCTTGTATATAACAATAAGCTATGTTTCATATGTAACTGATTTCTAAATCTAATTCTACCATTTCCCAGTTTGCGGGTAAATAGTCAATTCGATCTGCGCAGGAAAAATCTTGAAGTAATAATTGAATATAAAAGGACCTCTATTTTTATCATGACAAACTCTCCAACTTATAATAAAGGATTATAGAGTCTCATTTCTTTACTTGCTTTATTTTCCCAATTACTTTTCCCTTTTTATTTCTCAATTATCACACGTATTTGCTAGAGATATCGGACGGTAATTCTTCATGTCTGCCAGATTTCCTTTTTTTTTTGGAAGTAGGCTCATGATGGATTCATTCCAAGATTCGGGGAAAATAGCTAAGGTTAACGCCTCGTTGTTAATACTTGTGATCAGATCTCGATATGGTGGATATCGAACAGTTAATCGTAGTATTTCGTACGGAAGACCGTCTGATCCTGGACTGCTCTTCTTGGGAGATCATTTGCTCTCTAGTAGAATGTTATCAAAATCAATATCTGTTAAAAGACCTTCCTGTTGTTCTCTGGTAAGTCGGATATTGTCGGGAATCTGTTCGAGCATGCAGTTTAAAGATTCTGTGTTAATATTGTCTGGAGTGTATAATTTTGAGTAAAATGCGTGCGCAATTTGCTGAAGACGGGATGGTTCTGAGTACAGGCAGTTGTCTAAGGGATCCATTAATTCATTTATTGTTGTGATCGAGCTTATATACAGATATAACTCGATCATCAATTCTTTCTTTCTTATTTGATAACCTTTCTATAAATCATTATTGCATTACTCTTTAAATCAAATACATGCTATTACACTCTATTTACTACGCATTGATTACCCATCAACATATAAAAAACAATAGTCATACATTTATTCCAGATAATACAATCCAATGATATGATCGCTCGTCAATAACAAGATTCTCGAAGGTACCATGAGATGCTCGATCTTCAATTGACAATACGCCTATTGTATATTTGAAAGGTTTCACTTTAATGATTGATATTCAGCCAGCCCTGAATATGTATATAAAGAACCCAATTTATTGTATAATAAAGACTTAAGTTTATTTTTGCAGTTTGATAATTTCACGTCGTCAAATTTCTTTATTTTTATTCTTAATTCGTTGCTTTATCTCTCGAATTTCTCATTTATCTGCCTTTTGCTTTCGTGTGATGTTGATAGGCGTTTAAGTAAACCAGGTGAACGTTCACCGTTTTGTCTCCAAACTTTACCCGCTTTCAATATTTCTATTTCTGCAATCGATTCCTGTAGAGAGCTTATCTGTTGCTCCACTGTTGTGTTTTAAGGTAAAGTAAAATTATAAAAAGACTATAGGAGTAGTTTGAGACTTTTATAAGATTGTCCTTTATTAATAAATGAAATATACGAGTATTTATATAAAAGACTGTCTGCTGTGTTCATATCTCTAGTGCTATCTTGAAGTTATCATTGATTAACCAAAAATGTATATGATTATTACATTGTCACTAATTTAGTCTTCTTCTGATAAATGTTAAGTCTTCTTTGTGGAAATCGGTGTAGATTTATAAAATAAAAACAAGAAAATTATCAAACTTGCACAAATTAACTAAGGCTTTATTAAACAAACGAGGCTTTTTCAAACCAAACCTCCGTTTCGGTAAAAATTTGACCTTCGCTGCGCTGCGGTAAATTTTTGACCTACACTATGGTTCGGTACGCTGCGCTTTGAAAAAGCCTCGTGCTGCCGCAGGCCTGTTTTTGAAATAACAAACTTAACATATATTAATTAACCATGAAGCCCATGCACCATTATAACTTAAGCTACACTGCCTATTATAAGTTTGATACTGGAGAAAACTTTGATGTTTCTCAATATATGTATAAATATCTGGAAAAAGACGATATCCCTAGACCCAGGCAGGAAAGTTGATGTACGCAAAAAGTATCAATTGTTTATTTATCTGATTAGCTATTCTATGCGCAGTGTTTTTGTTTCATAATGAAAGACTTGATAATCCAAAATATTAATTTCAAAGGCGACCCCTTCATCGACCTAAAACAATTTATTTTCCAGTTGTTCTCGAATAATGACATATTGTGTGTGAAAAAGTGTTCATAGACTGTTTCTCTAAACTCGATAATATAATGCTTAATACTATTGGTTGTTATACTGGGCCGGAGGGTAACCTCCACCCCGAAAACCCCATAGTAACAATTTTATTTGCAATGATTTTTTCCGTAAAGGTCACTTTTTATATTATGACTTTCTCCAAACAATCAGTTTTTATATATGATCTTTTTTTAGTCTAATGTTTAATACTATGGGTGGTATTCTTGGGAGGAGTGGTTTTCCCATCCTCTATTGTATCTTGGCTCAGAAATATTACGCCATAAAAAAAATCATGCTTTAAAAACACAGCGCTGTAAAAAAAAAAAGGAATATTGTTTTTCAGAAGGTAACAATTTAATGCTAAATAATATTGGCCATATTCTTGGGGGGAGGGGTTCCCCATCCCCCCAAACCCCCCACCCCTCTTGCGGGGGAAACCCCCGCACCCCCTCAAAAAAATCGTAACTCTATGACTGTTTTTTACGATTCCTAATTCCTATTATTTTTATATATTAATGAAAAGGGGTCTTTATATACACATTATTTCAGACATTTATCACAGATGGGCTGATGACAGTCGTGGGTAGATTCATCCAGATAATACTCGGATGTAATGATCCCATATAGAAAGGCCATAATGAGATGTCAATAACAATAACAATAACATTCACTCTTAAACTGTGTATGTCTTGTAGCACAATATTCAAGGGAAAATATAGTTCTTAATTTAGATAGCTGTGGCACCTCAATGTGGCTGATGTAACCTTCATATGTGTTCATATCAATGTTATTATTTAAACGTATGTCTTATACTTGTATGAAGGATGATATGAGATCAAGCCTGTACATAAAGTAAATGATCAGTATTTAATATAACAGTATCAATAAGAATTATATTTAGGATTATCAAATGGAAGATTTAAGAAGTGTAGATAGAGTCATATATTAAGTATATAGCCTCGATCACAACATTCTTAACTCTCCTTGCTTTAAACTAAATTTTAAGTATTTTTCAGACGTACTAAATTAGACTTGTGATGTAATATCCTTATAGTTCTTACTATGACATTTATTGTTAAGCTTATATCACAAATGGTATCAGCATGGATAAACCTTTGTTAGCTCTAATATGGCTATAGCCTTGCTAGGTCACCACATCCACCACATTTAGTATAGGCAGATGCAGGCCACGATTCTTATGCTGTCGTAAAAACCCATTGCGTTTCCTTTGTAGAGAAACCTGTTGTTCTCTACGCCAATTTAGCTCTGCAAGTTGAAATCCGTTTGTAAAGGCTTTGACTTCCAGTTTGATCCAATCCCACTGCTGTTGTTTAGTCGCAAATGACGCAATTACCTGCAGATCTTTGGATGACCCGTTCAGATATTGTACTAATGTTGATCGAAATCTCTTATTACTGGCCATGAATGGGTTTTCTTTCCAAGCTCCCGGGCCCTTCGACGAATTTCTTTTATAAGTGAAAGTGATCGCCAATAGGGCGTGGTCAGTCCAAGTATCGGATACGAATTGTTGACTGATTTTCTAATAGACTTGCTACAGTAAATATAATCAATAATTGTTGCTGAGGTGCCGCTTTTTCAAGTTATTGCCTTGTTTTCTGCAAAGCAATCTGTATAGTGATCGGTAAGCAGGGCTGTTCAATCCAAAGTTGTTCCTGTATAGGTGCCGTCAGCTCTCAGATTTTCTGATTGGTAGTTAAAATTTCCCATAATAAAAATATTTTTCATAGGGTTATGTAATATCTGATGTATGTTGTCCGTGTCTAGTAGCTCACGAAAGAAGTTGGATTTATTGGTTGCTGTACCAATTCAACCATATATGTTGAGGATGGTGCAAACTGGGGAGGAGTTTATATCATTGTTATGGAGAATATCTGCTAAAATAAATCTGCCATCATCAATGCCAGCTGTGATAATTGAGAATAAAAAGGGAAATGTAAATTAGAAAATAAAGCAAGCAAAGAAATGAGACTCTGTAATCCTTTATTATAAGTTGGAGAGTTTGTCATGATAAAAATAGAGGTCCCTTTTATATTCAATTATTACTTCAAGATTTTTCCTGCGCAGATCGAATTGACTATTTACCCGCAAACTGGGAAATGGTAGAATTAGATTTAGAAATCAGTTACATATGAAACATAGCTTATTGTTATATACAAGGAGCTAGTTGACCCATATCCGGCACTTCTAAAGCATTATAGTTTATCCATTCAATGACAGGGTCCTTGATTGGATTACCAAAATAAATTTATGAGAAACTAGAAGATTCAGCAACTACTCGACCAATCCAGGAACGATTATGAAATCTGATCTCAGTTTGACATATGAGGGAGCTGGTACTGTGTCGTACCAATAGGAATGTATTCGCAATATGATACTTATAATACATAGGTTATATGTATTATAATTGAGTGACAAGATAAGAGTAATTGTATTCGTGGAATTAGGCGTCAAATACGACACCAGCTTCGATTGGGGTAATTTTATATTTCTTGTTAATGGCTATAATACCAGTTTGTCGATTTCATGTGCTCCATTTGCTTTGGAATTGTAAATTAAATTGTTGAATGGTAGTTTCGTCGTTGGCGTGTGTTTCTTGGAGTACCAAAATGTTAAAGCCTGATGATCGAAGATACCGAATAAATTGTTGTCTTTTTTTGGGGTTATTTGTTTTTTTGAGGCCACAACAGTTGAGGGTCGCGATTGATATTTTATAACTGTTATTATTCATAAAAAATGTATTGGTGGTGTCGTATTTGGGTACGATTCACTTAAGAATAATTAAGCAAATCATTTAAATAAATAAACTATGAAATTAAAACAATCTTTGATGTTGCATATCAGCGTACGCTTGTATA